CAAACTCTAAATATCCAAAAATACATCTATTTATGATGGGAAAAAACTAGCAGGTAGGATTTATAATATCTATGTAGTAATATTTATAACAGATTCACCACTAATTTCTATTTTCCTCAAGTTCTGTCAGTATTGTCCAACTTTCTTCGTAATGTTATATCAATTGGAAACTTCTTTTAGGAATTTTTACAAACACTTAAAAAGCACATTCACCTCAACACATTTATAATCACTCAATACATTTTGTGTGGGTAGAAGATTTAAAACATACTGTAGTGGAACTTAAGAACCTGATTTGTGTCAAGGGTAGAAGTTTATTCTCCTTGATTTCAAAAGATTCTGACTTAAAGGTTAACAAACTAAGAATTAAAACTAAAGGATGTAAAGATAGAAGTTCTAGCTAGAGATTTATTACCTATCAGCTAGCGTCTCGGGTCATTGACTGGGAATCCAAGGCCGGAGAAGGAGATGTCTTGTTGACTTCTTTCGTTAGTAGCTAGGGCTAGGGAGAGGTCCTACGGAGCGTCCGGCTGGTGGAGATGGAATCCAGCCTTCCACTCGGCCCAGTGGTGCATCCGGCGAGTGGTCATGGCGTTCAGACATTCAACCGGCGTAGACATTAGCTTCAAGTTCACAGACTCACCAACGACGGTGAAATGGAACGAAAGTGAATGAGGGAGGGGGAGAAAGGATATGGGCGTTTAGGGTTTTCAATTAGGGAATGGGCGTAATTTTAATGAAAATATGGCCCTCAAATTTGCCTCTTCACATGCGTTACAATAGAGTCCACCAAAAGTAACACTGGATGAACAAATGTAATAGTTCAATAAATCGTATACCAGCGTTACATTAGCACTGCAATAAATGCAACAATTTTGACTTAAATGTAACGAAACCTTCAAAACTATTACAATAGACTGATTTTAGGTAACACTTTCAATAAACGTTACAATTTTAATGATACGTTGACTCAAAAATGTAGTAGTCAAGTTTTATATTGGTGGTAAATAACTTAAAATAACTTATTCTACTTTAAACAAAGGACAAAAGCATGTATGTTCTAAAGTTTCACATTTTGTACTTAGTTGTTTGAGAATAGTTGAATAATTTTAATGTTGTCTAAAGTATAGTTTAGATAATTACATATTTGTTCTGTAATAAAAAGTTGTGTGATAACAAACAAAAATAACTAACAATATAACAATAAAATATCATTGTCATGCAACAACAAGCAAAAATATAAATTACAATTTAAAATATCAATATATTAGTATTATAGAAAAAAAGTAAAGGGTGTACAAAAGTGTTTCACTTAGGATGTTTTCTTTTAGACTCAAACTTGCTGGTCTAGTCTGGTCTGGTAAACATCTGGTCTCTGTGTATTTTATAACTACGGAAGTCTGGTCTGGTCTGATCTGGTTTGGTCTGGTCTAGGACTGAAAATGGTCCAAAAGAAAACATTCTTAATTAAGCCACAAATATCAAATGACAATATCTTAATAATCATAATAAATTTAGTATGAAACATTAATTTTATAGAATTAAGAATTAAGAACTAAAAAATAGTATACAAGTATATAATGATTAATAAATAAAATAAAATATTTTAAAAGTACAATTTATTCGGTTCCGTTCAATTTTGTAGAGGTGAAAATCGAAACCAAAATCAAACAAGTACAGTTAGATTTGATTTTCATGTTTACCTTTTTGAGTTCGATTGGATTGTCTTCGCATGGACCGGTGGGAAGGAATAAATGCAAAAGAATTTTTGTTATTCATTTCATCCGATCCATTTACTCATGATTCAAAACATATGAGCTCCATTTAGTAGTTTACACGTTAAATTTGTGCACGCATATGATAGCATGCAAAATTAATGGAATCAATCAATTTGAATGTAAAATACATAACATTATTTGACTAAGGGGTGTATTGAATATGGATTGTGTCTCGGAAAAACGAAGAAATATTAATTAATAAAAATAATTAATTAATTAAATAGTCAAAGAAAAACAGAAAAAGGAGATGGGATAGAGTTTAGCCAGAGCTCGTGCTACGCACGATGATCTTAAAACGTATTCGTCGCCTCTCACGGTGCTAGGAGCGTTGCAACGACCATTTCCCAGGATACGGTGGCTAACGAACTAACGTTTGAGCACACAAATGAGAGTTCTGGCGAACGGGAACAAAGGCAGAACACTCAGGAATTTTCGGAGTAGTTGGAAGTGTTTTAGAGTTCAAAAATACGTGAGGAATGTATTGTGTGTTTTGTCTGAACGTGTGTTTCTTGCAAACCACCTGCCAGCTATTTATAGGAGGATTTGTTGTGTGTTAAATGGAGTGTTAATGGACCTGAACGTTGGACATCAATGACCAGTCCGTTGAGCATTGAATCGTCCATAAACTGTCCATTTAACGCATCATTAAAAGACAAGAACGTTGGACATTTATTGCTGTAACGGACCAGAAGACCCCAACAGAGGACCTCAAGGCCTTCTGTTCGGAAGCCAACAGAGAACCTCTCTGGTCTTCTGTTTTTCGGACGGCATTCGTGCAGGTCGCCCGCGCACACGAGTCGCGATTTTTCTTCTCCGTTTCGGGATTTGATCGGCATCCCCCCTGCGCGCGAGAGAGAGCCTCTACCTTAAGGAATCTTAACTCCTTAAAAGAAGCTTCCCTTTACAAGGGGGTGAGAATCCTTTGAGTTTTCCGGTGTGATATAAAACACACTAGAAACCCATCTTTTCCTAGTTTTTCCATTTCAACGAGTGAACTTCGAGAATCAATTTCTCATTCACCCGTTATCCGTTTTGAGTGTACCATATATCGAATTGAAGCCCTTAACTAGGACAATCCGAAACCACTTTGACCCGACCCAAATCGGAAGTGGACCCCACTCAAATAATTTCCCTAAAATGACCATTTAATGCAATTTTAACACATTTTTCCAACAATAGGGTCGCAACGCAGGGATATGAATCGACAAAGTGTGGAACCCCGGCCGAGGTCGACCTCGACCCACCAAGGTCGGCACAAACATTGAGCTCGCAGATCACCCAAATATGATGAAATATGAGGCCGACCTCGAACACACTGAGGTCGGTACCGGATCTGACCTCGAACACACATGCTAAGTCAGAGGAAGTTAACGAGAGTCAAACAAGAACGAAGAAATGACCATCACTGGATAGACCAAAGCCAGGAAAGCCTCCCTGAGCAAATACACCATGCCCGACCTCCGACCTCCTAGAGCTCGGGGTCCCATTTACTAAGCATGGACTTAGGCATTTCAGCAATCCGAGATAAAGAAATAATCTGAATAACACACGTGTAACCCACACATGTTCTGGTGTGAATCCGTTACATGTCGTACCAAATAGCCAGTTGTAGCAATTATCCCTCCAATCACCTTTACACGTGTCACCATATTATTAGACTAGTTTGTTTATTCTGTTATACAAGCGGGACACATGTCTTCACCACAATAGAATAACATCTTTTTTACTTGTTGGCCAAATATTTCTCCCTTAGTATAAATATCACCTCCCAACCTGTGTAAAGGGATCCAAAATTGTCTGTGCAAACCTGTTGTTACGCCGCCGAAATTTACACTCGATCTTACTTAGCATTTTTCCGTCTTCCTCTCCACTTTTCCCGGATTCTGGCTACCCCAGGGTCGACAATCCATCATATACTACCTTCGTTCTCTTTTAAATGCAACGTTGGACTTTTTACACTATTCACATGTTCTACTTTGACTCTATTTTTTTATTAATGTATTACAAATTAAATTTAAAAAAATATTATTAAATTCTTCTCATTTTAAATTTTCAAAATTTATTTTTTTATTTTTTTACTAATAAGGAATAAAAGATATTAATGATCAAACTTGTGCGTTGGCAAACGTGAAAAGTAAACTGTTGCAATTAAAAAAGAATGGAGGAAGTATATAGATCCAAATTACTCTAAATATATCGGAAAAATTACGGTAGAGATTATAGATCCTTTTAACCTGACGGTTAATTTTTTTTTAACCACCCCTCAAATTTGTTCTGGTTCCGCCCTTGGACAAATGAATTGGCTGCATAGTCTCACCATATGGGGTGTGCAAAAACAGGAGCAAGGTTTGAAAATTCCCAAAACACGAATACGCCTGGAGAAAGAGATCATAGCCGGAGTTGTCACCGGAGCGGTTGCCGGAATTCGTCAAAAAGTTCCAAATCCGGTATGTAGATGCCCAACCTGCCGCCGCCACAAGCCAATCGCCGGAATCTGCCGCCGTCTGAAAAGTTCCAAAATACATATGCTAGCATTTTGACGTCGATGCCGATCGTTGTTGTCGCCGCTGATCGTCGCCACCACCACCGAACTGTCCACCACCAACAGACTGACCCAGTTGTTCAAGGAAACTAGGAGGGCAATTAGTTAATTAGATTAGGGATATTAGATTATGGATTAACTCCAATTTAAGTACAAGCTGCAGTTGTATGTTTTACTGGATGTTTTTACTTGAGCTGTAATTTGCTCATATGGTCTGGTCTGATCTGAATTAGTTTGGTTGGTTTCTTTGTATTTTTATAACTATCCAAGTCTGGTTTGATCTGAACTAGTCTGATCTGGTCTGATCCGAGAGGAATTACAATTCAAATAAAAACATCCTGAATAGATTGAGGTTGATGGGTAGGACTGTAGAAGGGGTGTTATGCAATTTTACAGAATTTCACTTTTGAGACAATTACTAGTAATAAAAATTGACATGGAATAAATTACCAACAATACAGTCATAAAACGCTTGCTCCGTATCATAATAGGTGCAACATTGGAATTTACATACTATTCATATACTTTACTTTGACTACATTTTATTTATCAATGTATTTGTATTATTTTTTTTGAAAAATATTGTTAAATCGGTCTCGTTACAAATTTTGATTTTTAAAAAAAATTTACTAAAAGAAAATTAAATACTACGTATAATGACTGAGGAAGTATAAGGGAGCATTTTGTCCGCTTGCTGCAATTGCTCGTTCAATTCCTTCGATGTCAACACAAAGGCTGCTACTCCGCAAAACAAAGCCATTTCTGAATGCAACATCATCTTCAGCTTCAGAGCCATCCCACTACTCTAATGAATTCCCAAACATAATTGTGAATTCTGTAGACACCTTCTTGGTCGAGAAAATAATGTGGACTCTCAAACAAGGTACGCATCATCGGAGCTCCCTGTTTCTTCGCCTAAACACATCGGCTTATCTCGAAGTTATTAGAAAATGTAGCGATAATTTGGCTTCAGCTTCGAACTTTATCGATTCCGTTGCTTCAAACAATCCCAATTTCAAGCATTCGTCCACCTCTCTCAGCGCTGCTGTTCAAATACTCGTTAGGTGCAAGAGAATCTCCGAAGCACAGGCTTTGATACTGAGAATGGTTCGTAAGAGTGGTGTTTCTAGGGCCGAGACGGTTGAGTCCATGATTTACACTTACAGTATGTGTGGATCGAATTTGTATGTTTTTGATTTGTTGATCAGGACCTATGTGCAAGCTAGGAAGCTGAGGGAAGCTGTAGAAGCATTCAGGTTGTTGCTTAGCAGAAGGTTTTGTGTTACTATAAATGCTTGTAATAGTCTTCTTGGCGGCTTAGTGAAGATTGAATGGGTTGATTTGGCATGGGAAGTGTACAGGGAAACGATCAGAAGTGGTGTTCCAGTTAATGTGTATACCCTCAACATAATGGTTAATGCATTTTGTAAAGTCGGTAAGATTGAGGACGCAAAGGTGTTTATTGATGGAATGAAAGAAAAAGGGATTTTGGAGGATACTGTGACTTACAACACCCTGATTAGTGCTTATTGCCGTAAGGGTCTTGTAGGTGAGGGGTTTGAATTGATGAACGCGATGTCCCTCAGGGGATTGAAACCGTGTTTGTTGACCTATAACTCCATTGTTAAAGGACTGTGTAAGAAGGGACAGTATCAGAAGGCAAGGGATGTTTTGAATCAGATGGTGTGTAGTGGGTTGAGCCCTGATACCTGTAGTTATAATGCATTACTTGCTGAGTGTTGCAGAAAAGATGATGTGTTAGAATCTGAATCCATTTTCCATGAAATGGATCATCTTGGTGTAAGTCCAGATTTGGTTAGTTATAGTTCACTAATTGGGTTATTTTCAAGAATTGGCCGCATTGATCGTTCATTAGCGTATTATGAGGATATGAAGTCTAAGGGGATTGTCCCAGATAATGTAATATATACCCTTCTCATTAGTGGCTTTTGTAGGAACCATTCTATATCTGAAGCTTTAAAAATGCGTGATGAAATGTCAGTTCAAGGTTTGGCCATGGATGTAGTTGGTTACAATACTCTTTTGAATGGCTTATGCAAAGAAAAAATGCTTACCGAAGCCGACCTAATTTTCAAAGAGATGGTTGAAAGGGGTGTGTTTCCCGATTTTTGCACGTTCACGACACTCATAAATGGATATTGTAAGAATGGTAGCATGGAAAAGGCACTCTCACTATTTGATTCTATGCTTCAAAGCAATCTCAAGCCAGACGTGGTAACATATAACATCTTGATTGATGGGTTTTGCAAGGATGGTGATATGGAAAGAGCTTTTGAACTAAGAGATCATATGATATCTGAAAATATACATCCTAATTGTGTTACATATAGCACTTTAATAAATGGTTACTCCAACAAGGGTGGTGTTTTTTATGCATTGAGATTGTATGATGAGATGGTTGGTTTAGGAATCAAGCCGACCGTGGTCACATGCAACTCCCTTGTTAAAGGATATTGCAGATATGGTAATGCTGAAAAAGCAGGAGAGTTTCTTGCTAAGATGCACTCTGAGGGGGTGTTTCCTGATTTGGTTACATATAATACTCTAATACATGGTCTGATTAGAGAGGAGAGATTGGACAAAGCATTGCGATTAGTTGATGAAATGGAAAATCATGGTATATTACCTGATGTGGTAACGTACAATGCCATTCTGGGTGGGTTTTGTAGGGTGGATAGAATGGAAGATGCCAATTTGGTATACCTGAAGATGATGGAAAGAGGAATAAATCCTGACAGATCAACATATACATCATTGATAAATGGATATGTTTTGCAAGACAACATAAAGGATGCTTTCTTGTTCCATGATGAAATGATCAGAAAGGGGTTTGTACCAGATGATAGGTTTTAACCTTTTTTGTCACTTTCAAGTTTCAAGTTGATAGTCATATTCAGTCATCTGCCATTCCAGAGGCTTTGTCCATGTATTTTTTAAAAAGCGCTTGATTACACGATGTTAATAATGAGAGAACTGGGTATGTTTCACCAACTTATTTGTATATATTGAGTGCCTTTTATTGCTTGTGGAATTCTCACTTTTTGTGGAATAAAACTTTTCATTGTTCAATTGTTGCTCAATGCTGACCAACAAGGAAATGTTCTCTTTGCAGGGATCCCAATGTTCAATCAATGATAAATGCTGGCCAACAAGGAAAATGTTCTCTTTGCTTGGATCCCCATGATGAGTTGCGTCTTTGGGATTGTTTGAAGTCCCCATGGGACCTGGTAATATAAATTTACTAATTACTATTAATTGACATATCATTCAAGATTTTCTTCCCACCAATTTTTGGAAATATGCTAAATTTCTATTTAATCCTTTGTAAGGGATATAGCATGGAAAATGCTGCCTGGGACAGAACATTGGAAATGTAAGGTCATTCTTATTTAAAAGCAACGTCCTCGAGATACCTTGACAAACCCAGGGAAAAGTTTCAGAAATTTACACTGCAAGATGTAGTTGTGACTTGTGAGTATGTTATTTTTTGTTGTTTAAGTTTTAAAGTATTTGCAAGCTTGTAATGTATAGGGGACAATCGTTCAAATGAGAATCTATGATAGGGGCATATTGAGTTATGTCCTATGATGGAACTATGTTTGCTGTTATTCAAGATGGTCATTTTGGATGTTTTTAATTGGACCAGTTTCAATCTCTAAGATCAGACAAGACCAGACTAAAGCAAACTAGACCAAGCACCAGCAGTTGTTAAATACACATAGAACATACATCTACCAGACCTGTTAGAGATACTATATCTACGAACTGTGTAATAAGCTGAGTATTCAGTTAGCTAGTTATAGTTAGTCAAGCTGTTTAGATTCAGTTACAAGTTGGTTATACTACCTCTCTATAAATACTGATGTACTGGTATTATGTGATTAATGAAAATCCTTCTTCTTCATTTCATATTCTGGCTACTTTTCTAATATGGTATCAGAGCTTTGAGCTCGATCTACCATGACGAATTCAACTTCTACGACATCTTCTTCTTCCGCAGCTGGGAATTCAACTTTTCCAGCTGTATTCACGCATCCTCTCCCAATCAAACTTGGTTCAAACAACTTTCTTCTTTGGAAGCATCATATCGAATCCATCATTCGAGCACACAAATTGTTGCAATTTGTGGAAAATCCGAAGATTCCAGCTCAGTTCATCCATGGCGATGACGGAACCAGGTCAATCAACGATGAATATGCTGTATGGGAACAACAGGATCAGATGCTTTTCTCATGGCTTATTTCCTCTCTATCGGAATCACTTCATGCTCGCGTAATCCATTGTCAACGTTCGCACGAGCTTTGGAGTACGATTCGGAAATTTTTCCAATCAAATCTCACTGCGAAGGCACGCCAGCTCAAATCCGAGCTCTACAATACTGGTAAAGGAGATCGCTCGATTGAAGAATATCTTCTTCGAATTCAAACAACTGTTGATAATCTGAGTTTGATTGGTGAGCCAATTTCTACTAAAGAACATGTGAATGTTATTCTTGAGGGACTTCCAGAAGAATATGAATCTATTGTATCATCCGTATCCTCTCGTAGCCTCCTTGATCCGATAACTGTTTCAGAACTTGAACCTCTGCTTTTACTCAAAGAAATGCGTCTGAAAAAGCATCGTGAAGCAACTACTCCTAATATTTTTTCTGCTAATGTCGCTCATGCTGAAAGCACTTCTCAAACTTCCAGTTCAGAAACTGTCACAGCAACCGAAACTTCTTCTGCTAATATGGCACAATTTCATAACCCTAATCAGTCAAATCCATATAGAGGAAGAGGTCGTGGAGGTCCAAACAGAGGTAGAGGTGGTCGTTTTGGAAATCGAAGCTCAGTAATATGTCAGGTGTGTGGAAAGTCTGGACATCATGCCCTAATTTGTTATCATCGCTACAATCCTAATTTTACATATCCAAACCCTAATCCAAATTACACCAATTCTAACCATGGACCTTCAAGTCAATGGAACTCACAATCATCTAATTCATACACTCCATCTCACTTCAATCATTCACCCTACTATACTCCAAGACAGAATATACTTCAACACTTCAGCTCTTCAGCTCCTGCTAATCTTCCTAACCATCAATCTACAGCTCAAGAGACTTTCAATTGGGATCAGCACTCAGCCAGACCTCTACCATCTGCAGCATTTGCTAGTACAAACTCTGTTCTTGGACCACCTCCATCTTCTCAACAATGGTTCCCTGATTCAGGTGCTACTCATCATGTGACTGCTGATCCACTCAATTTTCAGCACAGTGAGCCTCTTGTTTCAACTGACAAACTCTTTATGGGTAATGGTCAAGGTGTGGATATCAAATCTATTGGTTTTTCTTCCTTTCTATCTCCCTATTCTAAGTCTCAGTCTCTTATGTTAACTAATATGCTTCATGTCCCTTCTATAACCAAAAATCTCATGAGTGTTAGTAAATTTGCTAAAGACAACAATGTTTTCTTTGAATTCCATCCTTATGATTGTTATGTCAAATCTCAGGCTTCTAAACAGGTTCTTCTACATGGAGTACTTGGTGCTGATGGTTTATACAAGTTCCAGTCCATACCTCCTCTTGGTTTACATCAATTCAAAGATGCAAGTCTGTCTACCTCAATAGTGTCCACAACAAACACCCTTTTGTACCCCCTTTCCTTTGTTTCCACTTATAATACATCTAGCTCTTGCAATAATGCCTCAGTTTCTTGTAATATTTGGCACCTAAGATTAGGCCATCCACATTTTGAAGCACTGAGATCTGTACTCAACACTTGTAATGTGTCTGGCATAAATAAAAATGATGTTTCATTCTGTTCTTCTTGTTGTCTTGGTAAGGCTCACAGACTACCCTCAGACTCATCTAATACTGTATATAAATCCCCATTTGATCTTATCTTTACAGACTTATGGGGCCCAGCCCCCATGTATTCATTTGATGGATATTCATATTACATCTCCTTCATTGATGCCTGTACCCGATACACTTGGATATATTTTCTAAAGAAGAAATCTGATGCCATTACAGCTTTTCAGAACTTCCATAGATATGTTCAAACTCAATTTTCAAAATCCATCAAATCTGTCCAGTCTGATTGGGGAGGTGAGTTCAGATCCTTCACCACCTTTCTTGCTGAGAATGGAATAACACATAGGGTTATTTGTCCACATACACATCATCAGAATGGTGTTGTGGAAAGAAAACACAGAACTATAGTTGAGAAAGGCCTTTCCATTCTTGCTCACTCCTCATTACCTTTAAAATTCTGGGATGCTGCCTTCTCCACCTCAGTTTATCTTATCAACAGAACTCCATCAACTTCTATTGCCAACTCAAGTCCATATTTTCAACTCCATGGAACCAGTCCAGATTACTCTCTACTAAAAGTATTTGGTTGTTCTTGCTATCCATTCATTAGACCCTACAACAAACATAAAATGGCCTTTCATTCAGAAGAGTGTATTTTTATAGGTTACTCACCTCAGCACAAAGGCTATAAATGCCTCTCCTCTTCTGGCAAAATCTACATCTCTAAGGATGTTACCTTTCATGAGGCAAGATTTCCTTACTCTATTCTTTTCCCATCCACCTATACTGATTCCAAGTCATCTCAGTCTTCAGTTTCTGCCCCTTTAACTGTGATTCATCCCTCATCTTTCTCTAATGTCTCTTCTTCTCAAATCACTGAACCACAATCTACCTCTTCTCAAAGTCAAAATCTGTCCCATACATCTTCTTCCAACTCTCAGAATTCTAACTCTGACCAAAACCATATGTCTCCACCCCAATCTCCAAATAACTCAACTCAGTTTTCACAAAATATTTCTCCTACAAATTCATCTTCTTCTCCTATTCCAACTAACACTCATCCTATGCAAACTAGGGCAAAGTCAGGAATTGTTAAACCTAGATTGAATCCCACCTTACTATTAGCTCATACTGAGCCTAAATCAGTTAAGCAAGCTTTATCTTCTCCACAATGGTTTTCTGCTATGCAGGCTGAATATGATGCATTGATAGCAAACAATACATGGTCTCTTGTTCCTCTGCCACCAAACAAACAAGCTGTTGGATGTAAATGGGTCTTTAGGGTCAAAGAAAATACTGATGGTTCTCTAAACAAGTTAAAAGCCAGACTAGTAGCCAAAGGATTTCATCAAAGATTTGGATTTGATTTTGGAGAAACCTTCTCCCCTGTTGTAAAACCCATTACAATCAGAATCTTGCTCACTCTAGCTATATCTCACAAATGGTCAATTCAACAGCTTGATGTGAATAATGCCTTTTTAAATGGCAGTCTAGAGGAAGAGGTCTATATGGTTCAACCTCCAGGCTTTGAAGTCAAGGATAACTCTCTTGTTTGCAAACTGCATAAGTCACTATATGGACTTAAACAGGCCCCCAGAGCCTGGTTTCAAAAGCTAACCTCTGTTCTCTATGCTGCTGGATTTTAAGCAAAGCAAATGTGATCCCTCTCTGCTTTCCTTTCTACAGTCTGGAGTTCAAATCTACATTCTGATCTATGTAGATGATATCTTGGTTATTGGGAATAATCACACTGCTATTCAACAACTCATTCATAAGCTCAATTCATCCTTTTCTTTGAAACACTTGGGGGAAATTGACTTCTTTCTAGGTATTGAAGTCAGGAGACAAAGTAATGGGAGTCTACATTTATCTCAAACCAAATACATCAGAGATCTTCTAAACAAAGCTGGGATGCTTGAATCCAAAGGAGTCAAAACTCCTATGGTCAGTAACTGCAAACTCACCAACACAGGCAGTAACCCTCTATCTGACCCTTCTACCTACAGGTCAATTGTTGGGGCCTTACAGTATGCAACTCTCACACGGCCAGAAATTAGCTTTGCAGTCAATAAAGTTTGTCAATTCATGGCCACACCTCTGCAGGATCATTGGCAAGCTGTCAAACACATTCTCAGATATCTCTCTGGTACCATAACCCATGGTATTATTATCAAACCCTTGCCCCTTGCCACTATTCCTTTGCCAATCTCAGCCTTTTGTGATGCTGATTGGGCATCTGATCATGTTGACAGAAGGTCCACTTCTGGATCCTGCATTTTCCTTGGTCCAAACATTATTTCCTGGTGGTCAAAGAAACAAGTAAGGGTTGCAAGGTCTTCAGCTGAAGCTGAGTATAGAAGCTTGGCTGACACAGTTGCTGAACTTTTATGGATCCAATCTCTGCTTAAGGAACTTCAAGTTCCTTTCACTATTCCCAAAGTTTACTGTGATAACCTTAGCACAGTACAACTTGCACATAATCCAGTACTTCATTCTCGCATCAAACACATGGAGATTGACCTATTCTTTGTCAGGGAACAAGTTCAGTCTAAACAGCTTGAAGTATATCACATTCCAGCCCTCTATCAAATTGCTGATGTTCTTACAAAACCATTGACTGCCTCATCCTTCCTTGAGCTCAAGACCAAACTTAGTGTGATTGATGTTCCACATCAATCACCCTAACTTTGTGGGGGGAATGTTAGAGATACTATATCTACGAACTGTGTAATAAGCTGAGTATTCAGTTAGCTAGTTATAGTTAGTCAAGCTGTTTAGATTCAGTTACAAGTTGGTTATACTACCTCTATAAATACTGATGTACTGGTATTATGTGATTAATGAAAATCCTTCTTCTTCATTTCATATTCTGGCTACTTTTCTAATAAGACCAAATCAAATTAGACTTAAATCACTCATAATTGTGTTTCCTTTTGGATTTTGCTCAAGAGAACAACCTGTTTATCACTCATAATGTTTAGATATCTTTGTTTGGGTCAACTACCAGCTACCAAAAAATATCATAATTGTTTGTCACCAACAACTGAAAACAAAAGAGCTTGTTGTGATTGATTTTTTTGACTCTATCTTCCAACACTTGCTAAGTTTCTATAAATTACTGTACTCCTTTATTGTTGGAATATGTGCTTTTGTACTTGTAGTAGTATGAAAATGTCATCGTTAAGCTGTGTAGCGAATCTGTTGATAACTTGATATAGAAGGAGCTTCAATAAAATAAAAATTTGATGCAGGTAATTTTCCAGTACTTAATCTTAAAAGAATTGCTGTGCCAGGATATTGAGGGTTACATCTTAATTTCAGTAGGTATATTGAAAGGAAGGAACAAGGCCTATTGAATTATTAGGATGTGTAAAGGAAGGAACGAATGAACAAGATAAAGTTATTATGTGGGGAAGTTGAAAGCAGTTAATATATGCTACAGATGGTGAAAATGCTGAAACCCTCGTCAATACTTCTGCAGCAATATACATATATTTTCAACAATCCTAAAATATTACGGAATATCAAGTACTCCCTCCGTCCCAGCCAAAGTTGACTTGCACGTAGATTAATAACGTAAAAACTGTGTGGTTGAAATTTGTGCAGAGAAGAGAGAAATAACATTATCCACATATTGTAACTATCCATAAATGATGCATCTCCTCCTTGAAACCCGACACATTTCTTAAAATTAATTTGTAACCGTAGCCTTAGAGGCAGTGGTTATCATTTGTCTAGAACACATTCATATTGTTTGTTTAAAAGATGGGTTTTATGGGTTTCTTATTTTGTGTATATGATGTTGTAGAAATAGGGTGATCTGGTTAATTGGTTATGAACTTGTTGAGTATTCAGATGTCTGTACTCATAGGATCAAATTTTGAACTTCTTATTCCTGTCAACTTCAAGCAGGATGGACCATTAAACACTGCAGGACAGGTTCTTTCCATACAGAAAAAGCCCACAAGAAACTTCCAAACTAAATTTCCTTCCAAAGTTTGCACTTTTTATGTTCCTGAGCAGAAATCTCTCGGAGGACGTCTCATGGCATTAGCTTTGGACAGAGCGGCTAAGACAAATGATGATCTTTGTCTATGTACATATGTGGCCTCCGCTCTCAGTGTCTTTCTTCCCTATTTAAAGAACGAGTTGGCCAATGCTCTTTCTCAGTTAGGTGTATCCGTGTATCCCCCGAGTATGTTTTCATCCCTTCCAGAGCCGCTGAACATTCGATTAACTTTGACTCCATCCCTGTGTCTGATTGGTCAACTATTCTTGCTCGTGGGGCCTATGTCATATTAACACTTTTCAAAACTGTTTCTCCAGCCCACTACACCCAATGCCTGATAAGAAGGTTTGAGGCACTAAAAAGGCTTGCAGGTTGCTGCCCTAATGCTGAAATCCCTGTGCCTCTAAACCAGTCTAAGGCTAACTCTCTGCGTACAATGCTAGGATCAAACCGAGCACTCATAAAGAGGATAATCGAACTGGTTCTTGATTTCATGTCAGATGGTAACTTGCATTCAGTCTTCTTGTATGTAGCTAATATCCTGGCCCACAACGTCAGGGATGATTTCACGTTCATATATGATACATTTGTGAAAGATGAATTGCCTGTGCTGACTGATTCCAGAGTGTAACATGATGTCACAAAACTACAACAGGCTGTCAAGTTTGTTAAACGTCCGTATTATCCGAAGTTTGCTCGTTACCTGGCTTTCCCTGCTGACTCATTCAAGCTGGACGGGTCTCGATTCCCTATTTTGATGTATGTTGCAAAGTAGTTCAAGGCTGAGGAGCAGCAATCCTCGGTGGCAGGTAATCACTACCAATTTGTTCCAGCCCGGTCTGTTGTTGTTGATAATGACCTTGTCAAGGACCTGCTGGCATGGAAGAGAGATTCTTAAGTGCTTACAAATACTTCACCAATATGGAAGGTTGTTTTTGAGGGCTTGCCATTGGTTGATGGTGTCCTAACTAACATCCAAACTTTTTCATGGAAATATTGTGATTGATTTTGAAGTGTTTTGGAAGTTTTGCTTTGCTTTTGGCATTCCTATCATTTTGCCAATGTACATATTTTTGCAGGCGTGAATTGTGTTGTATTTTACGTTGAATTGTGCATTATGAAAGCCTTTTACTGCAACATAATCGAATTCAACGACGTAAATATATTATCTTCTGGAATTAAGAATTGGATGTTGTTGTATGTTATAAACAAGAGATAATTCCCTAACTAGGACTAAAATTTGTACAAAATGCAATAATAGGACTCCAAGGGTTTGTAGTGCTCCGTAGGACTAAAGTAAGGTGACATGACAACATTACCCTTAATGAGTAAATCAGTTAATTAATTAATTAATAATACAAAATCAATATATATATATATATATATATATATATATATAAAAGAACTTTTTAAGAGCATACAAAGCGATATATAATCCTGCCATGTCATTATATATAACAATTATTTACTTATTTTTTGGTCGGGCCTAGTTCAGAAGGTCAACAGGGTTGAAGAACCTGACAAACTCCCTCAGCTACGGAGAAGGGCCATCCTTCATCTCCCCCTCTCCCTGCGCTTTCTCCTGGAGAAGCTTCAAGGCTCCATCATAAGCCTCAACGAATGAAGCATTGAACCCGGCAGCTTCAGGATCAAATGGGGCAGGGAGGTAACATTCAAGGATCGGGAGATTGCCTGCCAAGAGGCCGATCATCTCCTTGGCGAAGGAATCATCAGCAAGATCATCAAGGAAAGCCTGGCCTGCGGGGGTCTCCGATATCAGCTTGATGCCATCCTGCAGCGCATCGGGACTCTTGGCCAGATACTCCCCTAAGTTTCGGGCGAGGCGCATCTTCGCATGGACGTCCACAACATCAACATAGGCCTTGGATTTTTGGAACTCGATGGATCCAACATTCTTAATCTTTGAAAAATTGGCCTAAAAACGGGAACGGCCCCTCCGCGCTAACCTGACGAAGTTGCAGATCGGTCTTCTCCACGGCGGCCATCTTGGCACGAAGCAGCTGTAGCTCCTCGGCTTGCTTCCTCACCGTCTCCTGAAGAGAGGCACCCTCCTTGGCAAGCGAAAGGGCGGTGTCCAACTCTTGCTGCATCTTGGCCAGACGCTCCTTGGCTTTCTGAACGAGGGCCTCAGTGTCACAATGCAACTTGGCAGAAGAACGGTCCTGCGCCTCATAGGCGAACTGCGCCTTGCTGAAATAGACGGCAGCCTTGTTGAGAGTGTTAAGGCTGCATTCATGGAGGTCCACCGGGTTCTCGTGAGCAGCAAAATCATGGGGGATCCTCAACCCCATGGAACACCAAATGGAAGAAGCCGTCTGACCAAACAGCTTTCTCGACTCCGCACGGGGACCCATCCCGAAGAACTCGATGATATCAGAGGAAGAGCCTTTAGAACCAGGCGGAGGGGGGACACACGTCACTTTGGCCGTCGGAATAGCGGAACGTCTCTTGGTGGGGGAGGCGGCTTCATCGTCCGACCCATCAAGGACCACCACAGCCTTGGAAGACCCCTCCTCGCGACGGGGCTTTTTGGGAAGCCGTTCGTCCCCAACATGGCCTTCAAGCTTGGGCCTCTTCAGGCCCGGGTCATCGCCCACAATTTTCTTCCCTTTACCCACATCGGCCCGATCGGAGATAGGAGGGATGCCGCCACGAGGAGCCATGGCGGGAGACTTGGGAAAAAGGCCCGCACAAAGAAATCACAAGGGTCAGAGCCGAATAAAAAAAACGCGATCGAAGGGCCAGGACCTGGGCTGTGATGAAGACGTACCTATGCCAGCCTTGCTCAGATTGGTATCATTCACAAGCAGCCGCAAGTTTTGAAACCCCAGACCGGCAATCCGGGCTGTCTGTTCCAGCTCGGCAAAACTCAGGGTTAGAGGCTCGAACTTGACCGAATAGGCGTTCCACCGATCAGAGAAGGGAAGGGGAGCGCCAACCTCGGCGAAGAAGAATCTCTCCTCCCAGCCGTTCGGGTTTGGGGGGTTATTGGAAAAAAGAACTCTCCATGGGCGGGCCACAAGGTTAAGATAGCATGTCTGACCATTGGGGGAGAGTCGGAAGAAGTGCAGGAACAACTTCTCGGAAGGATCCACCCCCGCATCATGGCAACAAATATTAAAACCGGCTATGGTCCGGTGGGAGTTGGGGATGAGCTGCGCCGGGGCGATGCACAGGCCCCTAAAAAGGGACACATGGAAAGGCAGCAGCAGGAAGAGGAGGCATGCGGACACAGAGTCCAGGTGGACAACCACATGGCCAGGCAAATGCCGCATGGGATGACGGATGGACCGTGCGTCCCAGCCTCGTGGCGGAGGGAACAACCGAGGAATCGAATCCCTTTCACGAGAAAGTAGACGTTGGCGCTGACGCCGAACGAGGTGGAAATTCAGATAATAACGGGGAGTTACAACCATCATCAGGTGGCCCCTCAGGACGGCCACGGGGGATGGCCTGGGGACAATAGAAGCCATGGCAAAGAATGGAGGAAAGAACGAGGAACTTACAAAAGAACTAAGAGATTTAGAGAGAGAAAGCAATCAAGCAGAATAACAGCTAAAGAAGGAGGCACAATGGCACCACCTCGATGATGGGGGTACTTATAGGCTCCACCGCCGGTTCCCCCTAAATCCAGGGAGGACATGTGGCAAACCGTGTTTAGTGTATCGTGCGGGAGGAAGGGCGCTTTGATACCCGCGCCAATAAAGGACGCGTATCAAGGGCCCCTTCCTACACCCGAGGGGACGAGCGTCCCCACCATAAGAAACTTAAATAGAAGGTAGGGGAAGATACGAGCGGTCGAGGGAAGATAATTGCTGAAAATTGTGAGCAAAAGGGAAACTTTATTCCTCGGCTCTGCTGACCGGAAGATACAAAATAAGCAAAAGCAAAACGGGGGAGGGGTCACTGAAGGAACCCATGAGCGGGAGAGCGTTGAGCGGAGGCCTGTGGCACTTCACCCTCTTCATCAAGATCAATCTCGGGGGTCGGGGGATCGAGAATTTCTCCCCACTGAACGGCTTCGGCCCGTCTCTGATCCCGGTCGATCTTGGCCACAACTTGCCGGAGCTCTTCCTCCTCCGTATGGTCTTCAATGTTGAAGTGGGGGGGGGGGGGGGGGGGGGGGGGGCAGCCAATCTTTGGGAGGATCTGCTTCACGCCCAAATAGTATCCTTTCGCGAAGTTATCCTCCGCAAGCTCAAGCATCCATTCAGAGCCGAGCGGAGTCTTCTCCGGAAGCTCCACCCCATGCTGCAGACGCCCCTTGGACGGTACGGCCTGCAGCTCTATGACACCCTAAAATTTTAAAATAGAAGTATAATAATGAAATAAAATAACACTAAATCAGATATAATATAATCTATCCGATAAAAAAAAATGAATATTTTAAATAACTCTATCAATACTCAAAACGTCAAATGATATTTCAGTACACAAAATAATAAAAGTACTTTTTATAAGTCCTACAGCGAAAAGGGGTATAGAATGTACAATTTAAGTGTATGTACAAAGTTAAATATACATTGTGATTACTATTCAACTAAATTATACCGAGTTATTATTAAAGTGATTTAAAAAGCTCCATTATTACTTTAGGTCCATAACCGGACACATACTTAATACCCATACTACATACACCCTCCGTTCTTTTTTTAGTTGCAACGGTCAATATTTCACATTTGTCAACGTACGTCTTTGACCGTAATTATATCTTAATTCTATTAGTAAAAAAAATATTAAAAATCAGATTTTGAAAATTTGTAATGAGATGAATTGAACAATATTTAAAAAAAACATTTTTTCATAAAATAATAGCGTAAAATGTAGTCAAAGTAAAACATGTGAATAGTGTAAAATTCAACATGTTGCGATTAAAACGGAACAGAGGATAGTATATACCTCCTCCGTTCTTAAATAAATGCAACGGTCAACATTTCACACTTGCCGAGACACAACTTTGACCATTAATATAAATGATTTTGTATTAGTAAAAAAATTAAAAAAATTAGATTATGAAAATTTACAATGAAACAAGTTTAACAATATTTTTTTCATAAAATAATATTATTACATTAATAAATAAATCGTAGTCAATGTAGAACATGTGAATAGTTTAAAAGTCAAAGTGTTCATTTATTTAAGAACGGAGGTAGTACATACCATCCATACATATTACATATACATACATATATGCATAATAATAACTAAAGAGTAAAGAGGGGTGACTTTTCAAATAAACAAACACCATGTGTCCATGTACATACATACCAGGGTCGGCCCTGGTGGTGTGCAAGGTGTCCAACCGCATAGGGCCCAAAAAATTGGAAGGGCCCAATTTTTTTTTGTAGTAGTATAGAACTACCTCCGTCTCGCTATGATTGTCTCATTTTAGCTTATCGGTCCGTCCCATTAAGATTGTCTCATACCAAATTTGGTAAAATTTGTGTGGCTCTAAATCATTCTTACTTTATTCTTACTTCATCAATTCAATATCAACCACATAAACCACTTTTTATTAATTTGTGTGTCACTTCCTCTTGTCCCAATGTTAGCGGGACGGAGGGAGTAGTATTACTTAGGTGAACTAGGACAAGGCTTTGAAGCAGACCTGGTTCATTACTTCGCGTATTCCTCATCTGCAAAGGAGGAGCGAGTGAGGCATGCACGATTTGAACCCAGGTGAAAATAAAAGCATGCCCGCTGATTTCTAAACATCAACCACCGGACCAAATCAACTAATTGTTGAATTACGGACGTACAAGTTTTATATTACCTATTTGTTCTACAAAATAAATAATTAAAATACCTCTTAATAAAAATCGGTTCAGTTTGGTTTAAACTGATTTTATAACTCAAAAAACCTTCATTAAACCGATTTATATTCGAATCCCGACTTTCGGGTCCCGTTTGAGTCGGTGCGGTTTCGGTTCAGTTTTTTTAACTTGTGTTGAAACTTTGAAAAGAAGGCTCAATTATTTTTTCTGCACATGGCCTTCATTTCCTCAGGACCGGCCCTGATACATACTCCGTACATAGCATATACGAAGTACATGATACACCCATGACCCATATAACCGCATACATGCATACATATAATTGAAAGATGACTTTGTCATACATACATACTAGTATTAATGAACGTGCCCATACATACATCATACTACGTATATGGCAGCTTTTATGGAAACCATTGTTATTTAGCGCCGATAACCGAAGGCTACTAATTATATGGAAAATTAAAGATGTCCGACGTACGTACGTAAGGGAGGGCTAGAACCTTCCTGCATACTTTTATTTATAGCCAGCAATCGACGGGTCCATTTGTTGAAAGTGATCCAAGTTAGAAGTGCATGGCCACATGCATACGTAACATTTGATACATTTGCTTATTATTTGTTTGGTTATTAAGCATTTGAATAAGTCTAAGGTTGTTACCTATTGTTTAGAAGGTGTTGGTAGCTAGTGGATAGGATTGTTATGCAAGTACAAGCATGGCTTAAAATTAGGAGTTTGTTATTTTCATTTAGTGGTCATTATCTCTTGTAATATGGCTATATAAAGCCTAATTCATTCAATGAACGTATGAGCTTTTGATTGCCTTCTTTATTGTGTTATTCTTCGTGTATAACAAGTTCAACATTTGGTATCAGAGCCTGGGTTGGATCAGTCTTAAATACACGAAAGAAAACCAAGAAAAACAAAACAAAATCACCCTAAAATGCAAAGCTTAGCAAATGGAAATTCAGCCAATCAATTACCCTTGTTCAAAGGGGTTAATTATCACTTTTGGAGCTTGAAAATGAAGACCCTCTTCAAGTCACAAGAACTATGGAGTGTGGTGGAGAAAGGGTTTGAAGATGAGCAGCCTCAGGAGCCAGATCAAGCCCTTCGAGAGAAAAGGAAGAAAGATGCCAAAGCCCTTTTCCTTATTCAACAAGCTCTAGATGATGATATTTTTCCACGCATTGCTGCAGCCTCTACCTCAAAAGAAGCTTGGAGTATTCTAAAGCAAGAATACCTAGGAGATAGGAAGGTAATTATGGTCAGATTGTAGTCTCTCAGGAGGGAGATGGAAAACACACGCATGAAAGATAAGGAGTCAGTTTAGGACTATTTATCAAGAATCACAACCTTGGTGCTGCAGATGAAGTCTTATGGAGAGGAGGTTCAATCTCAGCAGGTGATAAGCAAGGTAATGAGAAGTCTTACACCAAAATATGACCAGCTTATATGTGCCATTGAAGAGGCTAAGGATATGGAAACCTATACCTTTGAAGAGCTCAAATGATCTCTTCAGGCATATGAAGAAAGACACAGAGGTGAGGCTGAAAAGAATGAAGAACAAGCGTTTCAAGCCCAGAATGAATCAACAAATGATCAAGCCTTTCAGTACCCAAACAGGGGAAGAGGAAGAGGTAGGGGAGGCTTCAGAGGTGGTCATGGTGGAAGAGGCAGAGGAAGAGGTTCCTCCAGCCATGGAGGAAGACAAGGCAATTCTAAACCTCCTATTAAATGTTACTATTGTAACAAGAATGGTCATAAGGAAGCAGAATGCTGGAGAAAGAATCCAGATCTTGCCCCCAAGAGAGAAGATCATAGGTCCAATTATGCTGAGCAAGAACAATTATTTATTGCTCATCATAGCTTGGATCATGATGGAAGTACAGTATGGTACATTGATAGTGGTTGTTCTAACCACATGACAGGATCCAAGAGCATGTTTCAGCATATTGATGAGACTAAGAAAGGCATTGTCAGAATAGGAGATGGAAAGCAACTTGAAGTCAAAGGTCTAGGAGAGATCACAATGCAGACAGAACTAGGAGGGAAGAAAGCTTTATCCAATGTACAATATGTTCCTCAACTAGCTCATAATTTGCTAAGTGTTGGACAATTGGTGGCAGGAGGCTACTCAGTTTCTTTTGCAGATGGAATATGCAAAATCAAGGATGGAGGCACAAAAGAAGTCTTGCTAAAGGCTGAAATGGGAAGAAACAAGCTGTTTCACATGGACTTGGCATTAACCAATGGAAGAGCTTTGGTAGTCAAGGGAGAAGAAAATGCCAAATTATGGCATCTGAGGTATGGTCACCTTAACATATCCAGCTTGCAAATTCTAAGTGCTAGAGGCTTTGTTAAAGGCCTACCTAGTATTGGCACACTGGAACTATGTGAAGGGTGCATATATGGAAAGCAGTCAAGAGGTTCCTTTCCAATTGGAGGCTCATGGAGAGCAAGTGAATGTCTAGAACTGCTCCATGCTGATTTATGTGGTCCAATGGAAACTGAGTCATTAGGAGGCAGTAAGTACTTCTTATTGATCACTGATGATTTCACTAGAATGTCCTGGGTCTATTTTCAAAAGGCCAAGTCTGAAGCCCTTGAAAACTTTAAGAAGTTTAAGGCTTTAGTTGAGAATCAAACTGGGAAGTCAGTTAAAGCACTAAGGACTGACAGAGGAGGTGAGTTTAATTCTAAAGCTTTTGCCCAGCTTTGTGATGAGTATGGCATAAGAAGAGAGTTTACTGCACCCTATACCCCTGAGCAAAATGGGGTAGCAGAGAGGAAGAACAGGACAGTTGTTGAGATGGCAAGGAGTATGTTAAAAGCCAAAAATATGCCAACCAAGTTCTGGGGTGAAGCTGTATCCACAGCTGTGTACATTCTGAATGTATGTCCAACTAGAGCAGTCCCAAATTGCACACCATTTGAAGCATGGAGAAAGAAAAGACCCTCAGTAGGTCATTTGAAAGTGTTTGGATGCATAGCCTACACTCTAGTGAACCAGAGAACTAAACTAGAGGATAAGGCAGAAAAATGCATTCTTATAGGATATTCAACTCAATCTAAGGCATATAGACTCTACAATCCTCTTACAAAAGGATTGTTATTAGCAGAAATGTGATCTTTGATGAAGATGCAGCCTGGAATTGGGAGTCCAATACTGAGCAAGATGCACCCAGAATTGTAAGTCTTGATGATCAACCTTCACCTCAATCAGAACCAGCTACTCCTGTCAACTCCTCACCTCCAACCACTCCTCCAAATTCTCCAAACAACACAAATGACAGTTCTGAAGTTGGTAACTCATCAAGCTCTGGCTCAGAATCTAGCAGTTCATCAGGTGATCAACCTAGAAAAGTCAAGTCACTAGTTGATATATATGAATCTTGTGATTTTGCTTTCATTGTTACTGAGCCTACAGATTATCATGAGGCTGCCATCTATGATGAGTGGAGACAGGCAATGCAGGAAGAAATCAATGCCATTGAGAGAAATAAAACCTGGGAGTTGGTGAATCTGCCCCAAGAAAAGAATGTGATTGGCTTAAGTGGGTGTACAGAACTAAATACAATCAAGATGGAAGTATTTCTAAGCATAAGGCTAGGCTTGTAGCCAAAGGTTATGCTCAGCAAGAAGGGGTGGACTATGAAGAGACTTTCTCTCCTGTGGCCAGGTTTGAAACTGTAAGGATTGTCCTTGCATTTGCTGCGCAATTGAAGCTGCATGTGTACCAATTTGATGTCAAGTCAGCCTTTCTTAATGGTGACTTACTTGAGGAAGTGTTTGTTCATCAACCAGTAGGCTTTGTGAAGAAAGGGGAAGAAGAAAAGGTGTATAGGCTCAAGAAGGCTCTTTATGGGCTAAAGCAGGCCCCTAGAGCATGGTACAGTAAAATTGATTCCTTTTTTATCAACTCAGGATTTCAGAAGAGTGACAATGAGCCTACTCTGTATGTTAAGAAGGAAGGTATGGAATTTCTAGTTGTCTACCTCTATGTTGATGATATTATCTATTTCAGTTCTTCACAAAGTCTGCTAACCTCTTTTAAAGCATCAATGACCAATCAGTTTGAGATGACTGATTTGGGTCTGCTTCAGTACTTCCTTGGCTTAGAAGTTAAGCAAGGAAAAGAGGGCACCTTTCTTAGCCAGAAGAGGTATGCTATCAATCTCCTAAAAAGGTTTCACATGGAGGCTTGTGAGACTATTGCTACACCTATGAATGCAAGTGAGAAGCTTCAGAAATGTGATGGTACTGAGGATGCAGATGTCACACTTTACAGAAGCCTAGTAGGGGGACTCAATTATCTAACACATTCAAGGCCTGATTTGGCTTATTGTGTTAGTATTGTGTCTAGGTACATGCAAAAACCATCCAAACAACACTTTGGTGCTGCAAAGAGGATCTTAAAATATGTTGCTGGAACATTGAAGTATGGATTGTGGTACTCAAGTTTGAAAGAGCTCAAATTGAGAGGGTATACTGATAGTGATTGGGCTGGGTGTATGGATGACAGGAAGAGCATGTCAGGATCAGTCTTTGACCTAGGATCAGGGGCAGTAACTTGGAGCTCAAAGAAGCAGGAAACCATTGCTTTATCCTCCTCAGAAGTTGAATATGTGGTAGCTGGAGCAGCAGCAAAGCAAGCTTTATGGATCAGCAAGCTACTGAAGGACTTGGGATGTTCTCAATTAGAAGGAATTGAATTGTGGTGTGACAACAAATCTGCTATAGCAATGACAAGAAATCCAGCCTATCATTCCAGGACCAAACATATTGATGTTCAACATCATTTCATAAGGCAGCTTGTGGCAAAAGGAAGTATTTCACTTCAATTCTGTGGTACTGAATGGCAAAATGCAGATATGTTCACTAAAGCACTCAATCATACAAAGCATTATCACTTCATGAAGAGAATTGGGATGACTAAGCTTGGATCAAGGGGTGGTGTTGAAAGTGATCCAAGTTAGAAGTGCATGGCCACATGCATACGTAACATTTGATACATTTGCTTATTATTTGTTTGGTTATTAAGCATTTGAATAAGTCTAAGGTTGTTACCTATTGTTTAGAAGGTGTTGGTAGCTAGTGGATAGGATTGTTATGCACGTACAAGCATGGCTTAAAATTAGGAGTTTGTTATTTTCATTTAGTGGTCATTATCTCTTGTAATATGGCTATATAAAGCCTAATTCATTCAATGAACGTATGAGCTTTTGATTGCCTTCTTTATTGTGTTATTCTTCGTGTATAACAAGTTCAACACCATTGCCTGCACCAAACCTACAGAGAAAACAAAAACCAAAAGGGAATCTGATCTACGCTACATGCTATCTCCATCGAGAAAGAAAACGAGAGGAAATAGAGAGGGCCACAACTGTTGTATCCGCCTGCCAGTCTAACTGAACCTAACGGAGAAGGAATCGAGCTGCGACGCCGGAGAAAGAAGCCTGCCGGAAGACAAGCTTGTATGCCTGATGAAGTCTGATCTTTGTCGTCACCTTCGCAGGATTGAATCACCGTCCGTCGCCAGAAGGATGTAGCCACCTCCGTACTGATTGCTGAGACGTCTTCGCCAGAGCATGACACCGCCGCAGAGTTGTCGGGCTGTTCTCACGCTGGAAAGGAAGAGGAGCCATGCCACCGTTGTATCCGCTGGAGGCATCACCAGAAGAAAGAACGCCGCTGAACGACTGCAGTCAACAACGGAGCTGCGTTGCCGCCCCGCTACCCTGCGTCGCCGGTTCTCTTAAGTGCTGCGAGGACGACGATGAACGAAGTACGTAAAACTGCGTTCTACTCTATATTGGTTTAATACTTGGGCTGCCTACCGTGATAAAAGAGAGAATTCCCAATATGGGAGTTAAACATAGAAAATATGCAAAAATAAGAGTCCTATGAGTTACTTATGTTTCACACGGAAGTTTTAATAGAAACTGACCAAATTACCCTTAATGATGAAATCCTGGTTTCTTTATTTATTAACAGACACGGACATATAAAACAAATTACACAAGTGTACAGCCTGTTCTTAACATATCACCGCCGCACCAGATGTGGTGCTGGGCTGCTATCACATCTTGTTCAGCCACCGCCGGTCGCCACTGCTGGCCACCGCCGCCGCCGCCGGCCGGCGTCGCGTAAACTGCTGCCGCTGTCAAGGAAGTCTTCTTCTTCTGCTGCTGGCCTGCTGCCCTCTATCTTCCATTGCCACCATATTATCCTCTTGGATTGCCACCATATGCTCCGTCACCACCGCCAATTCTACTAGTGTGCTTGCTTCCATGTCTATCCAGTTAGTTGCAGATCTCCTACCATATACACTATTATCATCTTCATAAAAATAATGAAATATTATTTATTGTCATTTTAAAATCATAATACCATTTTGTAAAAAAATACATGACATTAACATTTGTAAAACATGGCATTATTTGCCTAACATATCTATGTAATTGCCATCTTTACGGAATTAATGTTCACTTCATAAATGTAAAATGGCATTATTTGTCAAACATATTGAAAAACACTTCATAAATGAAAAATGACATTATTTGTCAAACATATTGAAAAACATGGTATTTTTAAAATAATTTTGCCATTTTCGAAAAATAAACATTATTTTATATTTTTCAGATCCAAATTCATTAAATTTACAATTTTAGTGTAAAAAAATTAAAATTAATAAATAAATATCAGATTCAGTATTTTTTTAATCACTGTGAGATTGTATTTTAATAATAAAAGGCAAGATAAAAGTTAAAAGAAAAAAGCTAAAAACGTTGAAACACAAAGTAGAGAAGAAATCAATAAAAAAAGAATAAAAACAGATTTGAAAGTATAGAAGAAACTTGAAGGAAAAATCAAATCTCTAAAAATGATACTCTGTAGTAGTCAAGTTTCTACTAGGGAGCGGAAATGAGACATGTATAACAATTACCTTCAATTTTTAGATCTCACTTTGTAAAAATCCAAGAGAAAACATGCATTTTCATCGATTTGTATCTATCTAGGTTGGGTTCAAATAGAACCGAACCACATATATAGTCTTTACTCAAATTCCAAAAAACGAGTTTTTATTGCTTCGTTAATTGAGGAAGAAGGGAGAAAAGAAGGAATAAAAGAAAGGAGAAGAAGAAGTAGAAGAAGAAGAAGAAGAGAAGAAGATGAATAAGAAGAAGAGAACTTACGTGCTGCCGGCCGCCGCTACCAGTGACGGGAGATGAGATGGAGAAATTAGGGATCTGATATATAGGATGGAGAAATGGGAGAAGGAACTGCAAATTCATGGGAGAGGAGAGAGAAGAATTGAAAAACCCATAGTCTACGAGAGAAGTGTGACGGAAGGAAATTAAAATTAATTAGGTCGGTTGTGAGCAGGGTAAAATTGGAAAAAGAAACAGATCAACTCAAATGATAACTCCTATTTAGGGAATAAATCAAAGGGAACTCCTATTATGGAATTTTCTCATTGTTTTACTCCTGTTTAAGACAATTATTACTTGTGATAAAACGATGAATTGGGTTAAAACAATAAATAAACTGGACCCAGACCTGGTTACTTGATTCAAATGGACCAACTAAATTTACACTATACTCTTTTGGACCGGCTAATAAAGTAGACTAGTCAAGTTATTACTTGGGTTTAAAATAAAATGAGTTGATTAAATTGATCAATTGATATAAATGATTAATTGTGAATAAACATAATATAAGTGGATAAACTATACATAAAACAGCTAGATTACTATGAATTTGATGGAGTAATTATTATTGAAGTGGTAAACATAAGAAGGGTAGAAGAAGTAAACGTACTATAACCTCATATATATTGATATTAGAATTTTAATATTCTTAGAAGGTGATCTTGGTGAAGATCGAGGTAGAAGTTTCGGTTAGGAAGTTATCTCGATTTGAGGTAAGTTTCACGTCAACCGATATTAGTTCTTTTTTTCGTGATTTCTTTGAATATTTTTGTGTGCATATTTGAGAATTGAATTTATGTCTGCTGAATTTTATTAAATATTAATATATGAAAAGGTTGTATTTGAGATATTAGTTGATACATTGGTTTGTTAATATGCATTATTGTATACGATTTTGGGTGATTTTGTAATATTACGTAGTTTGTTATCTTTGTGGGAGTTTGATGAAAAAGAAATTTTTGAGGTATAAACTTCGATTGATTTTGAGAAAACAAAGAAAAATAAATATTTTCATAAAGGGTGAGCATCACGGGAGAAATCCGTGGTGTCGGTTTTCCACGTCCCTTAAAATGTGGAGGGTGGTTAGGTCTACTACTACTCAATTTTTGTTGGTTTTGGTTTGAGGTGAATTGACGGTCGGTAGAAAACATACCGGCTTTTGAGTAGTAGTGGTAGTAGTAGCTCCTAATCACTCAGTTTTTGAGGTGGGGTAGTTGGTAGAAAACATCCCGGCTACCCGGATCGACTTACTAATCCGGAGGGCTTGGAATACCTTTAGGGGTGTGCACACTTAAAGTAGTTGTTTCCGTTTCCATTAAACAGTTGTGGTATCGGCGATAGTCCCGGGGTGGCCGTACATAACAACGGACCACCGGGCTTAACCAAAGTGTTGAGCACCGCCCTTCTAAATTACTAGAAAGTTAGTAACAAAGTGATTTTTGGAGAAATTCAATAGAGGAGAAATTTTGGTGTTTCATGTATTTTGAAATTATTATGGTTCACGAGTTAGGTGATTGGGATTTTGTATAGATATCGTTTACTTATGATTTATAAAGTGTTTTGAAAATATTTGTATACTAACGGTTGTACGAATATATATATATATATATATATATATATATATATATATATATATATATATATATATATATATATATATATATATATATATATAATTTTAAAAGGATAGGTGAGACCTAATTAGCATTATTGCTAATATTTGTTTCTTTTATTTTTCTTTTTGTACTTGATTTTGTACAGGTGCTGAGTTGGTCCTGTTGAAGTTGCTTTCGAGAGCGCATCCGTTAGAACACAAAATTAGTAAATCATTGTAAATTTCTTTTCAATAAATTTCAAAGTGAACATTTGATTTTGGAGTTCAAGTTGTTTTAGCCTGTGCACTCGGTTAGGTTAGAACCGGGTGTGGCGGTAACGCTCCTGTTTCCCTTTAAAAATTCCGCTACATGTTTCTGATGCTTTTAAATAAAGTTAATATTACTTTTAGATAAATCATTATTTAAATTTATTTTTGGGCGGGAAATTTGGGGTGTTACAAGCTCGGCCTCAAAGACCTCCCTTACAGCCCCCTGGCAATAATCATGGGCGGCCTTCAGGAAGTGGGGCGTCTTCTTGAACTCGTCGATGTCCAGGACCAAGGTAAGGACATCGGAAGGGGCGGCCCCACCCTCAGGAGCAGAAGCAGGAGTAGTGGCAGGGACGAAGGAGATCCCGTGCTTCTCAGCCAGGGCCACCTTATCAAGGAGATCCTTCTTCTCCTTCAAAGCCTCTCCTTCTCAGCCGAAGCGGCTCCCTCTGTTGCCCGCACGGCCTCCCTCTCTGCCTTCAGGACCTCACCGGCTCTCCTCTGGGCCTCAGCAGCATCTTGCCCCCGAGCGGCCTCGGCCCGCAGCAGGTGCAACCCAGCCTGCAAATGAAAGGACATAGAGTGAAAAGGGACGAACGACACATAAGAAAAGAAGAAGAAAACAGGAAGGAGGAACGCTATACCTCAAAAGTCAGCAACACGGCTTGACTGATAGCCACGCCAGAGGAGCAGGCTGGTACTTCCGCCCCAGCTTGAAGGGCCATATCCCTCCAAACTTCTGGAACCGGACGACCCGGGGGAGGCGGCACGACGCAAGGGGCCTTGGGGCCGGAAGGCTCAACACGTTGTCGCTTCGTTTTCTTGCCCTTATCTTTCACCCCCCCCCCCCCCCCCTACGGGAGGGGCAACACCGAGTGGCTCCGCATCCAAGGCCAGACCAACCTCAGCATTTTGGGCTACATACGTTTGCCCGGTTACTGCAGCGATGAGATGCTGCTCGGCGGCCTCAACGCGCATGTTGGCCTCAGAGGACTGGGCGGCCCCTCGGGCTTTGGCCTGTGTAGCTCGGACTTTGGCGGCCCTGGCCTCACGGCGGTCCAGCATAATTTGGCTCTACATCTGTTCTGGAGTAGGGGGAAGACCTGGAACAAGGAACAAGGAACAAGTGTTAGAACCGGACGGTGCAAATCTCGAAGGCACTCACCTCAGGGACTGGACCGCCCGGGCCCACAAGATGAACAAGTATGAATGCTAATCCGAGAACCACGGACGGTACCTATCCCTGCGTCAGAAAGTGCCTGGAGGGTCAAGAATTCTTTCAACTTCTTCACGCTGTCCCGCTTCAACTTCTCGACGGCATCATTCAACTCTGGGGACAGTTCCGACTGTTTTGTCTTCGGTGGATACCCATTCCACCGTATGGGGAGCCGCTCGTCCGCATAACGAAGAAAGAAGAAGTGGTTCTTGTAGTCGTGGATAGAAGTCGGGGGCCCCTCAAATAGATTTAGGTGGGGACGTGCGGCCACGCTCAGGAACTCATCAGAGTTTTGGGGAACGACCTGAAGAAGTGGTGGAAAAGGTCCAAGCTCGGGGCAAAGCCCTCCGACCGGCAACGGACGATGAAGGCTGAAATAAGCCGATAGGAATTCAGCATGAATCAGGCTGGGACAACGCCGTAACAATGGAAGAAGTCAAGGTAAAACTGGTGAAGGGGGAAGCGCTTGAAGGCCTTGAAGGGGGAAGCGCTTGAAGGGGTAAAACAGCATGAAGGCCTTGATGGAATCCATATGCACCATAATCATCCCCGGACGTCTCATTAACAGATTATTGGCACCCCTCAAGCTATAGACGAACGGCGGGGGAAGTAGGGTTTGCAGTTCTTTCAGAGCCCTGCGCGAGAAAGACTGCTCGATCCCAGAAACATTGTGGATCTGCACAATATGGCGGGAGGCGTCCACCGGGATGCCAAGATAAAAAAACACGCAGATCGTCCCCTTCGATCGCATCATCGCCGGATTTATAATCAGCAGGTCGTTCGTCCTCGATGTTTGCTCGGAACTCCGCCGCCCGAACACCCCCAGGGGCAATCTCCATAGTGACTTCTGTGCCCGCACCACCAGGGACAGCCACATCCGCCATAACTTGCCCCACTACATCGGAAGCGCCAGAATGGCCGGAGGTACCCACCTCCCCTGAGGAACGGGAACGGGAGCCCGAACCAGAAGACGAGCCGGTAGAAGAGCCCGACCCGGAACTCGACCCGGAGGATATTTCCATAGAACAGACCATAGCAAAAGACGAAACAAGGAGAGAGGAAGATTGGGCTTAATTACCTGAGGAATTTCGAAAGAGCGGAGCGAGGAGTTAAAGAGTACTTGCAGAAAAGCTTGAGGGCAATAGCGGGCAAGGCAGGAAGGTAAAAACCCTAATCCACACGGGAGGTCCAGTATTTATAGGGGGATACACCTCTCCATTAACCAATCCACAGATGACACATGGCGAGGAGCGTACTCGGAGACACGTGTCGCCTGGAGAAGGACAGACGCGAAATGATTACTTTTACATCAGAAATTGAACCAGCCGCATAACTGCCGCCTAGAGCCCCGTGAACGGCAGCAAGGGAAGCAACTGTCACATCAGAAGTGAGAATGACAGTCCTGGGCAGTACAGCGGAAACAAATTACTTCTTCTTGTCCCGCGCATGCTCGGAAGTCGGAACATCAGAAGTGGGGGACTTGTGTTGGGTTAATGGCCCGGTAAGGGACGACCCATCAACCCTTAAAAGGCACCTACGAACGTCTTATTAACGGCCCAAGAAGGAGGCCCAAAGCCAAGGGCCAGGAGACATACGTATTCCATCACCAGCCAATACCAAGGTCCAAGGGTCAGGAGACGTACGTATCCCATCACCAGCCAATACCAGGGCCCAAGGGTCAGGAGACGTACGCGTTCCACCATCAGCGGGCATCCAGGCCCAGGGTCCCTACAAGGTATATGGGGACGAACATCCTCACCCCGCGATAGGGTACTAGGGGCTGCTCAAGAATAGACCAAGGATAGCTCAGGCGCATGGGGACGAACGTCCCATTGACAGGAGGTTGCCATTCCAATGGGAGATAGGAGCCAAGCCTTTGGGGACGAACGTCCCCACCCAGTGGCGGGAAACCAAAATTCTAGCGGGAAGCGCATTTAATGTAGAAGATTTGGTGGTTGGGATCATGTCTCTCACAACCTTCCACGTCAACATGTCCAACCACCCATTGGTGGTATAAATAGTAGCATTTATTTCACTGTAAAGGGTTCGCAATTTAGTACTCTAGCACCCTAGCAATAGAATCAGTTCGTAGCACAGTATTGTACGTTCGGCCCTTCGGTCTGTAACAATCTTCAGTGAGTAAAGACATTTTACCAAGCCCATTTCCTGCTTATTTCTCCATTTACTTGCTCATCGCCCATTTGAGACCCCAGGTTACGTGTTGGGCCTGCGAGTTGAGGGAATAAACCTCAACACTTTCAAACCTATATCTAAAATTTCCCATTTTGAATCTGAAAATTTAAAAAAATACAAAGATCCATCAAGTGAAGAAGAAGAAAAGGAGGATGAAAGGTAGAAGAGAAATAGAAGATGAGAGATGTTTACCGGAGAAAAACTTTGCACCACGTCGCCGAAATCTCACCAAATCGCCGGAGTCGCACCTTACTCCCAGAGGAGAAGACTGGACTTTTGTATGTGGGAGTGAGGATGCAGAAGAGAGAAGGGGTGGGGGATCTGCGTAGAGGAGGTGTGAGGTGGGTGTGGTGGGAGAGAAGGAAGAAGAGAAAGAGATAAGATAAAAAAAGATGAGGGTGCGTGAGAAATGAGGAGGGGGAGAGAAATAAGGGAGGGGGGAGAATAGATGGTTGTGGGATACAAAAAGTTTGATAAAAAAGAGATGGTATAACTGAAACAATCAATTAATAGGTCCTATTCAGGTAATAAATTATTAGGAGCTCCTATTTAGGAATTTTCCTATTATTTTAGTCCTATTTAGGGCAAATACTTTATAAACAAATATGTCTTTGTTTGGATGCACCAAAACAAATGTGTATAACAAACATTTTTTATTTTGTGACTAATTTTCCTGTGACCGTACATTGCTTATGCGTGTCGGATATTTCTTGCTGTGAAACTTGGTTTTGATTTCAACAAGCATTCTCTCTTTTGTCCGTGTGAAGGATTTCAAACACGTATAACTTTGTATACAGATACATTGAGTATTTGTAAGTTTTACCTTAATTTTTCATTACCACTTGTTATCAATTATCAATGTAATAATATCACAATGACACAATGTAATAATATTAAAAAAATTAATATTCCGTCAAACACATGTATAACTACATAGTTACACATTACTAAAGTTTAGATGCGAGATTGACATCAATAATTTCTACTTTTACACATTTTACAAAAATAATTTCAATAGGGAAAGTGAGCAATATATAGTAACTCTTCATAAAAGAATGTACATCAACTTAATAATGTTAATTTGCCGTTATGTTGATATGTTTTGTGAAACTCTCAGTTGAAACTATTCATTTATAACTTCACAAACTTGTGATTATTGGTGTCTAACTTTTAAAGATTTTTTAATAATAAATACAGAGTTAGAAAATGTCTTACATACTTCCATAAACATAAAATAAACTTTAAAATAAATTAATAATCCGATTCATCTGTTTCAAATTTTAAATTAGGTAGATTCTATGGTACCCTTAAGGTACCATACATTTGCCCACATGGACCAATAAGAATGATGTAGTTGAATTATTTAAATCTAAATTAAAAATGATGTAATGATTTGAACCAATAAAGTGAGTGGTAGGTACGATACCCCATTTTTTAAATGGGTACCGGAGTTGTTAAATTAAGGGATCAAATTATGAAATACTCCGTAGTTATCACATTCTACGTGATATTTTCGTAGTACTTCATATTAATATTTAGGATGTTTTTTTGGACTGAAATTTCTGGTCTTGTTTGAACTAGTCTAGTAAACGTCTGGTCTCTGTGTACTTTATAACTATCCAAATTTAGTTAGGTCTGATCTGGGACTAAAAACAGTAACAAATGCAAAAATATTACAATGAAAAATGCAAAAATAAAGTACTTTTAAATCTCTATTACAATGAATGAAAAATATTGAAAATATTGAAATATTGATGAGAAGTAATACGGAGTATATAGCGCAGCATTGTTCATTTGTTCACATTTTCATACTCTTCGATTCATGTGACATTAATTAATACATTATGATCTGCAAAAACGAAGCAACTGGCCAGGGAATCGTCATTTCACAACATAATCCAGAGACGATTCCCAAAGATGAACGGGACGATACACATTCTTTTTTTTTTTCCTTTTTTTTATCACTTTGACCGTCTGACCGTTCACTATATCAAAGGTGATCTCTTCACTGGCTTCTTTAGCGTCACTAGAGTTAGAAGATTTCAAGAAAGGGCGACATGAAGCGACAAATGGACGATGACTGCCCACAGCAAGTGACCAAAGACCCCAAGTTAATCAAACTATCCAAGCCCCTTCCAAGGTATATACGAAGAAGTTTATATCTATATCTTCCATTTTTATGCTGTCAGTTTTTCTTTCACATTTCTTATCTTTTTTTTAAATAAAAAAAGCATCAACGAATTACCGATTAATACCATCGTGTTGTTGATTATATGCTGCCAAAGATTCATTATTTTTTGGCTTGATATTATGATGCAATTTTGGACGCGATTTTCACTATGGAGTTCATCCGGAAACAGTCTCTCTGTGTTTTGGATGCAATGCTGCCAAAGACTACGTACATCCGATCCCCTTACCCACCTTAGGTGGGAGCTTTTGTGGCACCGGGGTAAATGAAAATGATGATGAGCACTTGTGTTGTTGTTCTTGCCAGCTGAACCAGACTACGTACTAAAGCTGGCTCTTTGTGTACATTTTTTCTTATCAAGTGTATTCATTAAGCTGCACTTATAATTTGTTGTTCTCTTCTTGTGTGCAATATAAAGCTCTGGAAAGTCAGGTAAGCGGATTGAAGTTGAATATTAAGTGCAATATTTTAATCTTCTTATATATTCCTGCAAACTTGAACCCAGTGGTGGAGACAGGGAGGGGCCTTCGGCCTTTGCCCCCAAGAAAAACATTCTTATGCGTATATGTGTAAATGTAAATATGTTGATGGTTTAAGCTTTGACCCCGCAATATGAAATTTTCAAGCCTGGCCTTCCTAATACCATTTCTGGCTTGGCTGCTGCTTGAAGCAGGACGGAGCATCACCCATTGAAATAGTGTGGATGAGCAGGCAGTTGCACCTCCTCCTTCCAATGTAAACGCTGCAAGAGTGGTTCTTCCTAGACAGATAGGAATGTCCCGTGGAAGCATCCGAGCTAACTCTCGGCCTAAAGTTTGCAAATTTTACGTTCCTGATGATTGGAAGTCTTATGGAGGGGATGTCTTTGCATTAGCTCTGGACGAGGCTGCTAAGACAAGTGATGATCTCTGTCTTTGTACAAATGTTGCCTGTGCTCTTAGTATCCTTCTTCCCGATTTGAAGGATGAGTTGTTCAATGCTCTTTATCAGCTAGGTGTATCTCCTATGGTTGTTTCCATCCCTTCACAAGCCGATGAACACCTGATTACCTTTGATGACATCCCGGAATACACCTGGCTACATATTTTGGTTAGGGGTGCCTTTTGCATTTTCACACTGTTCAGGACTGTTTCTCCAGCCCACTACACCCCATGTATGTTGAAGAGGTTTCAGGCACTAAAGGGGATTGTAGGATGTGGCCCTAATGCAGAAATTCCTATTCCTCTAAACCAGTCCAAGGCTAACACTCTACGTATGAAGCTTGGATCAAACCGGGCACTCATAAAGAGGATTATCGAACTGATTCTTGGTTTCAAGAATGAGTCTGGATGTATTGCTTCGGTCATGAGGTATGTAGCCAAAATCCTGTCCTACAATGTCAGGGATGATTTTTCATTCATATATTATACCTTGGTGAAATACGAATCACCCGTGCTGAGTGACCCGAGAGTGGAACAAGATGTCATAAAACTTGAAGAGGCTCTTGAGTTGATGAAAGATTCAGATTACCCACAGTTCACTCGATACCTGGCTTCCACTGCTGACTTATTCAAGCTGGATGGGTCTCAATTCCCTACATTGATGTCTGTTGCACAAAAGGTCAAAGCGGAGGAGCTGCGATCCGGTGCATCATCGGGTAGCGAAACTAATCACTACCAATTTGTTCTATCCAAGTCTTTCGGTGCTGATAAAGACCTTGTTAAGGACCTGTGGCGGATTCATTCTGCTGGCATGGCAGAAAAACAGAGAAGACTGGTTGAATGGATGACATCTGAGGATGTCCTTGCTAGCGTGAGGCCTTTTTACGGCTAAGCTTTTGGTTGTTCTATCTAATGTTCTGTTATCTGCCTGTGCTCGGTAGTTTCTTAGTATCATGCACTTGCCTTTTACCATTAAAAGTATCATGAAGACTTTTTGCCATTTTTAGTCATGAATCATGTGTCAGTCACACTTTTGTTACTCGAATTTTAATTATTCTATTTTTAATCATTGATTATTGTATGAAATCAATTCATTTGATCCTTTCATTGTGATTTTGACATAACAAGTGCAGTGAGTGCATGGCTAAAAATGTCACTAATCGTACGACTAAATATGAAAAGTTTGCAGGTATCAAAAATATATTCCCCAATGTTTAATATCTTCCAGAATCATAAACAAACAGGTGCTCCCTAACTCTCTGATTGCTCGTTAAAAACCCCTCCTTTCTTACCGCTCGTAGCCAGCCACTGTTTACCTAGTCTTTTTCATTTTCTATGACAATGAGTCAATGACTTATATTAGTTGTTAGACAAGTATTATAGGTAAAACAAAGTGAGTTTGTAGGGTTTATCATCAACAAATGAATATAAGATTTAACAGTTCAAATAAATAATCAATACTAATCACTACAGAAATCTGAAACATATTTAGCTTAGTTTTTGGTAAATTAGGAATCTCATCAAACGTCAAACAAACTGTATTTATGCTAAAAATGCTTTATTTACAACGAAAACGTTAAATCACAGATTTCAGGCTTAGTATTTGTGACACTCATATCTTACTGTATGTTCTTCCGTTTCAAGCGTATTATATCTCGTTGCAAAGATCATTTTGAGTTCTAAAGCAATTGTTCTGACTCTATTTACCTGAAATTCACAAACATTTTCGATTTCACTCCGATAACGTGTAGAAATTGATCTGATCGTGTATTGCTGTATTTAGTTCTGTTTAAAGCATTAACTATCTCGTTGGAAAGACCATATTGAGTTCTAAAACTTGTATTTAGGCGTCATTTCAAAGTATTACATGAAGACTACCTAATAAACCGAATTCAAATCACAGAGTTCAGGCTTAGTATTTGTGACAATCATATTTTGTTGTATGTTCTTTCGTTTCAAGCGTATTATATCTCGTTGGAAAGATCATTTTGAATTCTAAAGCTATTGTTCTAACTCAATTTCCAATGCATGAAGTATAAGGTACAGATTAACCAGAAACTCACAAACATTTCTGATTTAAATCTGAACAGGTGTAGAAATATTTGTTAATAATGTTTGATAAAAAATCTTTTTTGCCTACCGGAAAAATGCATAACAGTTTAAAACACTCTTACGCGTGGTTCCATTTTTTAGCTTTTATTAAGTACGTCATTTAAACAGAAATTGTCATTTGAAAACACTCATTTCAACTTTTATATGCCAAAAATCGAATTTCTCTCCTTTAAAGTTTTAATAAACATTTCCTCTCCTCATATTTATCATATATGTATATAAATATAAATTCTCTAATTCATAACCTTGGGTATGTAGTCCAAACTCCAAAGTAATAAAAGTCTTCCCCTATTTTGGCTATTTAATGAATGGGTTGGGATTGGATGAATAAATAGACACATGCAACTACTTCATCCACCCGGAAACCCCACGCTGCCTATGGATCCATCCGGTTTATAATATTCAAAGCCAGCCGGCATTACTGACTACCGACCTCCGCCAAGCATACTCCCGGCGAACCACCATAATTGAAAAAACAACCAAGAAATTGTACGTACCTTATCATTACTCCCTTTTAAGATTGGGAAAATTCTACAAGTAGATTTTTTCTTGAAATTCCAATATAAAAGTGTGATCAGTTTATTCCCTAAATAGGAGTATTTTATCAAGGTTGACATTATCAGACTTCAAACATGTCAATTTGTGCTAAGTTTTTTCAAAATTGACAGAAATTACACACATTTAGGGAATAAAAACATGAAGTTAATATTTTGGAATTTTAAAACGTTTCTACTCTTATTCAAGACAAATTCTATTTAAGATTGTCACATTTTTCATTTTCGGTCCGTTCTATTAAGATTGTCTATCAATTCAATATGAACAACATAAACGCATTTTTCTTAATTAAGAACTGCAACAGCTCCTCATTTATAATACTCCCTCCGTCCCGAATAGAATTGCAAACTTTGACCGGCACAAGGATTAAGAAATGACAATAAATGATTCTTGTTTTTTACATTTTTCCCCATCTTTCTAAAAGTAGATGTCTTTAAGTTAATGGGAAAAAGTAAATGTAAGGGTAAATTTGTCACTTTATTCTTATTTACATACCTAAAATAGAAAGTGAAAAATCATTTTGGGATAACCAAAAACGAAAATTTTGCAAATCAAATTGAGAAGGAGGGAGTATAAAAATGATATGAAAATGTTCTTTTTTAAAAGTAGTTTCATAAAAGTATATAATTTACGAACTTTGAAATATGATAGTAGTACTAACAAAGTTTTAAAGAAATGATGGAGTTGTTTATTAACAATAACAACTAACGTCCATTTAAAAAAACACTTTCTTGGTTGACCACTTGACCTCATTAAAGTCAATCAACCCTACATATACACGCATATATATAACCCTCAACTACAGATGCATTACTTGTACTATTGGAATAAATCAAATGGGAAATATTGCCAGTTCAATTTCTCCGTGCTGTCTTAACACAACTTTTGCCTTTTGCCGGTCACCGATGACGTTGACCTTCCACGACGGCACGTCCCGAATCATGACCGGGAAACGGCGCCTGACCGCCGGAGAAGTGATGTTCGAGTTCCCGGAGTGCATGGTTTGCCATGCACACTCTTTCTTCATCGGTCAACCGCTCCCGGTTCTTTCCATAGACGATGAGCTGATCGCCGGGCAGACGTATTTAGTCCTTCCGCTCGACTCCTTCGCGAGCAACGTCCTCTCCGTCTCCACTCTCGGGGCGTTGGGGCGCAGCCCGAGAGGCGGAGGCGGCTGTTCCCCGCCGGTCAACTTCAAGACCGCGGCGTTTGAACACATAAGAGGATCAAACGGTAGGGCAATGGTGAAGGTGGTGCCGGAGTTTATAGTGAACCTTATGAGTGGAGGCAGTAAAGTGAGTAGCAGTAGTGGAGACGAGGATAAAAACGGGGGAAAGATTATGCTTTGTGACACGCCGGAGTTGAAGAAGGTTTACGATCAACTGGTGGGGTCGAAAGATCAGGTGTGGTCTCCGAAGCTTGATACCATTAAAGAGTACAAGTTAAGGTATTCTCCTTGCAGGTTTATAGGGTTGGAATGGAAACATAAACAAGGGGAGGAGATATAGCGCAGCTAGTTTTATACAGCTTGAAATACATTGTTCAATATTTGGTGTATTGATCTTATACATAGATGATCCATTCATCCATTAGTGTAATTCTATTGTAGTTAGGCCTCAATTCTTTAATACAATTGACTATTTTACGGTAGCTCAATGTAACAATTGACATATATGCTGCCTCATATAAGACTCAAAAAACAAGTAAATGCATAGGAGAATGTATATTTTTTACCATAGCTTACTCCTGTATAGAGATGGAGAAAATTATACTTCCTCCGTTCTTAAATAAATGCAACAGTCAACATTTCACACTTGCCGAGACACAACTTTGACCATTAATATAAATGATTTTGTATTAGTAAAAAAATTAAAAAACTTAGATTATGAAAATTTACAATGAGACAAGTTTAACAATATTTTTTCACAAAATAATATTATTACATTAATAAATAAAACGTAATCAAAGTAGAACATATGAATAGTGTAAAAGTCAAAGTGTTGCATTTATTTAAGAACGGAGGTAGTATAAATACAAGTGAAATAAAACATAATTTCTTTTGTCCGAGAGCAACCACACGAGGTGGGGGGAGTGTCAATATTCATTATTCATTATAAATATTTTATATATATAATTGTAACCTTGCCTTGTAGAAGGAGATTTATTCATTCATTATATTATACACATTACCCTTTACCTGTTGGAAAATTTGAAGTATTTCAAATGAAAAATAAATAGATAAAACTTGTTTTTATTATTTTAAAACATTTTAATTGTTGCTCCTTAGCTAAGCACGTTACAATAGTGCTAGCAAGAGTAGAATTAATATTATTAAATAATATTTGCTCCTAACGTTTTAAGAATTAGTGGGAGTTGGAGGATTTTTCAACTTTTATCTCAACATTGATTGCATTTATTATTATAAACGTTAGTACTTAGTACTCAACGTTCCAATCGGGCATGGAACAACGTTCAACTTTTATGTATATATATAGATGTGTTCGGCCATGCTTGGGGTGGCTAAGAAAAAAGATTATTGAGCCTAACATCCCCTAATATTTCACTCTGCTGGATTAATAATTTTCTACTCTCGTTGTTCTGTTACCGGCTTACGCCGAAGAGCTCGTTTTATCTTGGGGAAAGGTTTTCGCTAGTCGGAAATACTTTCTTGAGGACAGCGTTTACGCGACTCGAGCTATATTATTTTTCTAACGCTGTTTTGCAGGTTTATCCGGCCAATTTACTCCAACAATCTCAAGAAAGTATTTAGCGTCGGATATGCCTGCACGCATGATCTCACAAAGTGTTGCCGTCGCACTCATCGCGGCTATGCTATTTTTGCATGTGTGGTGCGATTTAGACTGATATTTGGATATATCTCTACGTATAATGCTTACTATCTTTATTTTCCTACTTACAATAAGCCATACTTTAACACCATTTTTTAAGAAAAATGTTATTAATTTATTTAGTGGTAAAATGACAACTATGGAAAACAACAACCCACTAAAATCAAGTTTAAACTTGGTTTGTAGTGATTATAATTTTATTGCGGTTGTTTCTCAATGTTGCAAAACTAGTGATGTGAATGAGTGGGTGGTAGACTCCGGGGCTACCAAGCATATTTGTAAAAACAAAAATGCTTTTACCTCCTATACTATTATAGGAGATGGTGAAGAGCTCGTGTACCTAGCGGACTCTAAAACCGTTAAGGTGCATGGAAAATGGAAAGTTCTTCTGAAGCTCACATCGGGGGAAACTTTATTACTAAATGATGTGCTTCATGTGCCCGAAATTAGTACTAATTTGGTTTCCGTCTTTCTCTTGGGAAAAGTTGGGGTTAAAGTTTCTTTTGGTTGTGACAATTTTGTTATGACCAAAAATGAAGTTTTTGTGGGAAATGGCTATTGTAAGAATATAATGGACTTTTTGTGCTTAGTATTTCTGAAATATTGCATGATAATACTTCTGTTTATTTAATTGATTCTTACGATGTGTGGCATGCTAGACTAGGATATGCAAGTAATTCTTATATTAAAATGCTAAATGATTGTGGTTTGATTTCTAGCAAAAATAAAATGACCCTAGAAAAATGTGATGTTTGTGTTCAATCAAAACTAACCAAAAAACCTTGTCCCTCCACATATAGGGAATCAGAATTGCTTAGTTTAATTCACACGGATTTAGGTGATTTAAAAAATACCATCACTAGAGGTGGAAAAAAATATCATGTCACCTTTATAGATGATTTTTCTAGATACACTAAAGTTTATTTGCTTAAAAATAAAGATGAGGCTTTTGATAAATTTTTGGTCTATAAATCCGAGGTAGAAAATCAATTAAATAAAAAGATTAAGAGAGTTAGATCGGATAGAGGGGGTGAATATATTTTATTTGATGAATTTTGTGAAAAAGAGGGGATAATTCATGAGGTCACTCCGCCATATTCACCCGAATCTAATGGAATAGCTGAAAGAAAAAATAGGACACTAAAAGAGATGATGAATGCTCTTTTAATTAGTTCCGGTGCACCTGATAATCTTTGGGGGGAGGCTATTCTTTCTTCTTGTCACTTACAAAATAGGATTCCTCGTAAGCACAAAAAGAAAACCCCTTATGAATTGTGGAAAGGGTTTGCACCTAATTTGAAATATTTGAAAGTGTGGGGGTGTTTAGCTAAGATCTTATTGTCAGATCCTAAGAAGAGGAAAATTGGTTCTAAGACATCTGATTGCATGTTTATTGGTTATGCTGAATCTAGTGTTGCCTATAGATTCCTTGTTTTGCAAAGTGATGTGCTTGAACGTGATACAATTGTTGAAACAAAAAATGCTGAATTTTTTGAAAATGTGTTTCCTTTGAAACGTGAACACAAGACCTTTGCACCATATAGTGAGTATGATCCATTACAAGGAAATGAAACCTTTAATGATGATTCCTCTAGTGATTGTGATCCATTAAAAGGAAATGATACTTTTAATGATGAACCTTCTCTTTTGAGAAGAAGTAAGAGGCCAAGGATAGAAAAATCTTTTGGAAATGAATTTTATACATATCTTGTTAACGATGAGCCTTTAACTTATTCACAAGCTATTTCTTCAAAAGAAGCTCCATTTTGGCTTGAGGCCATACAAAACGAAATTGAGTCAATCAAACAAAATAAAACTTGGGTTTTAACCGATTTACCAAAAGGTTGTAAACCAATCGGATGCAAATGGATTTTTAAAAAGAAATTAAATCCGGATGGTTCAATTGATAAATATAAGGCGAGGCTTGTGGCGAAAGGTTTTTCTCAAAAACAAGATGTTGATTATTTTGATACATTTGCACCGGTAACACGTATTTCTTCCATTCGAACTTTAATTGCCTTGGCTTCTATTCACAAACTTTTTGTCCATCAAATGGATGTTAAAACTGCGTTTTTAAATGGTGAGCTAGAGGAAGAAATTTATATGGTGCAACCGGAGGGTCATGTAGTTATTGGTCAGGAACACAAAGTGTGTAAGTTGATCAAATCTTTATATGGTTTGAAACAAACTCCAAAACAATGGAATGAAAAATTTGATGAAGTATTATTTGCTCATGGTTTTACCTCACTAGAAGTAGATAAGTGTGTGTACACTAAATGTGAAAATGGTGTGTGCATTATTATTTGCTTATATGTGGATGATATGTTAATTTTTAGTAGCAACCTTGAGCTAATAAATGAGACAAAATCCTTTCTTGCTTCAAAATTTGTTATGAAAGACTTGGGGGAAGCAAAAGTGATTTTGGGTATGAAAGTCATAAGGAAGGATGATGGTATTATACTGTCTCAAGAGCATTATGCTGAAAAACTTCTGAAGAGGTTTGGACATTTCAATGTCAACCCCGTGAGCACCCCTTATGACTCTCATATACAATTGAAAAAATATAGAGGTGATCCCGAGGCTCAATATGAGTATTCCCAAATTATTGGAAGTCTATACACTTGATGAATTATACGAGGCCCGACATAGCTTATGCTGTCGGAAGATTGAGTCGATATACTCATAATCCAAGTGGGGATCATTGGACCGCGTTGAGGCGGTTACTTAGATATTTGAGAGGTACCATTAATTATGGTATATTTTATAGTGGGTTACCCGCTGTACTAGAGGGATACAGTGATGCTAATTGGGTCTCTGACTCAGATGAGATAAAATCCAATACTGGATATATATTCACCCTTGGAGGTGGTGCCATTACATGGAAATCAACCAAACAAACTATAATTTCTAGATCTACTATGGAGTCCGAGCTTATTGCTTTGGAAGTGGCTAGTAGTGAAGCGGAGTGGTTGAAAAATTTCTTAGCAGAAATTCCGGTTGGTACAAAACCAACATCATCTGTGTCTATTCATTGTGATTGCAGAAGTGCAATAGATACTGCTAAGAAAATGTGTTATAATGGGAAGAATAGACACATTCGTTTAAGACATAAAGTCATTAAACGGTTATTGAAGAATGGAATTGTGTCCATTAATTTTGTGAGGTCACAAGGAAATTTAGCGGATCCTTTGACAAAAGCCCTAGGACGAAAATTAATAACCGAAACATCTAAGGAAATGGGACTAGTGTCACTTTGAAACGAATGGGGATGGGAACCCAACTTGTGTGATTGGAGATCCCATGAAGCAAGTTCAAATGGGTAATAACAAGTCTTCCATTTAGTTCTGCTAGCCTAACTAAAATTGCTCATTTCCATGATGTGAGATATAGGCTAGAAACCGCATTCTTTGAGAGGTTGAGCTTAAAGCTCTTAATGATTATCATAGCCCTTAATTTTAGGGTGGTGTGCAAAAGCGGTATACACTTGATGATATATATCACCTATATGAGTGTGAGGTGGGGCCACCTCCATGAAGCATGACAAAACTTCTAGAGCACTCATGAAAACCAAGCACGCGCATGGCCTTACGGCGCACAACGGCGTAATAACGAGAAATTGTGCGGGGTGAGACACGACCGTTAAGACCCTGATTCACCAATAGTAGCTTGTTGGTTTCAAGAAACTATACGTGTCACCAAAAGCTCGGTTTATTAAGACTTAATCGTCTCGGATGGGTTTCAAGTCTACGGACACCAAACTTAAAGTCTCATTCCTTTAATCCAGCATATACTTGTCTAAACATTTTTTTTTTCAAAATTATCAAAATATTCATTTGAAATATGTGGGGGATTGTTGGAAAATTTGAAGTATTTCAAATGAAAAATAAATAGATAAAACTTGTTTTTATTATTTTAAAACATTTTAATTGTTGCTCCTTAGCTAAGCACGTTACAATAGTGCTAGCAAGAGTAGAATTAATATTATTAAATAATATTTGCTCCTAACGTTTTAAGAATTAGTGGGAGTTGGAGGATTTTTCAACTTTTATCTCAACATTGATTGCATTTATTATTATAAACGTTAGTACTTAGTACTCAACGTTCCAATCGGGCATGGAACAACGTTCAACTTTTATGTATATATATAGATGTGTTCGGCCATGCTTGGGGTGGCTAAGAAAAAAGATTATTGAGCCTAACATCCCCTAATATTTCACTCTGCTGGATTAATAATTTTCTACTCTCGTTGTTCTGTTACCGGCTTACGCCGAAGAGCTCGTTTTATCTTGGGGAAAGGTTTTCGCTAGTCGGAAATACTTTCTTGAGGACAGCGTTTACGCGACTCGAGCTATATTATTTTTCTAACGCTGTTTTGCAGGTTTATCCGGCCAATTTACTCCAACATTACCTCTAGCTCATCTCGATCTCTATTTTGATCTTACATTGTATAGGTATTATATACGGAGTATCACACTCCTATTTTGAGGTTTTTTTTATTGTTTTATTCTTTTAGTAGGAGTAAATAAGTCTTTTTTTGGGAAGAATTAAAAAAATATATTAAGTCTTATGGAGTATTTTTTATTTTTTTTCATATTTTAATCCTATTTTGAATAATATCTCTTCCATTTAATCTTATTTGCAAGTTTTTTGTTGTTGAAAACGTCACATGTATTCAATTGTTTTCCATCATTTGCAATGGAGCCAAAGATTCATTATTTTTTGGCTTGAGATTATGATGGAATAAAGTAAAATGACTCACTAAACTGTCTGCGCTTCTTTGTTATGAAGCAGCAGTTAGTCTATGCAATTTTGGACGGGGTTTTCACTATGGGTCATCTGGAAACAGTCTCTCTGTGCTTTAGTATAGGGGTAAGATTGCGTACATCCGACCCCCCCTTACTCCACCGTAGGTGGGAGCCTTTGCGGCACTGTGGTAAATGAAAATGAAAATGAAATTGTAATGATAAATTAATTTTGAACAACCAATGTTTCATTGCAAAATCCGTCACTGATTGTGAAGTCGTTTGAGAGACCACCCATGCGACCAGGGGTGGAGCGGCTAACCTAACCCCCGATTCACCCCAGATTTTAAAAATGTCTTTATTTTTAATATAAAAATCTCGTGTAAAAATTTTCTTAAGAATATTTTTTGTACCGACTCAGTCCAACCCAGTGCTCTAACTGCGCCCCTGCACATAAGGTACTAATATTATACGTAGTATGATGGAAGATGACATGATGAGGGTGTTTGGAAAATGACGTTTCAGCCAAAAGGTGACAGTTAGACCCCCTTTAAGGTTTCCAATAAGTGAAAACGTCGTTTGATAAATAGTTGTTCGGCCCTAGCATTTTTGGATGAAATCGCTAAAATGGAATCTCTGCAAATCGTAGAGTTTTGGGTTAACGTTTTGAAATTTGACATTTTCTACTAATTGTTAGGGTCTAACAACTAATAAATTATCAAATATCTTGTGACAACTCGTCAACTTATTCTATTAATCAAACCTCATGACCGAATCCGTTATTAAGGCTTTGTTTGCAAATTCAAAAAAGGTGTTTCCCCGCTTTTGACTTAAAAAAGCTAAAAAGAGTATTTTTCAAGTGACAACTTCTACTTAAATTAATACTTAGAAGATAAAAGCTAGAATCTGCTTTTTACTTTTTCTATTATACAAAAATCACTTATTTTACCAAACACTACCAGCTTTTACTTTTTAAAATCATTTTTTCTCAAACACTACCAACTTTTACTATTAAACACTTTTTTCCTAATCACTTTTAAATGTTTAAAAGCACTTGTGAGTAGTGTTTGAAAACAAAACCTAAAACCCGCTAAATAATCTGTTATGCGCTGCATGAAAAACACGTCCCATATCTTTAGCCGGACACAAGCTCCGAATACATATTTTTCTTTGAACTCGAAAAATTAGTGTGAAATTTGAATGAATATTTGACTTTCGCATTTACGGTGCGTTATTCTCCGTTAGTGATGTAGGATTAGGAGTCCAAAATGCTAAAGTTGGAAATTTTGGACTCCTAATTTAGTGCAGTAGTGTGTTAAAATAGGGGATAAGGGGATAAAAGTGAGAAGGGGATGGAGAGATGTATTCTTAGGTGGGTTGATAGGAGTGGGTTGATAGGAGTGGGTAAAGGAAAAGAAATGAATTGACTACAGGTTTGCTCACGAAAAGGATGACATCATGCTTTTGTCATAATCTCCCAATTTTTTAAAAATTGCTAACTTTTTTTTACTCTAACTTTTACAAAAAATATATCAAAATCCATAACTTTTTATGATCTTTCAAATGACACCAATATTACATATATAAATTGCAATTTTTTTGAAATTTTAACCGTTGGAGTTTTCTTGACCCCAAGAATATACGAAATACAAATTTTTAATCCATGAAGCCTCAATAAATAACTAAGTATTACATGAAATCAGTTTTTTTATTAAAACTGAAAAAAGTAAAAAATAAAAGTAACAATTTTTTAATGATTTTTTGCATCAAAATGTGTCTTTTTTATTTCATAACTATTTAGGGGGAAAATTAAATAGAAAACATTACTTATAAATTATAAGTTATAATAACTTAATTAATGTATTGATATGTAAAAAATTTGTTGAGTGCACTTTATTAGGGTGTGAAGTCCAGGAAAATAGGAATATAAATAATGTTTTGATAGGAAAGTAGTTCATATTAAGCATTTTAGACTCTTGGTCACTAAAATGATCTTATAGAGTAAGGATGCATCATGCATGGAGGCTACACCTGTCTTCTTCTCAGTGCAGCAACTGCCACTCACCCATACCAGGCCACCTCATCTTATCCCTTTCCTCAAACCCCATCTTCCTCTTCATTCCTTTCTTCATCTAACATAAAAATTCTGAAACTTAAATATGACTATTGCTTCTTAATTGGTGCGTATTATATGAGTTGCTGTTCTGGAGGATTTTCCCCAATTCTCAGTTCTATTTTTCAGTGATAGATTATATATGTTGGGCTTTTGGAAGTGAGGAAGGATGAAAGGTGAGGATGAGAAGAAGAAGATTATAACCAGCAAAAGCCAGAGAAAATGGGTTGTGGAGAGGGGAGTGAGACTGGGAAGGAATGTTATAGTGACTGCCCTTTTCGTCTCATCTGCGCCGTTGGTTCTTCCTCCGCTCATAGCCATTTCTGTGGTGGGGTTTGTGGTTTGGGTCCCTGTTGGTGTTGTGGTCGGCAGCTATGCAGCGACTGAGAAGCTCATGAGCAAGTTGCTTCCAATGCCTTCTTCACCTTCCCGGCCTCTCCTCTTGGAGGGCTGCCACCGTGCTGCCACACAAGTGTCTGCAGATGAAGATTTAGCTCGCAGGGACTCCGAAGGAAGTGGGGAATACACAGGCTATGAAGAAACAAAGACTTCTGGTGAAGAGGTAGAAGGGGGAGGCACTTTTGTGGAGGGTTGTGAAGAAAGGTCGGATTTTGTTGGAAAGGAAGAGAATAGCATGAACAGAGATGGGCAGGTCTTGGTGGAGGAGGAAGGTGATTATAAGGCTGATGAAGTTTTCCAGCACTTGGAGGGAAAACATGAGAAAGATAACACCACTAATGTAGTAGATGAGAATTTGGTTGTGGAGTTCTGGCAGGATGTTAATGCGAATGAGAATATGGACATAGGGTATGATGTGGAAGACGGCAGTGAATACTCGAAAGGAGAACTTGAGGACAAGAGACAGGAGCTGGAAGATGCGGGTAATATCGATGAGCATTCGGAGAAAGAAGATGAGGAAGATGCCTGTGAATGCACAGTGGGAGATGGGAAAGGGAATGCCATTGATGTGATTTCGGAAGAAGAAGGTTATATGGAGGAGGTTGGTGAAAACTTCCTAGAGGGAGAGCACGAGGACGGAAAAGGTGATGAAAATTTGGAGAAGGGTTATGAGGAAGCGGATGTTGGCGAGTCCTTGGAGGGAGAAGGAGATGGAAAGGGGATTATTACCATTATGGATGAGGATTTGAAAGAACGTTATGCGAAAGAAGATGGTGAACCTTTGGATGGACAAAATGAGGACGGAATCAAAGATGAGATTTTGGAGAAGACATGCTATGATGAGGAGGATGTTGGCGAAAGTGTGGAGGAAGAACATGACAAGGAGAAAGAGGCCAATACATACGAGTACATGAAGAAGGAAGGTTGTGACACGAAAGAGGTTACCACTTCAGTCAGTTTGAAAGAGGAATATCATGTGAAGGACATAAGCAAGAACTTAGATGGAGAACAAGATGTGGATTCGGAGAAGGGTTACGAGGACGATGTTGATGAATGCTTGGAGGAAGATCAAGGAGACGTGGAAGAGATTCCCATTGAAAGGGATGTGAAAGAAGAAGAAGAAGAAGATTACATGGAGGAAGTTGATGAATACTCGGATACAAAAGATGAGAATTTGGAGAAAGATTATAAGGAGCATGATGTAGAATACTTGGAGGTAGAACAAGGAATTGGGGAAGTAATTCGCATTGATGAAACCCTAGAGAAAGGTTATGAGGGGGAGGAGGAGGAATACTTGGAGGTTGAACAAGGAGATGGGAAAGAAATTAGTACTGATGATTACATGGAGAGTGGTTATGAGGAGGAGGATGAAGAATACTTAGAGGCAGAACAGGGAGATGGTAAAGTAATTACCATTGCTGAAACCTTGGATAAAGGTTATAGAGGGGAGGAGGATGAGGAACACGTGAAGGGGGGAGAAGAAGGGCACGAAATAGAGATTACCAATGATTTGAATTTGAAAGAGGATGAAGAGGACATTGGCAAACGATTAGAGGGAGAACTTGAGGGAAATAAAGAGATTGGCAATGATCATATCTTGAAAGATGAAAGCTATGGGGAAGAGGCCATTCGGCAGTACTTTGAAGGAGAAGAGCCTGAGGACCTACCGGCTACTGAGATGAAGATTGAAGGACTGTTAGACGTGGTGGCAAGGAGAGGTAGCGAAAATAATAATGGTGACAACAAAGTTGGAAACAGTGAAGGTGATGAAAGTTTTGAGGGCAAAAGTGTTAGTTTACTAGATAAGAAACATCTAGAAAAATCAAATGAATTTGAGGAAGAGGATGCAAAAATGGAGAGATCTGAAGAGCCAGCTGAGCCTATTCCAGCACAAGATGAGATTACACCAGAAACTAAGAAGCAAATTGCGGGAGAAGATTTGAAACAACATCATGTGAAGAAGGACCAATTCTTGTTGATCAACGAGGAAAATCATGTTCAGGAGGGTGTTTCTTCTAGCACAGAGGAACCCCAACAGAAGGATTCTGAACCCAGTATTGATGAAACAGAAACCACCACGGCCAACAAAAGCACCACCGTTTCTGGTAAAGTTCTGGCCTTCCTGATGTGTGTATACATATACAGTTCACCCAAATCTGTTCCCTTTCGGTCTTTCAAGTTCACTCATAAGGTGGACATGTTCTTCCCTTTTATGCAGATAAAGGAAATGCAACAGTGAAGCAGCAGGATTCACCAGGAGGATTACACCCATCAGAACATTATGTGACCAAAACTAACGATGGTGCAGAGGAACCATCATCCTGTGAGGTCAGTGCATAACAAATCACAAATCCTGGGAATTAAAAATGTCATTTTTTTCTTTGTTTTGTCAACCCTTTCTTGTAAGATTGTAATAATATCTTAGTACTCCATTTGTCCCATTTTGTCTGTCTTTTTGTCTGTTATGTCACTAAATTTTTAGTTTCCCATCTTATGCTTTTGTATGTTATGTCATATTTTACTTTTTAAGACTCCTTACCACCTTTTCTTCCTTCTACAGAAGGTTACAGTTATGATGTAATGTAACAATGATCTCCTTTATATAAGACTCAAATGTAGTTTACATTTTGAACTGCTGGAGGGAGTAATTGTTGCTGTCAATGTGGTGCTAGGTCATGGACATAAGTGAGGAGAAGATATGGGAGCAGGTGTGTGCATTAAAGGCAATCTTGGGATACACAGATTCAACTCAATCATCCACTGTGGATGAAATAAAAGCTCTTTTTGTGTTCATTGGAGTTGAACCACCACCATCATTCAATGACCCTTCAGACCTCATAAATGTCAATGAGATGCTCAGGATTTTAATGTCAATTGTAGGGATCAAATAGACAGCATTGGCTCTTTTGCTGCATTGGTTGTTTTATTCAAACACCTTCTAAGTACTTACTTTGTAGGATTTTGTTTGTTTGGGTAGGTACCCAGACTTCTTTAAGCTGAAGTTGGAATCAGCCCTACAATCAAGTTACAACTGTTAGGTTCTTATTGACTCAAAATCATTTGTTAACTAAATTTATATAGCTATGTTTGTTCTTAAGCTTATGGGCACCAATATTTGATGTTGCATTATGATATGAAATTGCTATCATTGTGGCGTCATTTTAATATATTTTCATTTCTCGTACTATGATAGAAGTTTAAATTGTTGAAAAATATTCCATTTAATTTCTCAACATAACTACTATTGGGTAATGACCTATTTTGGTGCAATTCTTCTTTAAGCGCAAGTTTACCCAACTTATGTAATCTAGCTGAATCTGTGCTAAATTATTATTCTCTCGTTAGGTACTACATAGTATTACTCCCTCCGTTCCCAAAAATACTTCTCACTTTCCCATTTTGAACAATTTGTGTGGCTCACATTCATTTTACCTTTTTCTTACACAACCACAATCATATATTTCCACTTTATTCCACTTTCTTAATAAGCATGTCAAGTCAAACCGGGAAGAATTTTTAGGAACGGAGGAAGTATTATTTATCAATAATTTCTTATTTATGGTCAGTGTCTCAAAATTGATCTACTTGAGAGAGCAAGTTTCACATGTGCGACATTACAGTGTGGACTATGTAGAGCTTATTGAAGGAAAGAAATAATTCAGTTTCAGGATTCTTTAACACACAATATTGTAGTCAGCAGTTACATATCTTTGGCATTTACTATAGTATTATTATTTACCTTATATACATGATTAAGAGATGTATAAATAGCAGCCTTGTAAATCAGTTTTAGACACACAGAAATACATTCAAAACACTTGTTCTCTTCTCTCTATTATGGTATCAGAGCCACACGAGCTCTAACCAGCCATCTCCCTCTCCCTATGGAGGCAGACGACCCCCCTCAGCAAGGGGATCTCAGAAATACCCCAAACGGGCAGCCTACCATTTCTTCTACAAATTCCTCTACTGCAGTCATCAACCCCCTCACTCCAGATGGGTTAATCATCCTCAACCCCAGCCACTTCCCAGAAAAACTTGAAGGAACGAATTACCTCATATGGCGTGACCAAGTGCTTGACCTCTTGGTTGGCTCTCATCTCGACCAATACATCAGTGATGATGCTGTTCCGCCACCTGCCAGTGAAGTTGCAGGCCATCTCTGGTGGAATCGTCAAGACCGCCTCCTCCGACATGCCCTTGTCTCCTCCCTGAGCTCGGCGTGCAAACCATTGGTTGGATCCGCACGTACCTCTGTTGCGGTGTGGAAGACCCTAGAGCAGCTTTACGGCACCCGTTCAGCAGCTCAAATCCGGAATATGAAGGATGTTTTCCGCCACACTCGACAGGGATCTAAGGCAGTGGGTGAGTATCTTCATCATCTCCGTACCCTCGCCGATGAATTAGCTAAAGCTGGCCGCCCTGTTGACGACGATGACTTCGTTCTTCAAGCCATGGAAGGCCTCCGACCTGAGTTCGAATCCTTCACAAACTCCATTCGCACGTGTGGAGATAACAGTTTCGGCAACATCTACGCCTTGCTCACCGGGTTCGAAGCGACTCTGCGGCGGAAGGAGGCTCTGGATACAAGTGTTGGCGTGGTAACGGCGAATAACGTAGCGATGGGGGAGGCGAATACACTTACTTCCCGCAGAACTCCAGGGCAGTCTGGCCCATCTCATTATCAGCCTTCTTTATTGGGCCCTGGCCCATCTCATTATCAGTCCAGCCGCACAAACAACTCAGCCCGGGGTTCTACCGGGAGTCAGCCCAGAAACCAGCGGCCCAATTTTTCTCAAAATTCAAACCGACGTGGTCAGAATACTTTTCGGGGTACCACCAACAATATGACAACCCGCAACATCTCCGGGAATAGTAATCCCAATTTCGGAGCAAATATTATGTGCCAAATTTGTGGGAAACCAAACCACTCTGCTCTCAATTGTTGGCATCGGTTTGAACAACAGGCTTATCCTCCTCAGGTCAATACGGCTGTTACTAATCATAATGGATGGTTACTTGATTCTGGAGCAACCAATCATGTCACCAACAACCTGAATAATCTTACCTTGTCATCCGATTATACTGGCACTGATTCTCTCGTTATTGGTAACGGTAAAGGTCTTGCGATAGCACAAGTTGGGCATATGACCCTTCACTCTCTTTCTCTACCTAATACCCTTTTCGTCCCTTCTATTCATACCAACTTAATTTCTGTCGCCAAATTATGTCGTGATAATGATGTATTAATTGAATTTCATTCTTCTTTTTGTCTTGTTAAGGACCGGCGAACGGGAGCAATTTTGTTACGGGGTATGAATAAAGGAGACGTCTACAGCTTGCCAGATGTACCCCCTCCACCATCTCCGTCTGCTCACATCTCACAAAAATATTCCCTTAATAATTGGCACTGTCGCTTAGGACATCCAGCCCTCCCTATTACTAAAAAAAATTTGTCGTCCTTAGGTATTTCCTTTTCCGATGTTACTTCGAATAACTCTTTGTGTGTCTCGTGTGCTAGTAATAAAAGCCATAAGCTGCCCTTTGCAAAATCATCTCTTTCGAGCTTTGGACCTCTAGATTTAATCTATACAGATGTCTGGGGTCCCGCTCGTGTTAATTCTATTGATGGCTTTCGTTACTATGTTATCTTTGTTGATCATTATACCAAGTATATTTGGTTTTATCCTATAACTCATAAAAGTGAGGTCACTCCACTCTTTCAAAAGTTTAAAAAGATTGTTGAAAAATTTTTTCAACGCACAATTAAAACAGTTTATTCTGATGGGGGAGGCGAATACATAACCTTAGGGAAATTCTTAAGCACATGTGGGATTTCTCATTTATTTACACCTCCCTACACTCCAGAGCACAATGGCTTTGCTGAACGTCGGCATCGTCACATTGTGGAAACTGGTATTACCCTACTTCACCATGCATCTATTCCTCTTAAATATTGGTCTTATGCTTTTCTTACCGCAGTTTATCTCATTAATAGACAACCTGCTCTCTCTCTTAACTTCTGCACTCCATATGAAAAACTCTTCCAACAACCTCCTAACTACACTAAACTTGCTGTTTTTGGGTGCCAATGTTTTCCGTGGTTATGACCCTATACCACTCATAAATTAGAACCACGCTCCAAACCATGTGTCTTCCTGGGATATTGTGATCAACAAAGTGCCTATCGTTGTCTTGATCTTACCACCAACCGTATCTTTGTAAGCAGACATGTTGTGTTTGATGAGTCAGTGTTCCCTTTTTCTACATCCTCACCACCCGTCTCAAATATCACTTCTGAAGTTGATCACTGGCTTTCGCCTTCTATGTCTTATTTTCCCATTTCAGGTACTCTGGCTGCGGGGGCGTCTCCTCCAACTCATACATCGGCTCAACAATTGACTATTGACACGTCACCTACTACCTCTACTCAAACTGATATCCCGCTTTCTCCTCTCCCTAAACCCACACCACCACAAATTATTACTTACCAACGCCGACCCAAACCCAATTCTCCTATCCCCCCCCCCCCCTGTTTACCTGCCACTGATCTCACCACCTCAAATCCACCCCTTGATACTCCACCGCCCAAACGTACCCATCCGATGACCCTTCGACCCCGTAAACAAGCCAATGTTACCATTGTTGATCCTTTACCTCACCATATAATTCCCACTTGTGCTTCTCAAGCTATGCAGGTACCACAATGGCGGAGTGCTATGACGGTAGAATTTGATGCCTTGGTTCGAGAGGGCACTTGGGATCTTGTTCCGGCTCAGCCTGGTCAGAATATTGTGGGTTGTAAATGGGTATATACAGTGAAGTATAAACCGGATGGCTCCTTGGATCGCTATAAGGCTCGGCTAGTGGCTAAGGGCTTCCATCAGCGCCCCGGGATTGATTATTCCGACACCTTTAGTCCGGTCATCAAACCGGTCACCATTCGTATTGTTCTGACTATTGCTCTTTCTCATGGTTGACCAGTACATCAGTTAGATGTCAATAATGCATTCCTACATGGGACTCTTCAGGAGGAAGTTTACATGAAGCAACCTTCGGGCTTTAATGATGGTTCTGGGTTTGTTTGTCGCCTTCGGAAATCTATTTATGGCCTTAAACAAGCACCTCGTGTGTGGTATCAATCTCTTAGTGACTTCCTTCTGTCAATTGGGTTTTCTCAATCGGTTGCTGATGCCAGTCTGTTCATCTTTTCCTCCCATTCATCTTACATCTATGTTTTGGTCTATGTGGATGATATTATTGTTACTGGCTCTACACCCGACTTGATACATCAGACTGTTGACTCATTGGCCCATCGATTTTCTATCAAGGATCTTGGCTCCCTACACTATTTCTTGGGCATGCAGGCTACTCCTACACAGGGCGGACTCTTCCTTGATCAACATAAATACATTATGGACTTATTACAAATGTTAAAAATGGATGAGGCCAATCCGGTAGCTACGCCGTTAGCTCCGTCTGCTTCATTAACCCTGTTTGACAGTTCAGGTACATGTGATGCCACTCTCTATCGCCAGGTCCTCGGGTCACTTCAATATTTGAATCTTACTCGTCCAGATGCTGCCTTTGCTATTAACAAACTGGCTCAATTCATGCATAAACCTACGGTCAATCATTGGCAACTTCTCAAACGTCTTTTGCGCTATCTACAAGGAACTGCTTCTCATGGCCTGTTTCTCTGTCCTAGCACATCCCCCTCTCTCCGTGCCTTTGCTGATGCTGACTGGGCAGGGAACCCTGATGATCGTTCTTCTACTAGCGCATATGCCATTTTTCTCGGGGAATCTCTTATATCTTGGAAATCAGTTAAGCAACGTACCATTGCTAAGTCTTCCACGGAAGCTGAATATCGAGCTCTTTCCACCGCTGCCTCTGAAATTATTTGGATTGAATCTCTGTTGCGTGAGTTGCGGCACCCGCTCCCTTCTCCTCCACTCCTCCTTTGTGATAACAAAGGTGCCACTACGTCTTCAGCAAATCCTGTCTTCCACACTCGCATGAAACATGTGGCAATTGACTTTCATTTTGTTCGGCAGCGGGTTCAACGTGGCCTTCTTCAAGTTCATCACATTCCATCCTCTGATCAGATAGCTGATGCCCTCACCAAACCGCTCCCCCGGCAACGCTTCATTCTTCTTAGAGACAAGCTCAGGATTCTTGGCAGTGACAGAATACCTGGCTTGCGGGGGCGTATTGAAGGAAAGAAATAATTCAGTTTCAGGATTCTTTAACACACAATATTGTAGTCAGCAGTTACATATCTTTGGCATTTACTATAGTATTATTATTTACCTTATATACATGATTAAGAGATGTATAAATAGCAGCCTTGTAAATCAGTTTTAGACACACAGAAATACATTCAAAACACTTGTTCTCTTCTCTCTATTAGAGCTTACCAGAGGGCCAGAGGCAGGACTTAAGGAGCTACTATTTCATATATTTATGCTTTTTTACTGCTTATAGAGTTGAGCACTCGAGCAATAAAAGAATTGACCATTACTTACCTAGTGTGCAGTCATTTGCATTTACGATTTCTTAAGTAAAAAAATGTTCATTGTTATAATGAATTGATATATTTCCGTATCTAGAGGCTAGAGCAACAAAAAGGACGGTATGAAACAAAAAAGAAGTGCAAATTTGTCATTTTAAAGCTTATCTTTTTATCTTCAGCGAGAATAGTTCATATTTTCATGAAACAGAGATGGGATGTTTCCAGTTCTTTAGAAGTGAAAGTGAATGACTCTGCATCAATATGAGCATGATTGCTTTCAGGGAAGGCAAAAACATCGTAATATAGAGGGACAGTGTGACGTTTTACTAGGCTGAGTTTTGAGATGGCGTGATCGTTTAGATTTAGCTTTGGAATTGTCCGAAGGAAACTGCTTGTAGAAAGCCTCCACAGCTCCTCTCGCCCCATCCTCGTTTTCCATAGCTTTTGCCAGCTCAGTTGCCCGCTCTTTCACCTGCATAATAAGTTCATAAGTCATAACATATCCACCAGTGGAGAATTTTGAAAAATAAAATAACTTATCTTTACTATCTCAAACTGAAAGAGTAGGTTTCCAAACAAGCTCTAAGCAGAATGAGTAACTTTTCAAATATCCAGTTACATGGCTGAAATAGTTTTTTTCTAAACCTTTTCACTTCCAAAAACTAAGCACATTGTAATTGCCGGTCTCATGAAGTTCTTTTTTGTTTGAATAAAAGTTCTAATGGGAATTTTAACTTTCAGCCACCAATCCAAGTGTTTTGAAAGATATCGAACTCAAATGAAGAAGAAAAACACCCCACACCTTTGGATCTAGCATGAATTCAATGGCAGAGACCAGCCTTTCGAGTGAGAACTCATCCACAGGGATAGGAGCAGGACCTACACCCCTAGCATGTACACGGTCGCCCCAAAAAGGTTGGTCCCCAAAAAAAGGCACCACAGTTGTTGGACACTACAAATGAATCAGCCAGTATCAGTAACATAGTTACCAGGAAATGATTCATGGTTATTTTATTTTGTACATCTTGTAAGGGTTACCGCAGCTTTAAGACCAGCAGCAGTTGTTCCTGCACCACCGTGATGCACCTGCACAGTTCATCATAAAATCTAAAACATTTTAGAACGTTGTTAGACAACTCGTTTGTGATGTCACTATTACAGTCATATCAATCATCTTGGGCGTGGGGGTGGTAGGACGTAGTCCCTTAGTCATGTCCAGTTTTTGAAGCTTAACACGGTCCTTATTATCTGTTCATTTCTTAAATCTATGACACATAAATGAAAGTGCTTCGGAAAGCGAGGAAATGAATCAGAAACCCTTGCATTAAATGTGAAAACAAACACAAATAGTGTGATTTTGGTAAGTCAGATTTGATTTAAACGCTTTATGCAAATTATATAACCCATGTGGTTTAAAACTTTAAATGAAATGGACAACATAAATAAGACTACAAGTAGTAGCTTAGTAGTATGCTACAGTAGACAATACAATCAGCTAAGAGAAGAGGGTGTTACCACAGCAGCACATCGGACAAACAGCCAATCGTGAGGGCAGTTATCCAATACATAAACAAAATTCTTTGGCTCTGTCACTGAGATAAAAAGAGCTCTTTTATCAGAAAATCTCAAGTCCAATCTTCTTCACCTATAACTATTACTCAGAGATGAAAGTGTTATGGTTGCACGAGGAAAACAATTGAGATAACCAGCTACTTACAATTCCCCAGGCCACCCCATCCTTTATTAATAATGCCTCTCTGTCCAGTCATTTCCAATGCCTGAACAATTGTCTTTGTCATTCTCTCTGGTTCTTGAACAGGCTGCAAGATTGCAGTTCATATAATATTTTGCATTGGGCTAAGAATATCAATTTTCTAGGAGTTGTGTTAAGTAGCATTGTGATACACTCATACAGCAAGAGAAAATTGAACTGGCATGTTATTTATTTTGGAACACACAAACCCTTATACCTTGGCATCAATTTGTGACTAGGGATGAAACTTTTGAGCAAAACGTCATAATTGTATCCTGGAATTATAAAAATGACACAGCCTAAAAGAAAAGGCAGGATTCTATCTATTTAGTATATTACACCTTTGGTAATGCCAAAAAGTGAACTGGTTAACTTTTTGGAAGAAACAAATTTTCAAAATATAAATGTAAACTTAGTTGTGTGGTATGCGTAAGTTGAAATTTGAGGAATCTGTGTGAAATAAGTGGTGAGTGCCAACTTACAAGACTACCAAAGCCAATGTAAATGGGCTTTTGACCATCTTCAAGCCACTTCACAAGTGGTTCTGGCGGATCAAAATTAGAAGCGAGGTCTAGAAAACAAAATCCCACTACATCAATTTTTGGCCCCCAATCTGCGAAACATGAAAAGGTGGGCTTATTAGTATACGACCACTATAATAACGCATGTAGCATTGTACCACATTCTGCACTCATGACAGAACATGCCTATACAAAATGGACAAAAGATCACATAAAGAGGGCAGGCAAAAGAAGGAAAGCAAATTAATGGTTAACATGCATGGTATAGACCAATGACATAGTGAACTACGACATATTCAATTTAAAGAAACATTAAAACTCAAATTTCTTTGACCTTCTATTAACAAATATTAATAAGTGTGCCATCAACAATACATTCCCGTTAATATTCATTTCCCTCGGTTTTAAAATGTGTATGGAAGCAAATTTGTAACAGCAAGATGCGATCATGCGAGAAATGACCTTTAGGTTTGGGAACAAGATGCGGACTCCAAATATACCCATGTGGGATGTCAGATGATGAATTGTAGGAGTCACTCAAATATGTAGTCGGCCTTAGTTTCAATTTTTTCTTTCTGAAGCCATTAATCACATCCCGTATGCCCATCCAGATTAATCCGTCAACGATTTGATATGACAACTGAAAGAAAACTTAAATCTTATAAATATATGACAGTGGGAAAAAAATCAAAATCTGGGTGTGAGGAGGCAGGGACAAAAAAAGCAGACTTTGTATGCAACTGGCTGTGAAGCACGATAAAGAGGATGTGGGAATTCACTTGTAGGCCTGTATGAGAGCACCGTGAAAAAAATCATCATAAGAAACTCTAAAATGTTTGGTAAATGAAATAAAATGCAATCATGCAACTTTGTACACTAATAAATTTGCTATCTTTGTGCGATAAGAAAAAACTGAATGATAGAAAACACGTACGTCCATGGCATTGTGAAAAATACATGCAAAGGTACTCCCAATGCTTCTGCAACATCATTATGCCCTTAAAAAAACAAGTCATATACAACAAAAAATTACTTGTTACCGACAACAAATACATGGCACATCTAGTTTATGACTTTATGTTATATACTTACCATATGCTGGAGGGTTGGCAATGATGGCATCTACCTCGAATGGGATATTCGATTCTTGATCAGGCTCTACACATGCAGGAAGCAAAGAGAATACAATATCTTTTATTTGCTTGCGCTGAATTTTTATTTCAGAAGGTCCGGATGGAAAGAAACCTTTATTTTTTACCATATCTGCATAGGCCGAGCAATACTATCAACTTTTGTTGACTGAATATGAATTCAACGTAACTTGTATGAATTCTGATTACAGATAAAAGAAAGAACAAAAGATTAAAAAAGAAGGTGAAACATTCATTGTCCAAAATCACAAATAATGCTGTTGATGGACACTTCATAGAAAAAGAAATCAATTAACTTCCAAAATAAACTTCTGGAAAAAAAGCAAGTGGGATAGGATCTTTTTTAATGAGCAAGGGGGGTCCAAAACAGCATGTTTTCAATCTCAAAACAAAAGCAGATAAACAGCGCTGTAAGGAATTGATTCCGCTTCTTCTTCTTTCTAGGGGCACCTAGATTTACCCAGACCCAAATCCAGACCTGTAATACGGAGTGTATTACATTTATATTTAATAAATGACATTTAAACGCTCAGAAGCGAAAGCAGCTTCTCAAAAACTGCTTCTAGAGAGCAATTAGAAGCGGTTAGAATTACTTCTACTCTTTGAAGGAGCATGTTTTCAATCTCAAAACAAAAGCAGATAAACAGCGCTGTATGGAATTGATTCTGCTTCTTCTTCTTTCTAGGAGCACCTAGACTTACCCAGACCCAAATCCAGACCCAGCCCAGACCTTTTACACTCCGTATTACATTTATATTTAATAAATGTCATTTTAACGTTCAGAAGCGAAAGCAGTTTCTCAAAAACTGCTTCTAGAGAGCAATTAGAAGCGGTTAGAATTGCTTCTACTCTTCGAAGGAGCAGAAGTAGTTTAAACTTTAAAGAAGTAGATCCAAGCACCCATTTATAGATCCATTATATCCAGTCATCAGCCCTTTTTTATGTTACTTGTTAAACATGGGGTAAATTGATGCACTTTCCTGCTTTTTTGCTGTGTTTCGGTTTGTAGAAGGATTTTAGTGTTCGAGTAGATGAATCGGAATATTAGACCAATTCAGAGATAAGAGGGAAGCCTAAGAAATAATTAGAGGAACGGATGGACATGCACTATGACTGCCCTTCAGTCACAAGTCTCTCCTAGTAAAAGTGGGAAAAAAAATAGAGTTAGCCCGTGGCAAGGATGGAGAACAGATGACTGTCCTTTGGGTCCATTAAGACCGTCATTCGAAGCACAGAAAAACTGAAAGCATAAGTAAGAAGAAATAAAGACTTGGGAAATTGGAGAATGGTGAGCTGGACAGCTGTCCAGTTGGCTGTCCCATGCCAAAGTGAGTTGAGCATAAAACGCAGTCCAGATCATGACTTTGACATCTTGCTCCTTTTTTCGATCGACACCGCACAAAATATAAATCAAGGGCTAAATTTTTAACATCTCCTTGCTTCCAAACATCAATCTTGAGGTTTAAAACTGGTGCTTATTTGTAGGTTCCTACGAAAAATTCTACTTCTAGTTCTTAATAAGCTTATTAACTAGCAAACGTCATGAGCCTTTGTTGTTGAATTATTTATTTAAAATTTTGAATTTACTTATGAATGCTGTCATAATTTTTAATTTATTACTTTGATTTCATCACTATCATGCTTGGATAAATCCTAGGATTCTAGGATCTTGAGAGTTAAACTAAACTGGGTCTTTTCCCCCATTGTAAGGAACTGTTGAATCAGATGAATTGTATATGTAAACTAAGAAATTAGCCTATTTACTTATGAGCCCTAGGAAAATTGACTCTTACTTTGTCCATGAAATGGGGATTAACTTAACCCACTCTCACACACCCTACACTAAGACAGTAAGACTAGATATAAGACATATTACAAGAACTGAAATAATATCTTGTGGATAAGAATTAAAATTCACTTCAACGAAGACTGGTAGGAATTTTTCAAAGTCATTAAACCCACGAAAACCCTAGACCCGATATACCAATTTCAAACCTTCTGGATTCTTCAGTCAAAATTATTACATTGTCCCTGCATCTTAATTATTCTATGCATATACTCGTTAATTTTTCCAAAAATTATTGGTTGAAAGCTTGCAATACTTTTTTAAATTAACAAATGAGTCATGAGCGGTACTGATTCAACAAGCCTCCCTTCCTCAATCCTTGTGAGCACAACATTCAAGGTCGAGTAATTCTGTCAAGAAAAACTTGAAATGGATTGTCTACCAAACAACATGGCACTGGCGCATGGGAACCGTCTGATAATAGATGTAAAGGAACCCACCAATCTGCCATAGTTAGATGCTTGATTAGACGATCGAGACGAGGCCAGGCAGAGTGCCTGGCTTTTAGGCCAGGTTGAGACCCCAGATTCCGAAAAAGTAACCCGTTTACTACACCCTCAACACATGTCAAAATAAATGAGAACAGTACAGCAGTGAGACCATTAGCAAGCTATATACATTTTCACACTTACAAGCAGCAAGAACTTTGGGATCCCCGCCAAGAGGATAGAACTCCAACCCAGCACCCAAGACAAACTCTTTAAAATCGGAGTGGGTTGCCAACCTCACCCTGTGACCATCCTCCTGCCAGAACAAAGCAAAGAAAATAATTATTCGGTTGTATGCCTCTACTTTTTTTTTTACTTTTTTTTTAGCAACAATTCCGTAAATGATAATTGAAATGATGCAGGAGGTGATGGGAAGATGTTTTACTTTTGTAAATCACTAGGAATTTAAAGAAAACTCAGGTACAGACGCATTGCTTGAATAATAGGAAATTATTGCTTAGAAGACAAAGGTTCATATTCTTGCAGCAGATACCTCTTCAGGATCATTTAATAATGTATGTTTATGTCCTGCTACACATCTATTAGGGAATAAGGGAGGGAACATTCTTCTGGAGCGAATAGATTTTATTTACAATCAGAACACCATATAGAAAGCATAAATAGTCAAAAGGGTTGGTTTTTAGCCTTCTTTGCAATTTGGTAGGAAAACAATAATAAACCAGAGTATTCCAATTCCATCCATTTACTGCATTGAAAATAAATCCATCTTAGGTATCCATGTCAGTAACAGTATACCCTCCTTCCAAGTAAAGGTTGGAACATATTCTCTTCCAATGCCAGCAGCACCGTTAGACAGTCCAAATCCTCGTAGTTGAAAACAATTTACAGGTTAGATGCATAAGTTACACGATGAAAACAGAGATGCATCCCTTCCACATCATACATTACTTGACTAGTTGCACACTATCAAATCAATTAATTGGCCACTATTTGCTGAAATATAGTTATTGGTGTATGGAGTGAGTGGTTGATTTGTGTAGATTTTGTTTATATATGTGCCACAACATAAGATTCTATCAGACAGGCACTGCACTGAGGTTTAGCGGGATGAGTGGAAACAGAAACAGCCGGGTAATGATTTGGATGCTTGACTTTAATATGATGATCCAAAAAGAGAATGTAATTTATGACCTCTAGCTTGAGTTGGATGCACACTAAACATGTCTTAGTTTCACTACCTTCTATTTTGGCAAAGTGCATGTGTCTGTTAACCTCGAGACTTTTTAATTCTAAAAAAGAGAGAGAGAATGAGTGTGAACTAATGAAGAGTTTATTGATGTTAAGAGTTAATATACTCAAGTAGGTTCATAAAAGCAGCAGAAGAGAAAGTCAACCAGATGTGTTCATGAAAGCCGGAAAGTTCTATAAAGTTGGGATCTAAGAATCAATTGATATATGGGTAATTTAATAATGTCTTCACCTGTAAATTTTTCCCAATGGCAACAAAGGGTTGCACATCTCCTCTGGTTCCAACAATGAGCATAACAATTTGCAAAGGAGGTAAGCTTTGAATATCTGACAAGTCCCTAGGATCTTCACCTGTAGTCCCACCGTAAGCAATTCCTGAACCAAATACAAGGCGTTCAGGAGTCAAACTCTCCTAGAACTTCAAACTTTACAGTCCCATCAAGTTGAATGGGAGCAAGCTGTTTTAGCAATTGGGGCTGCAAAAATTCAAACTCATCACAAAAACAAGTATGCATGTCCGTCAATTACCTCAGGATTTAACATTACTGCATATGAAAGGTCAAACTATGTGGTTAAGATCCCATGAATCTCTTGTGGAACTATCAAGAGTGAACTCCCCTGTTAAACTAATACACTATTCCTCCCTCACCCTAAAGCAAAACAGCAAATGCAGTGGAATTGAAACCAAAGAGAACATCTAAAAAGGGAACATCTCAAAAGCTGGACTACACTTGGAGATTTTTGCATCAAAGAACTTAGATCCTAGAAATGCAATAACCAGTCAGTGTTTGAATTTCTTGAACTTACAAAGCGGAATTGAAGGACTAGCGGTGTCTTCTAGCATTTCCATGTTTCTAATCATACGGATTGACAAAACTCCTATCAATAGGTCCACGATAGACCATCTTTGATCGGAACTAATGAAAATATGTGGCAAAGTACCGAATCTAGTGTAGGAAAAATGGATACCAGGATGGACAGGATTGGTTAGAAGAATGAATTCCGAAAACACTATACTAGTTCAGTCTCTCTTCAAAATGCATTAAGCCATTAATGTATCTCTAGGAGAACACGGTTTCTAGATTCTCCAAATTTGTGATACTTCCATCCATTTAGAATAACAATAACACGAAATCTACCTCCTTCAGGATTTCTAAACTCTTTCTTCAATTAGTCAAGCTCAATTTACACCATTCTAGCTAAACTATCCGGTCTGTTCTGGGCGGATGGATGCATCCTTTTCTGTTTCTTCTTCTTCAATTATCTCACTCAATGCAGATACTCAAATGACTACCAATCGTAAAATCTTACCTAGATCACATCAAACTTAGTCCTACTAAATCGAACACCCTCCAAGCCATGTCCGCGAGGTTGACAGAGAAAGTAAAGCAAAAGAGACAAGAGTGAGTACCGGCAAAATCAGCACTACTGCAATTCTTTCTGAGCGACTCGCTGGGATTCGCATCGCCATCTTCTATAAGTATTTCGACTCCCAAATCGGAGGAAGGCTCGGCTGCGCTACTAGAACAGCGATAACTCCGCCTTTCCGACAACGTCTCCTCCATAGAAATACCTAGCTTGGCTTTCACTTCTCCTTCCTCCTGTCTCCAATTAGATAAAAGAGAGCAGAACGTAGTTATATGAGTTATTTTGGCAAAACTCCAATTAGAAATGAAGTCAGCAAAAGTTGGTGCTGGAAGTGATTCTTCTTGTACGGAGTATTTTTCTAGCAATTGCTTTTCGCGGGTAAAAACTAAAAACGGGAAAGAGAAACGTTGGAAAACACGTCCCAGCAAGGAAGTGCAACTCAAAGTGCCACGTGCTGCTACATGGGAAAGACACCGTCTTTTTCTCATGATTGCATTTAATTTTATTTTTAAAATAATGCTGCGTACTTCGTACTTACGGAGTATAAAATACGGAAGGGTTTCAACTCACGAATATTCCTTCCTTTCCTTATAATTTTGTCAATTCTATTTTAGATATTTCACTAATTTTGATAATTTCTCTTTTAAGTAATGAATTTATGTTGAGAGAATCGTCGAAATAGGACTAAATGAAAGGGAAATTGCAAACATAGGACTACTATGTTTTATTGGTCAAAAATGGGACTAAAAAAAACTGATCTGACTAAACTGCCCCCCAATTAAAAAACATGACACCGGCGAACGCATAACAGCCTCTCATGTTCGCAGGTCTGCTTTGCTTCCCTCTCCACTGCTCAGGTCGACATATCTCCAGGTAAGTATTTCTTCTTCTTCTTTTCCTCCTTCTCCTTCTTCCTCTTCTCCTTTTCCTTCTCTTCTGTTCTCTGCTCCTTTCTTCTTCAGTCAATTATTGTATCAATTATTGAAAATTTTTATTTAAAAATTTTGGATTTGAAATTCACGGTTCTATCAATTATTCGAAATTATTTCGGTCTAATTTTTTTGTTATGTTCATCTATCAACTTTTTTGAAAAAGCCACATGATTGGCAATTTTTGGAGACACATTGGCAATTTTTGGAGATGACAGTATTATATGTTTGAAATTTCCATGATTTTGACATTTTTGACAAATGATGACATTTTTGCATCTAAAAATGTCATGTTATAATCTCAAAAATGACATGTTTTTACATCTAAAAATGTCATGTTGTAATCTCAAAACTGACATGTTTTTGCATCTAAAAATGTCATATTTTTGCCTTTGATGTTAACATGTCATTTTCGAGTAAAGTGACAAACAGGTCAAAACTGTCATCATAACAAATGCAATGTCATGAAATTGTCATTATTTTTAAATGATGGCATTTTCGAAGGACAATTGACAGAGCCTCAAATTTCATATCCAGAAGTCCCAAATCTAAAAAAATAAAAATTTGACCGGTTCTTTGTTGAAATCGAACCCATCATATGGATTTTCAAAATCAAATTTTTATTTAGAATCTCATTGATAAAAATAAAAAAGCAGAGCACCAGGAACAAGATGAGGAGGAGGAGGAGAAGAAGAGAAGATGAAGAAGAAGAAGAAGAAGAAGAAGAAGAAGAAGAAGAAGAAGAAAAGGAGGAAGAAGAGGACCTACCTTGGATGAAATAGAAGCATACTCTTAGTTCCAGCGACAACAATGGAAAACCAGGTAGGGGAGACGGCGCGGCTGGAGAGGCGAGGCGGCGGGACTGGAGACAAACTCGGCGATGGCTGAGAAGCGATTGACGAAGGTGGAGGAAAAAATAGCGAAGAGGGAGAGAAGCTCGCTCACTGCTCTTCAGACTTCAATAGCCGATGATGGATTGGGGCTTTAATTATATTAAGGGCATAATGGTAATGTTTAGTCCTATTTAGGAAAAATTAAACATGAACTCCTATTTTGGAGTTTTAACTATGTTTTGATCCTATTTGGGGCAATTACTTATTTATGTTTTTGGTTAATTCTCTCTCCTCTGCACAAACCTCAACCATATAATTTTCACATTATTAATCTTCGTGCCGGTCAAACTTGGCAAAATTTTAAGAGGCGGAGGGAATATATTAATCAATCATTCCCACTCAGCTGGTTGTGAGGTTGTGCCTAGTGAGAGGTCTCGAGTTCGAAACCCGCTAGACACATAAGGCTTTGAAACTCAATGGAGTGAGATTCGGCCCTGATTACTCCAAGCCCCCCAGTCCCCTCCCCCAGGCGCCCCTGTAGTGAAAAAAAGGCATATTACCGGGGTAATTTAAAAAATACCGCAAATATCCTATGTATACGAAATAATTATATGTGCGCAAAAGACTTTCAAAGCAAATAGTGCAACACTCGGGGCATGTCTCGGTGGTGTTAATTTGATATGAGTCAGGTGACAAATACTAATGAACATTATGGACTATTTATAGGATGTGGTCAAATTTTGGTTATAATAGATTTCTTTTATGAACTAATAATCACCACCATGGAATACGGATGAAGAAACACCATTTTTTGGAGAACGAATTTGTGGTTATATTGTGAATTATGTGCTTATTGTTGCAACAGTTATTAATTATTTATAGGGCTAATTATAATGTTATATGATGAGGTACGATAAGAAGAAGTGATGAGTTGGAATTGGGGACATGTGGAGTTTACAATTTTACATTATTTTGGATATTCACGTGTATTATTCGTGTTATACGATTAGAGTTATGTTCACGTAAACTAAAGTTCCATTATTTAAAAAAATTGATCTTGAATCAGAGCTTCACTCAAATGTGTAAGATTAATTTTGTATGATTAAAGTCTTATTACGTGTATTGGAGTTTCATTATTTAAAGAATTCGATGTTGAACAATTATTTTGGAAACTGAAATGATATCGAATTTGTTCCGAGAATCATACTCTATTCATATGGTTGTATTAAGAAGTTGTTCTATTCGTGTGATATTAATATTTAAGATCTGAAATTTTTATACTTGGTCTAATCTGATCTGGTTTTTTTCTAAAATTTTTCTGGACTGGTTTGATCTTTTATGATCCCGTTGTATGAATATTTTTAATCTGGCCTGATATGAGTTTTTCTGATTTTGATCTGATTTGAATCATTCCGATGTGATATAAATATATTTTTGATGTGATTAGGACATTATTAGTATTATTAAGTTATTATTATTATTATTATCATTGTCATTATTATAAATCATCTTTATAATTATAATTATCATCATACCAATAAGTATAAATATAATTATAATTACAATTATAATTTTAACTATAATTATAATATCATTTTATTATCATTATATTTATCCTTATTTTTATTATTACAATTATCAAGATTTCTGTGAAATGAGCATTAATGAACTTTTAATGAACATCAGACCTATACAAATGAGCATATGTAACTTACAAGATGAGCATTAATATGAAAATTGTAAGTTTTGTTCGTCAGGCATCAAAACATTTTCAGCGAGCATCAAACCTCCGCTATTGAGTATTAGAATCTGCGATTTAGTATCATGATTTGTGCTCTTGTGTCTATAATCAATCCTTATGTGAATCTAATGTAATATGAGACTTTTGAAATATGCATTGATCTGATATAACATTTTAAAATGAGCATAACAAAGCTACTAAATGAATTGAACACACCTAATTTACAAAATGAGTATCCTAAATTCAAAAGATCATTTGTGTATGTTCATTCTTTTTAGGGGTTTTACTCATTTGATTTTAAAATAAAGCTCATTTCTAATGTGCTCAGTATTAATATATAAAGCCGGAAATTAAATTAATTGAATCATTAAAGTTGTGAGTTAAAAAGGAAAATGGAGAAAGTTGCGGGCTCTGGAAAATGCAACAATGGTGGAGGATATTTTTAGCAGGAGCAGAAGAGACATTTTTGGAGCTCCGATGTGTGGCGTAACAGAGAAAGTCGAGTTATCTGGAGCTCCGATGTGTGGCGTAGCAGAGGAAATCGAGTTATCCAAAGGTCAGAGCAGCTGCAGAGTCCAACTCTGTTGGTTCGCCTTCTCCCCTTATCAGCTCCGACGATTCACGTAGATGATTGAGCGAGGAAGATGATTGACAATTCAGATATTAGGGTGGAGAGAATCAAATGCTTAAAGGTTGTATATATTACAAAAAACGGTTGCAGATGTAGACCCGAGTGTACCTTATAATCTCTTATAATATGCTCACTTCTTGGGGCTGGAGAAATTTTAAGGAACCGAATAACATATTGAAACCGAACCGATAAAACCAACTAAATTTGATTGAAATAAAAACCCACAAAGTCAGTTGTAGTTTTAGATACTACCTCAGTCTTTTAAAACTTTCCCAAGTTTGATCAGCAAGTGGATTAATAAAGTAAAAATTGTGTGTTGAATATTTGTGCAGAGGAGAGAGAATTGGATGCAACTGTAAATTCTTTATTTAAAACTGACCGACCGAGGAAGTAATATGCTATTATGCCCAGCTATACTTGGCTTGATGTTTTGAGCTCAATCGCTCCCAGCACGAAACGGTCCTGTCCAAGCTATTCATGGACAGCACAAGAAAAGATCTTTTTGTTCTAAGTAAGTGATTTCGTTTTCTAATATACCAATAACAATACAAGTATCATTTAGAGATTTTATGTTCTTCTACTGTGATTCGACCGACCATTTCCATATGTGGGTTTCGAGTTAGAACTTTGAACAACTTAAATTTGTTTAAACATTCCAGGTAATTTTTTATGTTTCATGCTTTTAGTGCCTCAAACATTCAAGATTGTTAACTTAAAGTATTTGACCTTCTTGCCTCCAAAGTGTTTGACAAAATTCCTATAGGAAATCAAAGAACTTAGTTTTATTGCTAATTAACTTAATCTTACATTGTTTTATTCTCTTAATTCTTCAACCTTGTTGTTGTTCATTTTTTAATGGAAAACATTGGATAAAATGATCGAATATATGTAGCCCTTTTGACCATTCAGAACGTAGAATTATTACATGAATCAACGACATATTTCGATTCATGTCATGTGATGTGGCTAAGTGATATTGTTTGGTCGTCATACGCCTACTGCAACATCCTCCTCCTTTATCCTGGCTTGGGACAAGCATGATACCAAAAAATGATACCAAAAAATGATCTCATGGCAGAGTTAGAATTATTACATGAATCTGCTAAAGAATTTATTTTTGGGGTTAGTATATCTTTTCGAAACTTTTAAAATCTCTAATGGTTTGGTGGCAGGAATTTTAACTTTTTAATTTCTAAGTATTGTTGTTTTGCTGGTGTTAGTATTACATGTAATATGTGTATATTGAATGTGCATAACAGGTGGGATAAAGCCTTTCTGCCAGGCACGTTCTCTGTATTTTGTCAAGCGTAGGTGAGTAAACCGAAAACCGACCGACAAAACCGATTATAAAAACCGTCCAACCAAATTCCATTCGATTCGATTACCAGTTCTCACTTTTGAAAACTGAGCAAAAAAACTGACTGACATCGACTGAAACCGACCTGACAAACACCCCTAATAGATACCAAGTGAACAATGAAATTAAATCAATAATAAACATTTAAGTAATTGAATCACCAAAATGGATATGCACATTTCCTTGATGGTTCACCAAAATTAAAGACAATGGATACATATAATCATTGCCAAGCTTTATCTTCATCTGGTTCTTCATCACTGCTTGTTGACGAGTATGAACCAAATCTCCGATTCTCAGATTTCATACTGCGTTCCTTCCTTAAACTGGATCTCATACTCCTCCCATCATCTGATTCCGCAATACTGCTGGATCTCAAGTTCATACTGGCATTAATGCTGTAACAGAAGCTCATGTCGCCGACGTCTTCATCGGCATCTGAGATTCTGTCATTTCTCCAGTTGATGGAATCGCTCTCTTGAGCATCTTTGTCGGCGGTTCTGCTCCGCCTTGGGCTCAAACCATCACTTGCATTTCCATCATCTGAGGATGATGAATTGCTTCTGATGCTACTTGATCTTGAGTTTATCCTTTTAGAATTGCCACTTCCAACCTCTGATTCCTCTCCTTCTCCTTCATCCTCACTCTGATCTGAGGAAGAGGAACTGTTTTCACTGTTTTGGTCCTCATCATCGCTACTGTCGCTGTCGGATGTATTGGCATTTGGATTCTCCGGTGATGGTTGGTTCGGGTCCAGAAGTGGTGCAGCGGGGACTGGTGGTTCTTCGATTGGAGCCGCTGCTAGGAAACTAAGAGCGGCAACGACGTCACCGAACAGAGGGCGTACTGATGCTTCTTCTTGGAGGCACATGGCGGCGACGCCAACTGCTTGGTTCAAACTTGTCATTGGAAATGCGTTCTTCATAAGTGGATCTGCCATTTCTGAGAACCTTTTTGGATCCCTGAAAATGGGTCTTGCCTGTAGGTAAATCAAAGTCATTTTGCATCGTTAGTTAACTAAAATTTGTTCTAGTGAAGCGTTAACTCGCAAATAATCATTAAATTTGGTGTTTATATCTTCTTAAAATTGCTTCTCCTCCATTAGGTAGGATTATTTGGCTCAAAGTCCAGAAGTATTTTTAGGTGCTATAAATTGCACTCACTGAAGTTGAGAAGTTAAGGGGAAACAACTTCTGTAAAACCAATTTTGATTCTATTTCTACTTAAAAAGAAGCCTAAGCACAATCAATTCCAAACTCCAAACATGCCCATATAGTTTATAAAAGTTAGCATTAAATTTGATTTTCATTACTTACCCACTCCACTAAATTTTGTTGATCTATTGGTCTTGCTGTGTCCACGGCTCGGCGGCCTGAAATGAGCTCAACCAAAACCACACCAAAACTGTAAACATCAGACTTCAAAGTGAGCTCGCCGGTTCTTTCGTACTCTGGCGCACAATAACCGGTTCCCATAACCCTTGGTTTTAAGAGTGTATTGCTTCCCCCTCCCCCCTCAAGCTTAGCAAGACCATAATCAGAAAGCTTGGGATTATAATCTTCGTCCAACAAAATGGCTGAAGATTTCAAATCTCTATATATGATGGGAGGGTTGGCCTTTTCGTGCAAATATTCTAGTCCTTGGGCTATTCCAGAGGCTATTTTCATTCTAGTCGACCAATTCAGTGGCTCTTTATGCTCTGGAATGTCTGCAATTGTTACACAAATGAAGCCAAAGTTAAAAACAAATAATATGATGTCCAGAGATCTGTACACCTTAAACTGAAACTCCGTATTCTATTTACTGCTCACCAAAAAGATGGGTTTGGAGACAACCAATTGGCATGTATTCATAGACCAAAAGTCTTTGTTCTCCATCAGCGCAATAGCCAATAAGGTTTAGAAGATTAGGATGGCTAAGAAGGGTTAAGACCAGCACTTCAACAGAGAACTCCTTACTGTTATGTGCTCCTGTCCTATCAAGCCGCTTAACAGTAACAACCTGCATTTAGAGGGACGTTTAGCTACAGAGATGTAAGATCTTAAACTTGTCAGAGATAATTTTTATGTAGTGTCAAAGCTTAATATAGTACTACGTAAGTAGTAACAGAGCCTCATTTAGCCGAGTATGAATTAGGAGTCTTGCTTTCTCTTAATTTTCTCTTAATTTTATGCTTAGATACATTGCAAAAAAAAAAATCATAAAAAGAAATATTGATTGCATTTCCAAAAGATCTAGACTGAAAAGTTATAATAATCCTGGATCATATTGGATCAATAAGCGCAACATTGAAGTAAATAGAAGATATAGACCCAACATTGGTTCGTATTGCTATATTGAATTAGCTATTTAGCTATAATGGAAAGGGTTTGATTACTAGGTTTGAATTAGCGAAATATACCTCCCCATTTGGAAGTGTTCCTTTAAATACTTTTCCAAATCCGCCTTCACCTATGAGGCATTCTTGCCGGAAGTTCTTTGTTGCACTCGCGAGCTCCCGGAAAGTGAAAGTCTTGGCGTTGGAATTTCCACTTTCTACGCTCCCTTTGTCTACTGCCTGCTGCTTGTTGTTGTCTGCGACAGCTGGTGGAGGAGGAATCACTTCCGGTGGCGTTGTCGTACTACATTCTGCAGCCATATATGCATGCATGTATTGTGTGATTAACTAGTCCTTGTAATAATTAATTTGATTTTTATCATTGTGCTGGAATAAATGAAGTTTTTTGTTCGTTGAGAATAAAATTGTATAATTGCATCATTACGTTACTGAACTCGGATAATAATATTATAAATAAATAAAACTTGTGATCTATTCACTACACATATTGTAGTGTTTGTCACCTCAATTTATGTAACTAAAAATACATATGGTTCCCCTTCTTTCCAAACAAAAATGGCACTGGCCAGAAATCTCGCATATTTTTTACCAATTTTGCATTAAGAAATAACCTTAAACACTCTTATTTGTCATATATTACATGTGGAACATCATTTATATACTAGTATAAAAAAATCAGATTTAGTGTCATAACATAAGCATATGGTCATTAATTATTAGTTTTCTAACTTCATTTGTATCAGAATATAATGTACACTTCCTGTCGAGAACTCAATAGTCAATACCGGCAACATATGTTCTTGTGAGCTTTTCGGTTTACACATTCCAACAGAAGTGTTCCTAATGTAGAAAATTCATTAATTACAGGAGATTCTATGCAATGGAGTGAATATATATAGAACTTATAATGATCACAAGCATAATTTATGGAACTAAGTGAGCAAATCAAATTTTCTTGGTATAAGGGTCAAATAGGACCTCGAACTCACAAAAAAATGTCAAATAAGGTCATATATAGGATGCTCTTTACGTCCGACGCCATTTGGGGTGGTTCCCGGTTCAATTTTTCGATGAAAATTTTTGAGCATCTTATTCATTAAGTCTAGTTTACTCATATCAAATTTGAACTAAAAATTCAATCGGGGAGGCATTCAAATGAATTCTTGAAAATAACTGCGCAGTTATATTCAAGAATTTATTTGAATGCCTTCTCGAATGAATTTTTAGTTCAAATTTGCTATGACTAAACTAGACTTAATGAATAAGATTCTCAAAAAAATTCATCAAAAAATTCCATCGGGAACCGCCCCAAATGGCGTCGGCCGGACAGATCATCTTATATAAGACCTTATTTGACATTTTTTGTAGAGAAATTTACCTTACCTGTGAGTAAAAGTTCTAACTTTTCCCATAATATGACATAGAAGTCCTTTTTCCTAAGATGATACTACACAGTTATGGTAACCGCTGTGTACTATTTATTTTCATTCCAGATTCGGCAACTTTATGGGAAGTTAGAGGCCCTCTACCTGTATTTATTTTAGGGTCATTTTGGTCTTTGAATATTCTTCACCATACTGATGCCATGTTTTAAACCGTCTGTAGTCATACGGTGGTAAAAAAAACATATCAAGTCATACATTGGGAATTGTGAGGAGTTTTACTCACATATACGTATTTTTCCCTTTTTTGTAAGTTCGAGGCCCTATCTGACCCTTAACCCAATTTTCCTCCATCGAAATTAACTTTCAGCATCGTATTTTAATTTGAAGTTTTTCTATGTTATATTCTGTTATATTCATATCATGAGCAATTACTTAAAAACAATCTTCGACCTAAATGTTTGCCCTAAGATCTAAACCTATACAGTTCGCCAATTTATGTAGATATAAATAAGAAAATTTATGTAAATTCGACTAAAATATTTATAGATTTCTAATACGAGTGTGTGACTAAAAACTTAAATATGTCTGTGTATGAGTAATAATTAAATTGAAGAGAGAAAAGTAGTATGAAACACATACCATACATCCAAATCCCAATTAATTTAGGAATAAAAATCTGTTAGTCATATTCCTAATAATTTTCTCATATAACTGTAGATTTGTTGGTTCGCATGGTGCATGCATGCAATGCATATATATACATATACACGCATAAATTTCTTCAAAAATATTTTGTACTCTGTATACATCACCCTAATTAGGCTTCTGCACGTACCCTTGTTAAGAGACGGGGCAGGGCGGGGAGGGGAGGGGAGGAGAAGCTCTCTTGGTTGAGCAACAGGAAGCTGCTCCAACTGCTCCTTATCAACGCCATCTTCTTTCTTTTGAAAACAGGGGAAACAGTTCATATCTTGATGCGGCGGCTGCCGTTTCTCCTTTACCGGATTGACGTTCCGGTGTTGGGGCCAATTCCAACAAGATGCCGATTTCCCCGCACCACGATGCTACTTCGATAGCATTCGACATCAAATCATATGCCTAGCTATATACATACATTATACATATGCTCCACATTTGCATTCATGATATGGCATGAACAAGCCTAGGGAGATCAAAACCAGCAAGCCCGCCCAAATAGATATGATGATTACCTTGAGCGAAAACAAACTATAATGAATTGATGAGATCGGAAGGGAAGGTCGTCGATCGGTCCTCGGGCCGGGGGTACCCTTCGCACGCTAGCTAGCTACGGGAATGAAGGAATGGAGGGGAATTCTAGCTAGCTAACGGCGAGTATGTACGTGCCAGGAAATCAGATAGAAGAAGATCAATGAAATTTTATTAGGGGAATGAAAGCTATCGGAAGAGATGGATGGAGAAATTGCATGCATGCATGTACGTACATGCGTATGCTTTTCTTCTCTTATTAATTCCTTAAAATATGGGTTAACTCTCCATCTCAGTGTACTATTTCTCCTGTAAATAGATGAAATTGAAAATGATATTCGTATATGACATTCATTTTCAATGATCTCAATTATTGATTATTAAATTTGAGTGGTCTCAATTGAAGATACTCATGAGACTATGTATCAATAATAGTCTCATGTTATCGGTCTTTGTCCTCGTTTAGAAAAGATATCTTATACCCTTAGTCTAGTTATAATAAGGTGACAACTCTGGTACCCATTTAAAAAATGGGGTACCGTACCTACCATTCATTTGATTGATCCAAATCATTATAGCATTTTTAATTTAGATATAAATAATTCAACTGCAACATTCTGATTGGTCCATGTGGACGAAGGTATGGTACCTTATGGGTACCATAGAATCTACCTTATAAAAATGGGAATTTTCCCTAAATGAGACTAATTAGCTTCATAAATTCCAAAATGGGACCAACCCGGAAGCCAATTTTCGCTAGCACTAAATGAGCTCTGAATTGACAATTATACTCTCAACTAATAGGTGCCGTTGCACGATTTCCCGTACCCGAATATACGTTCCTCTCTCATCCTCAGGCAGTTACTTCGAGTCTCTCCCACTTTCGAAGCAACACATACTCCCAACTTCCGCAGCAACTGTACACGAAGAAAATCGAAGAGATTGGCACTGAGGATAGAGAAGTAAGAATCGACGGCTAAAGCACCATTATTGTCGTCAATAATGAACGATACGAACTCGACGAGTACAAAACGAAAAAAGGCCATGACCACGAAGATGGTATGTATTTCTGGTTTACATTTTTCGAAAAGTAGGTTAAAATGTGTGATAAAAGGTCTAATAATGTAAGTTTTGAGCCTAATTTCTAGATACTACAATCCATTTTATTTGCATGTTTATTATTATGCACAGAAGAAGTGTGATAGAGTTTTTTTTACTTGAGAACAAATGCGATAGAGTTTATTAACTTTGATGTGTATTATTTTACTTATTAAGCAGATGCAATAATGATTAAATTCCTTTATAGTATGTACGAGTGAAGACAATTCACATATTTCCAAATTTCATGAGTTGTTCGTAGAATTTATTTCCATCCTGCTCTGTTTTTAAAATATTGATGATTTCTTAGTGTTGTTTAGGAATTGATAAATGTACTGTCATATAATTGACTTGCAATGCTGAATGTACAACATCATATTGTTGTTAATATTAATTAATTATTGAAATCTACTGTTCATGGGCAATAAGGAGATCCTGTGAAAAGGACATCTTGTCAAAGATGAAGAAATTAAGGGTAAACTGCTATTGTAATCTGCTAGAAGTGGTTAAGGCGATTAAAATGTACTTGAATGCAGAAGAAATTACTGAGTTTAGGGGAACTGTGTTTGGATGGATACTGGATATGGAGTCTATATCTTGGATAAGTGGCCAATTGTTGTTGGGGCTTATTGGGAATTATGTTGAAGATGTCAATCACATAGTAGAGACTGAGAAGATCACATTTAACATTAGAAATAGTTTGATATCATTTGCGAAAGAAGACTTTGCTCTGGTGACATCTTTTAGGATGGATGGAGTTAGGAAAAACAACATGGAAAAACACTGATGAGGAAGGATTAGCAGACTTCAATGATGCCCGTGACAGCACTGTTAAAGAGACAGTTGTTAATGACACAAATGAGAAGGTGCATGTTGGCAATGGTACTGGAGAACAGAATTGGGAAAAATTGAATGACGATGACAACGATTTTGATGAGGATGAGCTGCTCAAAGTGAATGAGCTGGTTATCAAAACCATTCAAAAGAGCAAAGAAAAGTCAGCAGAAACAACCATTGAGGAATCCACAATGGTATGAAATTCAAAACTTGTTCAATACATATTCATATCATTTTTATTAATATCTGAATATATTGCAGGAAATGGAAGAGGTTGAAAGGAAACTAGAAACAAATTCAAAGAACGAAGAAGTTAGTGCTACCAATCAGGTATCTCTTTTGCATAGATTTTTGACAGTATTGTGATCCGCTTATTTCATATTGCCAAATATCTGATGTACTTTCAAACATGACAGTATAGAAAATGAATATGTATCAAGTTGGCAGTAACACATAGTAGGTGATGACTGTCAAATATTCTAGGTACTGAAATAGAATGGCAATAATATTCTATATGCGTATGCATACTAATATACTATATTGACAATAATAGTGTGTAGTTGATATTTAATGCCAAAACTAAATAACCTGACACAACATGTCAGTAACTAATGAGCATATGTATGATCTTTTGGCAGTCATAGTATATAAAATTCAAAGTGTACTGACACATGATCATGCAGTGTAAAATTATACAGGTTTACAAAGAACCAGAACCTCTAGATGTGATTGTGACAGCTCATGCTACAGCTGTAAAAAGATCTAAAAGGAATTCTAGGTCTCCGGAACGCTACACACCATCAGAGAGAAGAGTGGAGAAGAAAAGAAGGAAACTTGAAAAGGCGAAGAAGAAGATGGAGAACACTTCGTTTCTGGTAACAGAAGACTGCATAGGTCCATTTTCTGAAGATCCAAAGCAAATGCCAAAAAAACATGAGGTTGATAAAATGACAGCTTATTTAAAGGTTGGATTGCTGAAAAACAGAAAGCGCGGTACAGGCTCTATACAATATAAGAAACAAGATGAAAGAATGCATGGAAAGCTATTCCTGTTGGACTATATGACTGTCCAATCAAAGACATGGATGTATGAGCTATTTACCAATCCCAAATGGTTGCGCGACACAGTATGTTTTAATTGAACTATTCAAGGTCATATCGATCAATTAATTACTTGAAATATGTTTGTTTATTAAAATGTACTCGAACAACTATGTAAATATTTTTATGCAACAGCATATAGAAGTGGGAATGTATTATTTAACATACAAAACTGAACAATACAACCTGCCTCAAAAGTTCACCACAACAAGCCCCTTCTTTGTGTGCCGCTTAAGAAAAGAGAATGATCTAATTGCACAAAACAAGATTACTTTGGACAAGGCTTCAGATGATGATGTTATAATGACTGAAATCATATGAACTAGAGGGGATTTGTCTAGTGCATGGTCTGAAGTAGATTTTGTGTACATGTCAGTGAACAATGGAAACCACTGGGTCTTAGTGGTTCTTGATTTACCTGTCAGGATGATGAAAGTGTATAACTCTAAATGCAGAAGAGGTGAGCCACTGCGAGATATTGGTGAATTTCTGCCAAGCTTGAAAAGCCTACTGCCAAAAATCATGGACAAGTATGGTGTGTATGAAGCATTTGACGGTGGAAATATGGGTGAAAAAGAATTTCATATTGAAACTGTAGAAAACTGCCCCCAACAGAATGACTGGTAAGATAAGCAATTGTTATTCGAATTTCACAATTATTTAATGAGAATTTAAAATAAAATAACCATATTTCTTATTCTAATGCACTATTATTTGTAATATAGTGGCAACTGTGGAATGTTCATGCTAAAGTTTGCTGCATTCTTGATGATGGGGAGGGACATCAGTGAAATCAAAGCTGAAGACATGCCAAGCTACAGGAAGAAAATGACAACTGAGTTGATGATGTGCAATGAAAGGAGGATGAAAGATTTAGTGAAATAAGCAAGAAGCTATACTTGCTTATATATAGTACTGAATAATTGACTTTGTAATCACCATTTAAAACAATTTGTTTTTTGTTTAGCAAACAAGACTATATAAACTTATGTGTGTTGCTTAAATTGTATTTGGTTAATATGTTGAAATTGGTACTTCATATTTGTAATGCATTTACATTGTTGATGTACTCTTGTTAACATAGTTAATGCTATTTGTTTAATGCAAATTGCTCTAAATAGGAGTAAAAACTTTGAGAATGCTAAAATGTGACTTCTTACTGTCATTATTTGAAAATACTAACATAAGTGAAAAATACTGTCATTAATTTATTTCTTATTAATAATATAAATATTGACATGTTGAATGGTTAGAACTGTAACTTATTGGAAGTTATGATTAAAAGATGACAGTAAATACTGCTACCGCGAAGACAGTATGCATAAAGTACTATATTGGAAGATAAGCGAAAATTATATATTGACACTGCATCAATGAAGGCAATTCTTATTAATGGAAATATTAAATATTGCCACAACGAATGAATCAATAAATTCCGAAAGGAGTAAATGCTATCTTGATAATAACCACAACATTGTGTAACAAATGTATCTCAATCTTCACATGGAAATGAAAAAGTAACCAAAATTAACATCAAACTCAAAAACAAATATAGTACGAAATAGTTTTCTTAGGAATCAATTGTAAGTGGATTCTTGTAGCTTTTTTTGTTATGACCAGCATAATGGCATCGATGGCATTTTTTCCATTTGGTTGCACAAAATTCACCAACCGATGGTATCCTTTTTTTTGGTCGATCAACTTGTCTCTTAGAACATAAAGGTGGATTGCAACGAATACTTTTAACATCATGTGGAACTATCCAAGAAGATACATCACCAATTGGATGTTGTACGCCACTGTATGTATTCACAAGAGACTGTCGTGTGTAATAATATGATATATAATCATAGCAAAAAACACTAGGATGTGTACCTATGGCAGCTACAACATGTACACAAACAAAGTGCTCTAATCAGAACACACGACAATTACATGTTCGATCAATGAGATTGATAATAAAAGATCTACGAAGTCTGTCAACAACTTCAAACTCGTAACGACGAGATGGTTTGACCTGAAAAACCAAGGTTCATGAAACATGTGAATTACAGATATAAAAGGACATTACCACATCAGAAAGATAAAGCAAAGTTGTCAGTACAATACTTATTTGAGCAAGATACTGACATGTTTATTACATAAACTTGCCAGTATAAACTTGCCAGCAAATAAATAAAGAGTGAAACTATCAGAAAATTAAAGAAATTGGTACCCTCATCTTGGAAGTTTCTCTCTGCAATGAAACTAAATGTTTTTCAAACTTCAGAGTCAAAGGAGAAGTTGATGAAGTTGCTTCTTCCAGCCGCTCAGTAAACCATGTTTGCATTCTTTCACGGAGAAAATTCAAAAGCTTAGCAACAGGATACTCTCTTGCATTGGCATTTCATTGTTCATGGCCTTTGCACAGTTAGAGGTCATAACACTCCATCGACTCATAACTGCCATGCTTCGAGCCCACTTTTCCTTTCCAATATTCTCTAGCCACTGACGAATCCTAACATCTTCCTCATCCAACATGGACAAATATTCATAGCATTCACTCACAGTTGCAGCCTCCCATGCAGCTTTAAATTTCCAGCCATGGTTGGATGATTTACCTCGAAATTTAGATCTCATGTTACGCCGGAGATGTTCACAACAATATCCATGGGCAGCGTGTGGAAAGATGGCCTTTGCAGCTTTGATAATACCTTTATGTCTATCTGACACAATGTACATGTCATCACGATGTTTAAGGCATTCTTTGAGCCTCATAAAGAACCACTTTCAAGAGTCAGTGCTCTCATAATCACATACAGCAAACGCTAAAGGCACAATCTCTTTGTTTGCATCTTGGCTACAGGTTGTAAGCAACATCCCTTTGTAGTAGGATTTCATAAAAGAACCATCGATAATAAGAACATGAATGCAATGTTCTCATGCATTCTTCCATGGTGCAAATGACATGAACAAATAGCAAAACACGTCATTATCTCCTCTAATGAGCAAGACGTCAGATCATGGATTAGCTTGGCCAAGCATATAGATCATCGACGACAAGAATTGGTATTGCTCTGAATGTGAACCAAACTATTTTCTCGTGGTAGACTTCTTTGCAACCCACGACTTCTTGTATGAGATCGGTATTCCATATTGCAACAACAAATCATCCCTGATTTGTTTAGGTGTATAGGTTTTTTTGGAAGCATCCATATACTGATGAGCTATAAGCTCAGCAATCATTGCAGAATTGGTCTGCCTATGACGAACACCTTGCCTAAAGTCTATTGAGCAAGAGTGATCAACATCAAATCTGTATGTAAAGAGCACTGAATACATACAAAGTGGTGAATATATGAAGTACGGGACAAGGTACATGCGTGGCAGCAATTGTTGATTGTACACATACAGTATGAAAGTAATACAAAAATAGTTGGAAGTACGAAGTAGAGGACAATATACATGCTTGGAAATACAATGTGTTAACTGGCAATACACTCAAGCAATGCAGCTTTGAACTAGGAAACATACAATGCAAGATTATTAAAATACATCAGAAACAACTAAAAAATGAATGAAATAAGAAATATATACCTTCTAATCAGAAAAAGTTGAACACATTTGAGTCTAACAACACGAACAGCCCATTTACAATTCTTTTTGTCCAAACATATTACATGTAATGTATGCTTCTTTGAAGTCTTTGTCCAATATTGGAAGTTTTTATTGATCGCGTACAGTCTAAGATGATATAGTAGATCTTGCTTGTTCGTGTATATACCATGGAGCGTAATAGGTGAATAATGTGTAATGACATCACAATTCTGGTTTAACACAAAAGCATCTGAGGACTGATTTTCTAAATTTTCAGAACTAGAAGAAAGGGAGTCCTCATCAAAACATTCGGCACATACACCATTGCATGAATTGTGCTCTTCAAAGTTATGTTCACGGAACACTAGAATGATCGGCATAAAAAGAAGGTGTGGGTGAAAGAAGATTATCAAAACTATTTTCAGGAGCACGAGAATGGATTTCAGGATGCAAGATTTGATCTAGAGAATGGACAACAGTGAAACTGGTATTTGCATTGAACGGATCAACATTAGAACAAGCTGCAGGTGTGACCAAATTATTTGGAGTACAAATGGGCAAAACAGGAGCATAAGTAAGTGGTTTCTCTTTGTCAAATTGTATACACAAAGGATAATTTGCAAAATCTGATTGAAGGGTCTTAAGATCAATAAGTTTAATGCACCAAACCCCCCTGTGATATGGAAACTCGGCGCATTAGCCCTCCGTGATTTGAAAAATGCGTCAAACCCCCTCGTGTTTTAATTAATTATGCGCAAAATCCCTTCTATGAACAAATTCAATTGTCAAATAAAAGAAAAATGATTTTTTATATGATTTAAAGATTTTGACAAATTTACTTGCATATTCAATCAGAATATTAGAAAAAGTGATTTCTAAATCGTTAAATTTATTCATAAAAGGGGTTATGTGCATGATTAATTAAAACACAAGGGAGTTTAGCGCATTTTTCAAATCATAGGGGGCTAATGCGCTTAATTTCTATATCACGAGGGAGTTTGGTGCATTAAACCCTAAGATCAACATAAAAGCGTAAACTAGCATTGTCATTGAGTAGAACAGGTGGGGGCAGGATTCAACAAGGTATGATATGGTAAAACGTGGATTAGATTGGATTTGATCAATACTGCCGTTAAGGATGTCTAAGAATGATGCGTATGTGCAACAATATGGGACATGGATACCTAATGTCGACTTGTTCATCAAGACAAAGTCAGCCCCCCATACACCATCCAACTTGACCATTATGAGCAAAACACGATCCATTACAACAGTTACCATGAAAAATCACTATGCGAAAACTGTAAAAGGAAGTGATGAATCTTAGAACATTGATCCAACTAAGAACACTTCGAAATTATAAAAACAAACTGTTATTCATGGAAGTTGAATATGCAAACATAGGCGAAAGCAAAACAATTCAAATATCGAAGAGAATACTTGCTAAAAATCTAAATCCGAACAGATAATTGAGAACAAGTGCAATTCAAACGATTTTCAAGCTAACGATGCGCAAAAATTAAAACTCTGAGGTTCGAAATCATTGTCTGCAGCGATTTGGAATCCTCGCGGAGCTCCGTCTAAGCGTTTAGGCCAGGCCATCATCTTCAAAGATTCATCAATTAGATAAGAGTGGAAGACAACGACTATGGTTAGGATACGTTAAGTTCGGTAAACTAAGAATAGATACGGGAGGTTCCAGTAGAGAAGAACAAGGTTATTTTAGGAATGAAAAGTTGTAATGTTTGTAATTAGGACCACGGAAGTCCCATTTTGAGAAATAAAGTCAAAGACTCCTGTTTTGGAATTAGGAAAGCCAATTAGTCCCATTTAGGGTAAATTCTCTATAATAATTCATGTGTACTTCAGTACTTGTATACTCGATCGGTCCACTTTTATAAGCCCTAATAAATAAATTAAAATTGTTTCAAATAGATCAAATAATACTCCGAAAAATACTTCTTACCGAAAAATATATCGAAATTAAAATTGTTGCACAATCCTTATAGTTGGCAGTAGGCACTACCAAGGAATCATTGACACTTTGAGGTTATTAAAAAGATATCAATAGTTGGGATTATTAGGAGGTTTTTACTAGAACTGAAATTTATTTGCTGGTCTGATCTGGTAAATGTTTGGTCTCTTTGTATTTTATAACAATGAAAATATGGTCTTGTTTGATCCCTTTAAGTCTGGTCTAGTCTGATTTGATATGTTTAAGTCTGGTTTGCTCTGGTCAGGGAATGAAAACTGTCCAAGTAAAAACATCCTTATTTTTAATTTTTCCAAATAATAATGATAAAGTACTTCTTAAAGTATGAAATTTAACAAAAGTTACTGCATCTGTCCCCTCTTAAACTTATCACTTGTCTCTTTTGGAAGTCATATTTAAAGATTATCATTTCTATTTTAGAAAATAAATAGCACTTTTATTGACAACTTAATCATCAAATATTATCATCAATAAGCTCGTTATACTACATAACCATTAAAATCACTTCTCAAAATATACTCGAATAACTTTATTTAATCATTTTCTAAATAATCATGTACATCATTGTTAATGAAAAGTTTAAGTTGGGACAGGTGTAGTACTTTATAATGGGATGAGTATGCTATTTAAATAAGAGAAACTTTCCCAAGTTTAAGTACTCTCTCCGTCCAAGGTAAAGATTCTCACTCAGTCCAACATTTCATTTAAAAGTTCTCATTTCTATTTTAGAAAATAATTAACGAAAGATTCTGAGTTCAAGGAATTCAAGAATTATTACAAAAAATTACGAAAATAGGTTGGGGCTGGGTATCAAAATCCTGCTAGAAAGTAAAACTGTTTGGCTCCCCCCAAATATGGGGAGACCTTAGCTTGGAGGTGCCTCTGTCTCTAGGCTCCTAGCGATGCCCATATTACATTATTACTCCATGGGTGGAAGAAATACAATTTTGGAATAGAAGATGTTATCTCATGCCTCCTAATACATAAACTTCGAATTTAAACATGAACGTGTCATTAGTATCAATCAAACATAAAGACCAACAAAATTGTGCATCGTGATTACAATTAGTAGTTCGAATCACATAGGTCATATCAATTTCATACGTTGTAATTTATACTAATAAGTTCATTTCTCACATGCAAAATGAGTGTAAAGTCACTTAATTTAAAATCCTGAAGTCATTAAGTTAGTAAGTACGACTTACACTCTTCTCATTAAAGTAAATATTTAATGAGCATATGAATTAGCTAGAGAAACATTAAATACTACCACAGATAAATATTATTTGCACACAACTTGCACAATATTTGCACACAACTTGTGTAGATATATCACGAAGACGGATCGGCCCTTAATGCCATGATTGACGGGAAACAAGGAATTTGACGGGAAGAGTATTTATTTAATACATGTTTTTCAAATAAAACATTTCATAAAAACTAAAAACATGTACAGCTTAAATTAAAAGAATGTAATCACACCTATTTATTTATCTGTCTCCTCCTTGGGCCGAATCTCGATCCCTTCAATAATCAAACCCCTCTTCCAGTGGCCTCTTACCTCCCTCAGGCTCACACAAATATCACCTCTGTCCTCTCCATCTGTGACAAAAAACTCTCCCAGCTCAACTTCCATCCATTCATCACTTCTCTTCTTTGGCAATCTAGCAGCCTTCTCTTCCCCAGCAACAGCATTCATATTTTCCTGTCTCACTCTCTGAGTGGGCACGCGGATAAACTCCCTAGGTGCTACCAGTGGATGAGCTTCCCTCTCTACTTGGGTGCTCAAATAAACAGTCTGCTTTTCGACTTGTCCATAATATCCACCAATAATGTCAATGGAAGCATCAACTAGCTTGTGATGAAAGCCGTAGCTTCTTGGTTGCAATACAAAGACAAGGTATGCTGCATAGTTCGTGTTTGGAGACAGAAGGGTGATGTTTATCTTGCCACATATTTCAAGCCAGCATACGTCCAGAAGCTCGGCTACTTCAGGAAACCTGTTAATTCATTCATAGAAAAATCAGAAATATAATTCACATTTAGAACGCGTTTGGTAACCCTATATTCACTTTATTAACTCCTGCCAATTCTTTTTACAAAAAACTGACAAACTTTTTAAAGCGAAAAGCACACAAAAGCAATGAGATGAGGCTTTGCTTAAAAGCAAAAGCGCCAAGCGAATCGCAGCTTTCTCACAAAAAGCAATGCTTATAAAAATTTACGAAGTATAAATGAACAACCATATTGCTTGCAAATATCCTCATATGGTTTAAAAAGACCCTTCACATGTTCTTTTTTTCAGATGCAGGAAGTTCCTGATAAGCAGGAGCCTTCATGCCTGGTCCATGTTGTTTCACAAATTTTTAATCAGGCAAGTGTACAGATATAATAATGCATACACAACATTCTCCAGTAAGTTTGATATTATTGATTCTACCCACGAGAAAAGAAAATCAGATCCAGCCATCACAATATCTGAGCAGATTATACAGTGAATCAAAAGAAAGTAAAATAAACTATGATTTATTCTTCATTGAACATACATGTAATCTCAGACTAAAATTTGCATCTATATTATGCGGTTCCAGAAGCAACACATACTAAACATATACTACAATAATTACCTTTGTCACAAAAGAGTCATAACTTTTTATTTCTTGCAAGGTTATCAACTCTGGCTATAATTTAACGAAATCCAACCTACTTGATAAGAAGTTGGCTTCTTTTTTCAATTTGGACTATATAGTTTGGGGGCAATCTCTAGTGCTTTCATTTTTCACACAGAAATGGTGGAAAGTGTAAACCTAACATCAAACAGTATTTCTAGTCCAGCCCTTTACACCATTTATATCACCAAGAGGGAATACTCTTTATATTCTATTTTTACCAACTATTATCAAAGGTACAATGACAGAATGTACTTTTTGTGCAAGGACTGACACACTGTGCGAGTCAAATATTGGCCCATGAGTGTTGACTTTCAACCAAATTGGCAGATTAGTTTCTTTTGCACCAAGGATGTTTTTACTTGGACTGTTTTCAGTCTGATATCAGACCAGACTTAAACAGAATACACCAGACTAGATCAGACTTAAACAGACTTCCATTGTTATAAAATACACAAAGATCAGACATTTATCAGACCAAACCAGATCAGCGAATTTCAGTCCAAGTAAAAACATCCCAAGTCACCAATTGTTGCTTCATTTGTAGCTGGCTGGACAAGCTGAAGAGGGACCAGATGTGGAACTAAATTGGGACCCACATAGACGTCATGAGCTTAATTCCACTTCTGGTAATGTGGGCACATTACAGTCGACCTTCATGGACACCTTTGAACTTTTGCTGGTTGGAGAGGCTTTAAACATATAGTACACCCCTCATTAAAAATGATAGACTGTCAAATTCTTATTGGTAATGCCGGTTTCAAAAAAACTATAAAAAAATCTGAAAGTTGAAAATTTGGAAGGTTGGACAGACTTCGCCAAATGATTGTTATTTGATAGTTTCGCCTACAAAAGTGTTCGAAGTATGAATGTGAAGAAAGTTTTGTATTGCGCGTGCAATTTTAATTTTTGATGTTTTAGTGATAGACCACACACAAAACTGTAAAAAAAAACTGAGGAGTGTTGTATGATTAGAGATGCTTTAAAGAGTACATACAGACTACATACTTCCATTTTTGGACACACACACACACACACATATATATATATATATAGTGTTAAATGCTTGAATATGTTTATATGCTTCATTTCTGCGTACCATTAATAAATTAACAAAATCTAGAAATCACTAAAATTATTTAGTTCACTAATTTGAAAGCTATAAATGTCATAATCCATTGAGCAATATATATGTTAGTTATTTCTTTAATTTAAAAATAAACTATAAATGTTATAATCCAAAAAGCGATAACATAAATGGCCTATCAAGTGTAAATGCAGTAGTAGTGTATACCTGGACTGTGGGAGAGAGATCCATTGCCAGTATCCAGGTGTGTCCATCCACACAATATTAAGGGCCCTGGCAGCTATCATATAGCATTTCTTCCCGCTTTTTTTCTCCAGTGAAAAACTCTGCTTGCAAGCAACAATGGTGTTTGATGACCATCAACTCATCAAATTGCCAAAAGCTTTAAAAAATGTACAGGAAAAAACATCTTCCACAAGTGTAAAGCAATCAAGTCAAAATCTATGAAACAGGAAGACTTTTGCGACAATACATAGCACATACTTCTACACACATGTTTTATGTTCATTGATGAAAGTAGTTTTACAAATAAACACATTTGGTTAAAACAATTGTCACTTGTGGTCCTCGGATGTGGGTTAGAGGAGTCATGAGTGATATATTTTTTCTTGGGTTTGATGAAAGTATGACTTTGGAAAGATCAAAATAGAGATAGAATATAATTATTTCTATGTTTATCTTATATTGTCTTTTTATCTTTCTTTTGAGACTAAGGGTTAGATGTTATTGTTAATGTGGTCCTCCAATTATTATTGTACACACCGGTATTTGACTTTGATTTTTTCCTTCAAAAATTTAGAGAGAGACACTTTTAGTCATCGACTTTGAAATTCCCCATATTTAGTTCTATGGGAATTGTCAAAGCACACTATGAAAAAATGGCCCAAACATCATATCTAAACTTAGAGCCTGAATTAGTTGAATCTGATGAAATTATGGAAAAAAGTAAAACATATCTAATAAAATAAAGAAAAATTATACACCCTCCATCCCGTTGGAAGGTTCACCGGGTAAAAGACATGATTTTTTAGGCAAGTGGCTAAACGTATAAGTGAAAATAATTAAAGTGAGATAAGTTGGGGAGGGTAGATTGTGAGACTTGAGTACTTGACATATAATGAGTAGGAAAAAGAAATTTGAGTAAAGGTGTAACTAAAGAGGGTAGATTATTTTCTAAAATGAATGTTATTTCCTAAAATGGGACACCTTCTATTGGAAGGAGGGAGTACGTAGTATCAAAATAGTTAAAATAGTCCTCCCCGCTCCATCACCCAATTTAGTCACAAAGTAACCAACTTTACTTACATTTATGATTAATTAATACACTGTTCGGCGTCCCATATCAAGAGTTACTGATTTAGTAAAAAGTAGTCGGATTGATAAGGCAAATATAGGTTTACAAGTAGGAAAAGTTTTCAGTTGTAGACAAAATCACAAAAGCATATCCAAACAAGTTCATAGTATACGGGGATTAATTGCCACTGAAAAAATATGCTTTGCTACTTCCTAAATTAGGGTTACTCCTATGGGAGCTATGGCAGAACTGTAAAATTACTCATCTGTGACCAAACATGCTTCATGTCTAATCTGAAAATTTCCAACAATAAATCGTCGAATTTAAAATGTTGGAATCCTTTAAATATATCTACGGTAATTAACCAAGAATCAAACGGTTACCTTGGTATCACCGTCGACAAGGACAGGGAAGTCACAGAGACGGAAGTAGAGATCCCTCTTAGACAAAGATGTGAGAAAACCGGCGGTGTTAGGAGACTGGGAAATGATTTCAAGGTGATCGGGTGGCAGGAAGCGCTCCCAGACGGCGCCGGAAGTTGCGGCAGAGCGGAAGAAGGACGCTACCAGGGAAAGGCTGCAAGCTTGTTTGGGGGTAGTCAAGGACAGGATGTTAGAAAGACAATCTACCGGTAGGGCGGCCAAACTAGTTTCCGTCTCCATTGCAATCACAGAGGGAGTCTCTTATTGATGGAAAATTGGAGATAGACGATGATATCTAGGCAGCAGCTGCGTCGCCAAACATGTAGGATGCAAAATTGCTAATTTCCTGATGTCAAAGCTAACTTTTACGGAATATTTTCCTACTACTCCGTATAAAACACTACTCTAGGATCATCTAGGCGTGTCGATGGATCGGGTTCAGACCCATACCCGGTCCAGATCTATCTTTTTGTAATGAATATGCCGTATGAGGCTACATTTAATTCGTTACCCGGACCTGGATCCGGATCTGTTATTTAATGGGTCGGGTATGGTATATGTAGTTCCGACCCGTTTAGAACCCGATCCGTTAATATTAATTTATTTATATACATTAGTCTAATATACATATTACATTAACTGCCGCCCACATTACAATTTAGTTTAATACTCCGTAAATCCGAAGAAGGATCCCTATAGACCCTAGAGTCCGCAGACCGCGAAGGATTCGAGGGAAAGCCTATTTAGTTTCCAAAACTATTAATTTTACTCTTTATTCTAACACTACATATCTTACAAATTATTAACCAACTCACAATTCACAAAGAGGGCAAAGAGGCTCATAGACAGTCACACAGATACACCCATACGGTCATACCCAGCAAGAGCTCAACATCTAATTTATTTAAGACAATAGAATTGAATTTTCGTGAGACAGGTCGAGTCTACCCGACCCGGTTTCGAGACCCAATGGGTATGGGTCTGGAACATTAGTTGTAGACCCGCCGAGTATATGGGTCGGGTCTGGAACCCTATAGAGACTAACAGGTCCGGGTCTGGGATACTACGTTCCGGCCCGTACCCGGCCCGCTGACAGGTCTAGGATCATCAATAAATCAATTCCCAGACGGTTTTATGAAAAGTACAGAGTATGTAATAGACACGCAGACCAATAAAAAGTGATTTGTGTGGTTGATATCGGATTGATACAGTAAGAATAAAGTAATAATGATTTAGAGTCACACAAGTTCTATCAAGTTTGGTATGAGACAATCTTAATGAGACAGAACGAAAGGGTAAAATGAGGCAATCTTAACGGGGCGGAGGAAGTACTAGTTTTTTACTTTTTTCAAGCAGCTGCACAATTTCTTTTAAATAAAATACTTTCTTCTAAATAACACTTTCGACTACACCGTAGATTATAAACCAATCTAGGGCTACAACCGATCTAAGACTGGGTCAGAAAAACCGAAATAAAAAAGTGGATCAAAATAAACCAAATGGCAACCAAAGAAAATTGATCCGTTAAAAACTCGAAACCAAATGTAAAAATCACAACCGAACCGTAGTTGTTTGGTTTGGTTTTGATTTTTACCCTTCAAAAACGAAATGAATAACCCGGACTAATTAAAATATGAATTTTATTTGTTGGTTTTGAAGCATTAATCCTAACTAATCATAATGTCATTGCTAGTCTTTGGTTTTGTTGATCTAGAAAATCATTTTTTGTGTTATTTTGAGTTTAGTTTATAAATACATTTACACATTCATTACCTGTAATAATGTAGCTATATTAATTTATTATATCTTTTATGTGTGTGTATGTATATTGCAATTGATTGCATGACAATGACATGTCGTACTGGTTACTACTAGTAATTAATTTTTATTATTATATAACTTGAATTTTTATATCGATAGAGTAAATAAATATTCATCTCAATTATATCTCATAGAACAAATATATTCATGAATTTTTTCAATCTAGTCATAAACAATGTAAATTAAAAATATACAGCTTTATCTCTCTACATATACTCGATCATATAATTCAAGACATATTTATTGTCTTCTTTTTATTTTATTTTATTTTATTTGTTCTGGTATGCTTGCATTTTTTATGTAATACTACGTATGTTTGATCCCTCCAATTATAGTATCATTTTAAATCAAATGACAATTTTTGGTGAAAAAATCAAAAAAATGAACCGAAACAAACCGAATCAATCAAATTGTGGTTTCAAATTTTGAAATGTAAAATCGAACCGAAACCGAATCGAACTCTCTACTTTGATTATGTATTTGATTTTTTGTCAAAACGAACTCACCCTTAGTACATATATAGTACTTGTATATTTTTTTGTGAATAATTTTAACTTAAAAAGTCAATATATGCTTATGTATATGTATTAAAGTTTTTTTTTTGAAATTAAGTACCGAGTAGAAGTGTAAAATCGTCCGTGTAGTGTGTAAGGACATGATGTTTTTACTTGGACTATTTTCAATCCCAGACCATACCAAACAAGACTTGAATAGATCAGATTAGACCGTATTTAAACATATCAGATCAGACCTGAATTTCTTAGTTATAAAATACACATAGACTGGACATTTATCAGACCAGACCAGATCAGACCTGACCAGGCTTAAACAGACCAGACCAGACTAGACCAACAAAATTAAGTCCAAGTAAAAACATCCAAAGTGTCTATTTCGCACTAAGGAGATGAGCATAAATGAAAGAAAAATGAGTCAAAACAGATGATAGAAATTAACTCATACTAACCATGTTTCATTTGGAATCAAATTTTCTGATTTAGTTTGGTCTGATCTAATCTGATCTGTTTGAATCTAATCTAATTTGGTATCATCCGAATTGATCCGGTATGGTAGATGTCTGATCTGGTCTATGTGTATTTTTCAACTATCAAATGTGATATGGTTTGGTCTGATTTGTTTAAGTATGGTCTCATGTGGTCTAGAACATATATCAATTCAAGTAAAAACATCTTAAGAGTCCGCTTGATAACACTATAGTTAATTGAATCTAATGAAATTAATTAAATTTGAACTAGAGCTGCTTATTTTGTTGAGTGATGAACAAATTATGCTCAAAAGATGTTTTATTAATAAAATAAAAAATTAGATAAAAAATATTTAAAATAGCTTTGTACAACAAATTTAGCTATAAAAGTGACTTCAGACATACTTATTTTGATTATTACACGATTTAGTACACTAAATCAAAAGTTGCCCGTGTTGGTAAAAAGTTTACTTATAAGGCGAAACAGTTCATCTAAGTAATTAAGCCTAAATTACCAAATGATAAAATGTTCCGGAAGGTAAACATGGTATTCTCAAATTATTAAAACAAAACTCAAAAAGAGTATTAGATGCACTTTATCACATCCACCCCTATTTACAATGACCCGGTTGGCTGGTTTGTCCTCACTTAATAATTGCATTATAAGAGTTAATAATCAACATATGACATAAATAATGGAGTAACTACTAATCCTATTCCTTTGGCCTAATTTCTACTCCTTCAACAACCAAACCACATTTCCACTGACTGTTTATCTCGATCAAGCTCATAACAATCTCTGCATTTTGTCCATTTTTGACAAAAAACTCCCCCAACTCCACTTCCATCCATCCATCCCTTCTCCTCTTTGGTAACTTTGCAGGGTCATTTTGAAAGGCCACATTCATCTCTTCCCGTCTGACTCTATAACTAGACCCGCGACTCAATGTCCTCATCCGAGGTACTATTGGCGGGTAAGTTGCAACACTCTCATCTCCACGTGCATCCAAATAAATAGTCATCTTTTTAGTTTCTCCATCTCCATTACTAATAATCTCAGTTGAAGCAACAACTGATTGGTATTCTAAGCCATAAGTCCTCACTTGCAATGTGTACACAAGGTAAGCTGTGTAGTTTGTGCCGGGAGACAACGATTTACTATTTATGCTGCCACGTATTTCAAGCCAGCATACACTTAAAAGCTCCGCAACTTCGGGGAACCTGTTCGTTCATAGAAATTAAACAAATATTACAAACATGTACATATTAGTCGTATAATTTTACTCACTTGCAGATTACTGTCATGTAACTAGTAACTACTAAGTTTGTCAATGTGACCTTTTTGTTGGAATGTGCAAATTCCACCTGAATATTTCATGTCGATTCTCGTAGAATTTCTCGTGGAATTTTCACTTTACGGTAACTAAGTCTTAATACGAATGAATTTATTAGTTACACGATGAGACATGCAAGTCAGTGAAGCTACATAATTACTAATGGTCACCAACATCAGTGGCAGAGCCAGAATTCTATGGTTAGGGGACTGAGCTTTGAAAGTGTTACATTGCAGGGGCCAAAATTTAAAATATCAACATATTTTATGTAGTTTAAAGTATTTATACATAATATATACGGAGTACTTAACAATTTTTTTTTGAAGGGGCCGAGGCCTCCTCCAATACCTCCCTGTCTCCACCCCTGACCAACATTGCTAAGTATCTTCTACTTCATAAAGAGAAAACAACTAGATCCATTTTATTTTTGCGTGCCTTCTAAAGAATCCACGATTACATGCTATATTATGTTTTCAAGAGCAACATATGCACCCTTTGTTCCATTATCATGATGACACTCTTATTATGGCACAATTTGAGTAGCTTCATTAAGTTAATGCCATACTTATCTTTACCAAATGAGCTCAAAAGTCACTTTCATTTAAGATATTCCAATAATGAGCACTAAATCTTCTCCTTAAACACTCATTAAAATGTTCTTTAATTGTTAAAAGTATATATTCCCATAGATGTATATAAAGTATACTACACAATATTAGTAAAATGTGCTTCTTGAACACAGTGGTCAAAATATAGATCTATAACAAAAAAAGTGCCAAATTTGGGAACCTTATGGGAGAGAAGGCACTATATAATTGCAATTAAATTTTGTAGCACAATCCCAATTTTGGTAAAGTGAGAATTCAAGAAAAGTTAAAAGGTTGACAACCGTAAGTGCAACTCCTCTCCATTTTTTCCTCTCCATTTTCAATTCATTTCTTTTTTTTCTTCTTATCTATCTCTACATTTGTCTCTATCTTACTCACCATCATACCCCACCATAATTTCTCTCCTCTCTATCTCTCTCCAACGGGAAAAAATGGAGAGGAATTGCACTCACCGTTGTCAACCTTTTAACTTTTCTTGAATTCTCTACATTTGACTCTATCTTACTCACCATCAGCTATTCTGCAATTAAGTTTGTAGTTTGAATTCCTGAGATTTTAGACAAAAATAACTTTCTATTTTTTTTTTGCAAAAAAAAAAATTACTTTCTATTGAATTTCCAACTTCCAAGTATATCATTCCTCCTCAAAAGTATGATACAAAAAATTAATAATTAACCACGGGGTATATTTCTTCATAGGAATGGAAAACTATTCTACCACACAAATATTACTAAAAAGATACGTAGTACGATAGTATATAGGAACTCAGATCAATTTTAGAGCATTTCAAGAATGAAAATGAAAAATTAATTGCGGGGTGAGAGAAGTATATATTTCCGCTATAAGTAAATGTCACATCATTTGTACTATCTCCGTCTCATTGGACTTTGTCAACTTTCATTTTTTGGTTGTTCCAAAAAACTTTGTCACTTTCCTATTAAATCAACTCATTTGTGTTTCTGCACATTTCTCTCTCCTCTGCACAAATCTCAATCATACAGTTTTTACTATTCTTATTTCTCAACTACTTTGCATTTGGCAAAGTCTAACGAGACGGAGGTAATAGTAGTTTGTACCTGGAGTGCGGGAGAGAGATCCATTGCCAATATTTAGGTGTGTCACTCCACACAATGTCAAGGGACCTTGCCCCTATCATGTAACATATCTTCCCACTCTTCTTCTCTAGTGAAAAACTCTACTCCAACCCATAGCATAGAGTTGAAATATGAAAAGTATGTAAGCAATGTTTTCCATATTATAAAAAAATGAAATGTCAAAGTAAAAGCTTCACAAAACTCTTGATTATATGTTTTCATTTCGTCTGTCCCAAAAAACTTTATCATTTCTATTGAAAATATATGTGGCTAAAATTGTTTCCATTTCTTCTACACAAATCTAAATCACACAATTTTTACTTTAATTTATTGTTTTACATGCAAATCAATTTTGATTATGTTTATATATATATATATATATATATATATATATAGGGAGCGGTTGCGGTAAGAACGGACTCCTCGGAGAGAAATGAGAACGAATCTGGAGTGTTGGATTGTATTATGTGGATCTGGATTGTGCATTTAGTGAAACTGAAATGTACATCAGATGATATTGAAATGTGCAGAATAAAAATTTAAACTCAAGTGTGCATTAGGTGAAACTGAAATGTGCGAAATAAAAGTTACAAAAACAACATCACATCGTACCTTTTATTTTAGCACATTTAAGTTTCACCTAGTGCACAATTCAACTTCACATAATGCACGATTCAACTTCACATAATGTCACTGTATCGTATCATTTGTGCTGCACAATTCAATTTCACCTAATGCACATTACAGTTTCATCTAGTGCACATTGAATTTCACTTAAATCAAATCTAACGGTCCAGATTCATTCTCGTTTCTCTCCTAAGATCATGTTCTTATTTGAACCAAAACATATATATATATATATAAAGGGAGAGTATCGAGTAATTAATGTTTAGAATTTGCATGAGGGCTAAAATCTAAAAAGTTGCCAAATCTAGGCTACTACGCGACATTGCGGCAAGCCAACAACACGGGAAAAGCGATTTCACCGATTCAAAAAGAAAACATAAAAGGAAATTTAGCAATTTACTAATTGAGTTTTTTTGATAAATATTACTCCCTCCGTCCCATATTTAACTCCGGTTTTGACCGGACACGAGTTTTAAGATAGTGTGATTTGTGTGGTGGAGAGTTATGCAGAGGAGAGAGAAATGTGTAAGAATGGTTGTGAACCACATATTCTTAACCAAAAAAGAAAAAGGAGATAAATTTGGGACGGACCGAAAAGGAAAGAATGAAGATAATTCCGGGACGGAGGGAGTATCAAAATAAAATTCATTTTTACAAATATGAATATTAATTACTAAAATGTAGTGTCATGATCATTTATGTTTAAAAATTGGACATAAGTGATTGTGATTTTATTACTATTCTATTCACTGACCTCGTTTTTGTAAAAAATGATTATTTTAGTACTCCCTCCGTTTCAGTTTCTTTGACACACTTTCCTTTTTTGGTTATTTCAAAAAGATTGACACACTTCCTTATTTCTTTATTTGGTAAACAAATTTTTACCAAACCAGTGTCAAACAGTGTTCAAACAGTGCTAAACATTGTACTCTACAATAAAATTTACCCTTCAGTAACATTTTTTCCTTAATTCTGTCAAACTGTGTCAAAGAAACTGAAACGGGAAAACTGTGTCAAAGAAACTGAAACGGGGGAGTATATGTATATAAGTATTTCTTTAATTGAAGGCTCATTGAACGGGAATTTATGGGAAGAAATATGCAACGCACTTCGTACTACAGTAACCAAGAATGTCATACGTAGCTAATTAATTACCTTTGTGTCATTGTCGATAAGGACGGGGTTATCGCAGAGGCGGATAAAGAGATCCTTCATGGAGCCGGAAGAGAGCAAACCGGCGGCGTTATTGGACCGAGAAATGATGTCACGGTAATCCGGCGGGAGGAAACGCTCCCAGACGGCGTCGGAAATGGCGGCGGAGTGGAAGGTGGGCGCAGTCAGCGAGAGGCGGCAAGCGTCTTCGGGGGTAGTGAGGGACAGAGCGTTAGAGATGCAGTCTTCGGGAAGAGCGTCAAAGCCGGTCTCCCACTCCATTGCAATCACGCTGGTATAGGCCGGAGCTCTACCTGTGAGTTTCCCACGTAGGGGCTGGGCTGGGCTGGGTACGAATATCTTGACGTTCCATGCACTTATTTATAGTAACATTAGTAAAAATAACTGGGGGACAGCTCATCTGATATACAGAGTGTTAAAATGGGTAAGTCTCGTTACAAATCGTGATAACTATAATTTATTATACTAAAATGCATAGGGTTTCTGCAAGTATCTCGGACAGAGTCTCACTTTCAGTTCCAATTTGCATCTTCCTATCTAACTTTCTAATCAATGTTGGAATCTCTCATGAGGTGTTATCCTTTTTTTAATTTATAGTAAAAATAGAGTAGGCCAAATTCGTTAATCCCAATCCCAATGATGGGAACCACTTCATCTCTATACTCCAAAACCTTCCAATTTAATTGGTAATGGTGTAGCTCATTTGGTATATAGGTACCGGAAGTGCGGTAATTTTGAGTTTGAATATTCATGGTCCAAAAGAGGTGGAATCTCCCACCCTAGGAGCCTCCATACTCCGACCCGACGGGATTTTTGGGAGGATGTTAATCACGGTGACTCAGTCGACCCAATGATGGTAGGCCTTTTTCCCGTGCGCACCAGATGCCCAGACTTATTTCAGGTTCTGTGACCTCCACACGGCCGCTGCGGGTTTCGAACTTTGGTCACTTGGTCCAAATTTCCCACCACTGAACCAACTGAGCTACCCGTGCAGGTGAGTTTGAATATTCATAGTAACATTAATGATACTTCGTAGTAACATTAAAAGATGTACAGGGTCAATGCAACTACTTTGGTCATAGACTCAGTCGCAATGTGAGATTTGGGAGATTATTTATTGGTGATATCTCCGGTATCCATTTAAAAATGGGGTACCGTACATGTCACTCACTTGATTGGTTCAAATCATTACATACATCATTTTTAATTTAGATTTAAATAATCCAATTACGTCATTTTGATTGTCCATGTGAACAAATGTACTGTACCATAGAATCTACCTTATTTAATTCCAATATTAATTGAGGAGTCTGTTGATGTGTCAAACAATGAACAAATGCTCTTGTTTTTGCACTGCACGAACAAAGAAGGCTGTTTTATAGATAGATAGATTAAGAGGCTGTTTGGCAACCCTCATTTTCGGCTTATCAGGCTTATCAGCCAACTTTTTTACCAAACACGTAAATTTTGCTTTCGCGCACTGAATTGTGTAATAAGCCGAAAAAGTAAGGTTGAAGTTACTTTTCTGGCTGTATTGGCTGAAGTTACTGTAGATGACCATTTTAGCTATTTTTACATATATTTTTTTCTTTATTTTATTAATAAAATATATTTTAAAAATATTTTTTTCTTGTATCAGCAGAATCAGCCAATGCAGCCACTTCAGCCAGAACTTTATAAATTTCAGCAGAATCAGCCAGAACAGCCGATTTTCGTGCTGCCAAACGGGCTCTAATTGTCCAAAACGTATTTTGTTTTTGAAAAGATCGATTGAATCTGAATTTTACGTGGATTGCTTTTCTAGATTAAGGGACAGGGTTATATACGATCGGGCTTGCAACATGACCGGTGAAATCAATGGATTGCAAAGCTCAAATTAAGATTTATTTTGAAAAATACACAGAAACAAATGAATAAATGGATTGAAAAGCTATCACTGCTGATAAGGACGGGGCTAACACACGAGTGTTTTTGGACCTTGCCAATCAAATGAATCATAATATGAAACATATGTTGCACGGATATATATATAAATATGGATTTTTTTTTTGAAGTAGGAATAAAAATATTTTCGAATCCACAATTAGTTTATCGTGTTTTATTCTCTAAGTATGATTAATTAGTGTCAACCTTTTTTGATCGTTAATTAGTGTCAAGCTTGAAAAATAATGTCATATTTTAAATTTTGTTATTGTCAAAATATGATAATGATTATTCACTTAGAAAATAAATACTTCCTCTCTCCCAGAAAATTCTTCCCAGTTTGACTTGGCACGCATATTAAGAAAGAAGAATAAAGTGGAAATGTATGGTTGTAGTTGTGTAAGAAAAAGGTGAAATGAATGTGAAACACACAAATTGTACAAAAATGGTAAGTGAGCAGAATTTTTTGAGACGATCGAAAAAGGAAAATAAGAATTTTATGTGTCGGAGGGAGTACGTAATAGTCATATTTTGAAAAGAGTATGGGAAAGAGATAAGTGTAACCAGAACTGTGAGTCTAGTTGGTTGTGAGGTTATCCCTGCATAGGAGAAGTCTCGTGTTCGAGTCTCACTAGCACCGGTGTTACTATGCTCCCCCAAAAAACCCTTCAAGTGGTAGGGCCAAGCGGTGTATACTAACCCGTATGGCCAAATCAAAGTTGGGTTTCTGGGGTAAGGGGCCGTGAAAGCTGTGGAGCTAGTCGCTATAAAAAGTTTACTCATACCTTAGTTTACCCGCACGGGTAGCTCAGTTGATCGAGTGGTGAGAAAATTGGACCAAGTGACCAAGGTTCGAAACTCGCAGCGACCGTGTGGAGGTTACAAAATCTGAAATAAGGCTGGACCTCTGGTGCACACGTGTATAAGGCCTACCGCCGCTTTGCTGACTGAGTCACCGTGATTAATTCACCCACCATCGTGTCAGGTCAGGGTGGGGGGCTTCTGGGGTGGGAGATTCCACCTTTTGGACCAAGGGAATGAGATACGTGTATAAATGTTAGTCGATTGTACACGAGTGTTGAATTTTTGACGTATTAATCCGTGTAATAAAACATACTCCATATATAATACTCCATCCGCCCCCCAATTAAGTTATCACTTTCCTTTTTGGGCAGTCCCTAAATTAAGTTCACACTTCCTTACTTTCCTTGTTTGGAAAATTGTCTACATTAAAACAGTGCAAAACAATGTTCAAACAATGCAAAACAGTGTCAAAACAGTAAAATTTACCCCGCAGAAAATTTATTTCCTTAATATGTGTGAAGTCAAACACGTAACTTAATTGGGGGACTATTTAGTTTAGGATGCCTGTTTTTATGGCCTAAAATGGATAACTTAGCTCAGAAGGCAAAATTTGCAGCTTGTAGCTAGTGGTAAGTAAGCAGTAACATGCATTCTCTCCTTTCTCATGGCTTTAATGATTTCGTTTCTTTTCTGCAGATCACTTTCTTCTTTAAGCCTCTTTTTTTTAATAACTCCAATAAACTATAAACATGATCAATAAAAAGTCAATCATTTTTAGAATGTGGAGTAGGAAAGTTGCATGTTGTACATGTCAACTTCCATTTCTTATCATATCATATCTTTAAATTTAAAGTATTTAATGATCTACTGATCTAGTCTTTTAAATAATCTAGAAAATTAAATGAATATACAAAAAACGACAGTGGTGTTACAAAGTAAATTAGATGTATGCATTTATACTTTTGTGTTGTACTTTTTTTGTCTGTTCTTTCTGGATTTGCCCATACTATGTTTCTCTTTTCACCTTTTAATAGAAATTTTAAACTGAAGGATAAACAATATAATGTCTATGTAAATTGCATCAAGCATTTATGTGTACATATATAATGATACAGTCTATGTTATTAATCACATCAGATATACGTAGTATATGATTTTCTAAACTTACTAACTATTAAGGTTTTATTATATTATTTTGACATCTTATTATTATTTAATTATATATGAGTAGTTCCGGGGTATAACTAATTCACGCAAATTATACCGTGCAACCGGCGCACCATGAGGATGGTGCGCCCGGTTGTAAAACGACGTTGCCCTCCCCTTTTTTTTTTGCTTTTTTTTGTTAAAAATGATAATAACTTTTTTATTTTTGATCCGATTTTTATAAAATTTATATCAACATTTTTTATTTTTCATTATCTTTCAAATGAGACCAATATTGCTAATGTAATTTTAAGAAATTATCGAACTATTGTATTAATGAGTATTTGATTATAAGGAAAATCGAATCTGTTTGGGAGATGATAGATTTGTGAAATAGAAGATCGAATCTGTTTGGGAGTGGATCAGTGGCCTCAGTCACATTTGATAATACAATGAGTTACATCTTTTTATGAGCGAGTTACATCTTTTTATAAGCAAGTTACATCTTTTTATAAGCAAGTTACATCTTTTTATAAGCAAGTTACATCTTTTTAAAAGCGAGTTACATATATATAAACACGAGTTGCATTTGACATGTCTGAACGCGACTTACATATATTTACACGTAAAGTTACATATTTTTACACGTAAAGTTACATATTTATACACGCGAGTTACATATTTATACACACGAGTTGCATTTGACCTGTCTGAACGCGAGTTACATATTTTTTTACGTAAAGTTACATATTGTTACACGTAGAGATACATATTTATACACACGAGTTGTATTTTGCCCGACTGAACGTGAGTTACATATTTTAATATGTAAATTTACATATTTTACACGCAAATGTTAATATGTTAAAATTACATAGGCAATATTGGTCTCATTTGAAAGATCATGAAAAATAAAAAATGTTGATATAAATTTTATAAAAATCGGATCAAAAATAAAAAAGTTATTACCATTTTTTAAAAACAAAAAGAAAAAAAAATATAAAACCGTACCGGTATACGGTGCTCACCGTATACCGGTCGTACGGTATAGGCACTCGTTCTTGTATAAGAAATTGTCCTAAATTAAATGGACTAAATATGGTTTAAATTCTCCCATAAGAAGCAGTCATGTTCGTCTTATTCTTATTACCTATTGTTTATTCTTATTTTATTCAAATTAGATAAGACAATTTCATATCAGATCAGAAAGATTCAAATCAAATAAGAAAAATTCAGAGCAAATTAAATAAAAAACATTCTGATCATATCAAAAACATTTAGATCAGATCAGAAAAGTTCATACATGATTTATCACTTTCATCATCATTATCATCATCATCATCATCATCATCATTACTACTACTACTATCATCATCATTTTATTATTATATTATTATTATTATCATTATTATTGTAATTACAATTATTATTATAATTTTACCAATCATCTTTTGAGCTGTGGCGCCTTTTTAATAACAAAATTAGACTCAACTAAATTAAAGTTTTGTTGGTGTTGGGATTGAAAGATAAAACCTCCATCTCACATGCACTCGCCACTCATGCATTTGCTCCAACCATTAAGCTATCTACGAGCCTATGTGCTCGATCGTAGATAAAACCTCCATCTCACACAACCATTATTAATTATTTTATCTTTTCATTGGGTTCAATAATACTCCATCCTGTCCTTAATTAAATTTACACTTTCTTTTTTGAATCGTTTCATATTAAATTTTATACTTCCTTATTTGCTTTATTTGGCAAACAAATCTACACCAAACAGTGTTAAACAGTGCCAAATAGTGTCAAACAATGTCAAACAGTGTACTATACAGTAAAGTCAAATTTATTTCTTTAATATGTGTGAAGTCAAAGTGTAAATTTCAATAAGGACCGGAGGGAGTATTTTTTTCCCGTACTCTTTACTGGCCTAGTTGCCTAAGTTTTTCTACGGTCTACAGATAAAACTAAAATCATACGCAATATATGTTTTGGTTTGTTTTCTGTTCGGCTTTAAGTTCGATTTACCAAATTGAAAAATTATTATGCTTATTGTTTTACTTGTTCAAGTTCTATATGTTAGAAATAGATAAAAATGAAAATAGTAGTTCATGTCATCTTCTTGTATTAATTATTTAAATAAGATGTGAAGGGAAACAAAAGATAGAAAAATAATAATAAAATATATTACTCCTTATAAATCAAAACCTAATTTTAATTACTAAGACTAATGGCATGAAAATGTGTAGCATCTCTTCGATCACTAGAAAAAAGGTCACCTCTCACAAAAAATAATTTAACAGTTGATTAACATTTATAATATCACATGAAATATTTAAAGAAACTAAATGTGTCGGTGGTAAATATGTGGTAAAATTCATAATTTTATTCAAACGATTCATCTAAAATGTATAGTGTGCTCTAGTTTAACAAAAATTGGTATAAATGTAATGTGCTATTGTTATTACCAAATATCTTTTTGTATAGGTAGAGTATAGAAAGTAACAAATACAAGTTTTGTTTTAAAGAAGACAACTTATTTATTAATTTAATGAAAGAGTAACAAGAGAAGAAGCAATACAATAGCTCAAGGCTACGATGAGAAATAAAACTGATCAATTCCTAAGGGTCAATCAAATTGTTAATCCCATGTAAACTACTAAAATGAGGAATAATGAAACTAAAGTTCTTTAAAGAAAAGCAATAAAATATATCAAGCATCTCAATTTTATCCGCCACTGGTCAGGGAGAAGAGACTTGTTCAGCCACCCCAAAGGAAGCATCTCAATTGCAGAATATGTCAATATTACATGCGGTGCTGATCCGGAAACACCGCAGCTGACCGTTTTTCTATCCCTCCCCATCAACCTCCATATGAACTTGAACCTCCATAAGGTTCTGCATATCCACAACTCGTCTTTTTCTAGACTCGCCCTCCTGCGCGCGGGGCTCTACTATGATCTTGTTCCTCACATGTGCACATCTTCCCTTTCGAAGTTAGTCCCTGAACCAGATAAAACTCCTTCATTGTTTTCTTGTCTTGCAATCTCATCAGTTGCTTGTCCTTCTCGCCACCCCCCACTCATGGACCCCTGCCCCCCACCCCCTACAAAATGAGTCATCTTTCCCTCCCTTGGTTCATCATCCTCCATGGATGGAACATTCTTGCCTTGAGTTCCAATCGATCTTTTCCTGCTACCCGAAACCAGACCATCGGCACCCCTATCGCCCATCATCAACCTGCTTCTCATATGCCAATTCCGAACATGTTAAGCCAGTTTGGTAACACTAAAATTGGTTATTAATGAAAAAATAGCTATAATGATCCTCTACAGTAACTTTAGCCAATACAGTCAGAAAAGTAACTACAAATTTACTTTTTAGCCAAAATTCAGACCGTGAAATCAAAAGTTACATGTTTGGTGAAAAAGCTGGCTGATAAGCCCGATAAGCCGAAAAAAAGGTCACCAAACGGGCTCTAAATCTGATATTGGGAACCTAAGATCGAGTAAAAAAGAATCAAAAGTACACAATAAAAATATACGACTTGGTAAAACCCTTTGATTTATGCGAATCGAATTAAACTGAAAATTGGTATTTTAAGTAAACCATTTGTTAACAATCTACAATTAGTTTGTTTTGAGTTTATTTAAGGGGGGTGTATTGTATTAAGAATTAGTGGCAAAATTTTAAAAGTTCATGAATTTTAAAAGTTTAGGTGTATTCAATGTGGACTTTTAAAAGTCTACAAAAGTCTAGGTGTATTCAATGTAGATTTTTAAAAGTCTATAAAAGTCTGGGCGTATTCAAAATTCCGTTCATTCTTATTGACTTCTAAAATCATGGATTCTCGTGGACTTTTAACTCATTCTTAGTACATTAATTCTCTGCAATTGTCTCTTCTCCTCACTAAAGATTTCCGTGGACTTTTCTTATTTCGGTTCTTCATCCCTTCCCACCACATTCCCCCCCACTTTCTTCTTCTTCTTCTTCTTCTTCTTCTTCTTCTTCTTCTTCTTCTTCTTCTTCTTCTTCTTCTTCTTCTTCTTCTTCTTCTTCTTCTTCTTCTTCTTCTTCTTCTTCTTCTTCTTCTTCTTCTTCTTCTTCTTTAGCCAAGCCACCCCTTCCTCCTCGATCTTTATTCTTCTTCTTCTGCCCAACTCGCCCCACCCTCCTCCTCCTCCTCCTCCTTGCCCCACTTCACCCCCCTCATTAATCCCATATCGATTCAGTTCTAGAATTTTTTTAGAAGAGCCGATATAAACATCGATAGTATTGTATCGATGCAATTCTGGTACGTCGTCAGTTAACCATTAAGAAAATAAATACTAGTATTATAACTATTACTAGCTTCGTTCTTAAATAAGTGCAACATGTGAAATTTTACACTATTCACATGTTCTACTTTGACTACATTTTATTTATTGATGTATAAATATATTTTTTTGAAAAAATATATTATTAAATTTGTCTCATTGTAAATTTTCAAAAACTAATTTTTTAATTTTTTTTACTAATAGAGAATTATGTATATTAATGGTCAAAGTTGTGTCTCGGCAAGTGTGAAATTTTGACTGTTGCACTTATTTAAGAACGGAGGTAGTACTTTCTTTCATCGTTAAATCGCTAACACATAAAAATATAATTTCAAATTAATAAATATATAACCTTAAATAAGTATACATAATTTTACAAGATAGAAATGAAAACAAAACAAGTATTAATTTCTTGTAGTATAAGAAGAAAAGCTCGATTGCATCTATGCGTGTACCACATATAGCAATGAGTGTAACGATTAATGTTCTTACTCATTAATAAAATAACAAAAAATTTTGAGCATTCTTCAAATTATGAGTTTTGTTTTTAATACAAATAAATTTGAACTCCTATGTTTCATTTATTCTTGTAGAACAATGTGTTGCTATATGAATTACATTTGTTTCATTTATTTATTTGTTTGTTTGTTTCTTACAATACTTCGTATTTTACAGAGAAAATTACTCACGGTAGGACTAAAACACACGGAGTATGTTTGATTTTCCTTAAGCATGACTAATCATTACATATTCACCATTTCACCCCTAATTTAATTAATTAATTGATATAATTAATTGTCCCTAGTTTCCTTGCATAACCAAATCCCTTTTGTTGGTGGCGGACCAGTCTGATTATATTACGACAACGAGGAACTCCGGTGACGAAGGCGGACAAGCAGATCGGTAGAAGTAATTTAGGTGAAAATTCCGATGGCCAGCGGTGTTAGTCCGCATTTAAAAGTCTTTAGACTTTTTGAAAGTCAATAAACTTATCCATGGATTTAAAAGTTCATAGAATTCATTAATAAAAAAGTCTATGGATTTAAAAGTCCATCAACTTTTTTAAAAGTTCGTGGATTAAAAAAAGTGCACCACAAACCATATTCAATATACCCCTCTGAGTAAGGGGGTGTTTGGATTTGATTCTTAAAACTGCTTCTGATCATTCAGATAGCAGAAGCAGAAGTTGGAGTGTTTGTGTAAAAGTGCAGAAGTGATTCTGATGCTCTAATTTACTCCTAGAATCAGTTTTTTTAGAAGCCGGATTTGACCAGCTTCTGAAAACTGATTCTGATTCTGCTTCTGCTTTAAAAAAGAAGTATAATCAGTTCCAAACACCCCCTAAATCATTTGTTAACGATTTGCTCAAATCATTTGTTAATTAACAATCATTTGTTAACAATTTGGGGTCCAACAAGATGAAAACAAAAAAAATGGAAGAAAAGGTACTTTCAGCTTCGGCAGCAGCTCTTTAGCCTGCAAGACAGTTCTGAGACTCAACACTGGTGAAGTGATGAGGCTGATTGGCAGTCTTTCTTCTCCGGCAACCTACTCAGGCCTCATCCTCTCTTATCCTAGCACTAGGACGGCGTCGTATTTCGCCTCTTCGTCTTCTTCCCACACTCCATATTTGAGACGATGTTCCTTCTCAAAACAGTCACGTTTCTCCGTATCAATCTCCAAATCGAAATCTTCGCCGGCCATTGTTGGTAAAGACGATGTCGAAACGACAACGTATCAACAGTCGGTGAACAGCAACGTTTCTCTGAAGTCAGAGAACAATTCCCTGAGTAACCAAGTGGGAAGTCCAAGGATTTTTCCGACCTTTATATCGGTTCCCAAATTGAGCTTAAGTGACCAAGCTTTCTTCCTATTATCATTCATCACTGTCACGGTAACCCTGCCCCTTAGTGCTTCTTCCTTTATGCTATGCGTATTTTAGGATCGCATTAATTGATTTCTCATTAGGATGTCTTCTTCTTGATTATAGATATTTGAGATTTAAATATTTTGTTTTTGAGTTCCAATGTGTTATGTTACAGCATGCTACTACTAACTACTAGCAAATGCAGACATCTTTGGCGTTTACGAGCCTAGCATTTGCAGCTGTACCAACTCTATTTGTAAGTCTCCTGTTAGGCATCCATTCTTTTATTGAAAGCATAACCTTAAGAAGTTGAAATAATGAGGGGAGTATGAATAAATGATGGTTCATATTAATATGTTATGGATGTTTGACTTGCTTCTATGGAGTATCAAGTGTGCTACAGTTATCCTTGCTCTTGAGTCTTAATTTCATTTGATTGGTGTTTTAACTGCTTTGTACTTTACAATCTACATGGTAGGGTGTTGTGGGGGAGTACATTGTGCATCACCTAGATAGATGACTCAATAGTGCTGCTAGTAACAGTCTTACTAGTAGAGAAATATACTTGCAACACTGTGGTTCTTAGCTCTCTAAACTTTGTTGAGGACCATTTGCGGAACTTGGAAAGTGTTATGGAAAGAACCAGCTTGCTCAATAAATAAATTTTAGAAATTTTTTCACAGTGTTTATTTATTTTACTACCTCCGTCTCACTAGACTTTGCCAACTATTTTTCCTATTTATCAACTTTTTGTTACTTAGTCTGTGTTAATTCGCTCTCCTATGCACAAACCTCAACCACAGTGTTTACTTTCGGATTCCACTTACCAGTCCAACTCGACAAACTCCAAGTCTCCAACACAATGAAGGGAATATATTGTAAGAATTAACAAATCTTACATAAATGTAAGATTCTAATATTCCAAATCAAATTTAAAAACATTGATTTTCCATAGCATATGATAAATCTAAGCTTTAAATTACAGTTATCCTTAACAATAAATATCTTTTCTGTTTTTCCCTACCATTTTCTGAGTTCCATGCATAGCCTAAACGAGTGGGTGATTGGAAAGAAAGAGAAGTAGCACCTCTCTGTAAAGGTTCAATACATTCTATTCTTTCAGTTTACATTTTTCATCACATTAGTGGAAGTACAACTGCCCTCATACTCAGAGAAAATGAGAAGTTTTTTTACCAAAAATTTAACTGTTTGGTTTGGGCTTCATGAAAAACAAGTAGCCCTTTGTTCTTAATGTTTTTTGAACTTCTCATAGTTGGTTACAAAAATCTCAATTTCCAAGTTGAGGTCTTTAACTTGCATCCTTTCAATCTGTTGTAGGCAATGCGAAGGGCAGCTATTTCTCTTTCAAAACTTGCTGACACTGCCCGTGAGGAACTTCCTAGTACAATGGCTACACTCAGGCTTTCTGGGATAGAAATCAGTGACCTAACTCTAGAATTGACTGATCTAAGGTGTAATTCCTTCAGGCCATAAGATACATGGTTTGATATTTTTGGTTTGATTTAATGTTTTCATATAAGTGATAGGAATCGACCTTTTAGATTAAATAATAGAAAGAATAATAATAATCATATTAGTAATAAGGGTATATGTAGTATTGTAGTATAAATAGACAAAAAGGGGAGTTAGTGAGTAGGCTGTTTTAGACTATTGTCTTGGGACTGGGAAGTTAGAGACTTATCATCTCTCTCTTTCGGGGGCTTCGGCCATTGATTCTTGTTCTTCATCAATAAAGTGTTCAGTTGTTTCTTGATATAATTTCTGTAAATTTCTATACACATGCGAGTATTCTATTAGTGGTATCAGAGCACGTGGATCACTGTGCGCAAATGGATTTAAGATTGAACGAGCTGGAGAGAAAACAGAAGAAAACTACGGAAACTTTGGCAGAAATTCAGGTGACAATCACGAACCTGGACAAGAGAGTCCAGAGTCTATGGAAGAGCAGGTCGCACCCTTCGCATAGGTCGCACCGTACTTCGCACCATGGACACGCAAGAATTTCCGATCATGGAGAGAATGGCAACAACACACTTCGAGCAAGGAGCCCTAAACATCGTTCGTCTCAGTCGCTCACAAGTTCGCAGACTGAATCGCGAACTGCTTATCCTAGTTTGAAATCGCGAACGGTTACTCTTAGTTCACAATCGCGAACAGCTTCGCTCAGTTCGCAGGGGTCCTCGCTAGGCGCCAAGTTTCATCGCACAATCCGCATCACACTTTACATCGCAGACATGTGAGAGATTCCGTTAGTCCAGAAGGTTCAGAAGGTAATTATGATTACTTACCTTCGCATCAGGAACGCAATCACCACAGGGGCCATCCAAGTTATAATGGAACAAGGAGGAAGATGGAATTATCCTTTTTCAATGCTGATGACGCTTATGATGGATGGATAGGATGAAACCATATTTCAGTCTCAATGCTACTACAGAAAAAGATAAGGTTGAAGTCGCAACAGAGGCTATGGAGGAAAGGGCGTTTGACTGGTTTCAATGGTGGGAATCTCAAGCGAGAGAAAACAGTTGGAGGGCTCTAAAGGAAGCGGCGACTAGGCGTTTCCCACCTAGACGCAGGCGGAAGACAGAAAAACAGGAGTCATCCTGGTCGCCAAGAACTTCTCTTAGTTCGCAAGTTTCTCACCCTGCGCAAGATTTTCCCCAATCAATAAAGAAGACCGAGATGGAGCCAACTGAAGCAGTAATCAAGAAAAGGAATAACAAGGACGAAATCGAGGAGCAAAAACAGGTTATTCAATGGCCCGCTTGTGTTTCTCCTTATCTTGCAAACGATGTGGGTTTAACTCCCAGTCAAGTTTCTATTGTTGATCTGCTTATCCAATATCCACCCATGTTCCTTTGGAAGTAGAGTCCTAATAGCTTCTGAAACCTGATTACTTAAAATCAAGGACATTACAGAAGATAAAACTGTTCTTGTCAAAAGACAACAACCGCGACAACTAAAGGACATATTTTCAGGAAATACATGCTTGGAACAAAAGAGGTCTGGTCCAATGGTTCTTGAGGATCATGTTTATCCTTTTTCTGGGGAATCATATGCTAGTGTTCAAATTAAGGCAGTGATTTCAAATGGAGGTTCACTAACTTGGATGAAGGTTGTGAGCGGTGGCAGGCTTGTTATGGATGATAAAGAGGCTGAAACAGCAATGTACAATCAAAAATTGACTGCTGGGATGCACTCTTCTACTGTGTTTAAAGCCATTTTGAAACCCAAGGTTGAAGAGGGACTTTCTGCTCCTTATATTTTAAAGGATCATCAAGACTATTCTCCAGTTGCTTCTTATGCTATTGTGCATCTGGATGGGAAAGGTCCAATTAGTTGTGACTCACCTGCCAGCTTAGGGGTGGACTTGGTGGCAGGAGAGCTCAGAATTACAGATTATATCACTGAGAAAACAGCAGGAAGTTATGTGGAACAAAATATGGAAGTCAAGGAAAAGGTAAAAGGGAAGCAAAACTTGAAAATGGCAAGGTCTCTTTCTGGTATAGGAACGGCCTGCCTGCAAGAAAACCAATTTTGGAAGTTTTACATGGTAGATAGGATCTCCTATTCCATAGTTGGGAGAACTGCTGATGGGATAGGATATCTCTTCCCTTGCTTGTTAATGCTTTTTATGCCTTCCTTCTCGAATGAGATAGGCCAAGAATTGAAAGAGGAAGAAGTTGGAAGGTACAAAAAGGAGTTCGCATCCAATGCAGTACTAGTTTCAGAAGATAGAAACTATGAGAGCTGCAGCAACGTAAAGAATTATTTTTTGCTATGAAATGCTGGAAGGAGACTGAACCGAATGAAACTTCACTACAGATTACTTCTGCTACTGAAAGTTCTGTGATCTTAAAAGATCTCGTACTGAAGTCCCTAGTCCATCAACCAGTCAAGTATTGGGAAGGGAGAGGCGCAAGAATGAAGGGGAAGCAGAAGATCTTGGCTGTCTCCTACCACCCACCTTGAGGGCAAGGTGCATGTTTAGGGAGGGAGTATTGATAGGAATCGACCTATTAGACTAAATAATAGAAAGAAGAACAATAATAATCATATTAGTAATAAGGGTATATGTAGTATTGTAGTATAAATAGACAAAAAGGGGAGTTAGTGAGTAGGCTGTTTTAGACTATTGTCCTTGGGACTGGGAAGTTAGAGACTTATCATCTCTCTCTTTTGGGGGCTTCGGCCATTGATTCTTGTTCTTCATCAATAAAGTGTTCAGTTGTTTCTTGATATAATTTCTGTAAATTTCTATACACCTGCGAGTATTCTATTAACAGGGTACCTTTAAAGGAACATAGAGATGATAATTGGAAAGAAGTAAAAGTTGAGGGAAAATAAATGATACAATATGGTTTTTCAATCATGTGCAAAGCCGCACATTAATTGCTTAACATATTCATGACATACTAATGTTTCTATTGATCCCTAGGAAGTACCTATCCAATAGATTACATGTATATGACATTTATTTTATATAATAAATAATATGGAGTAGAAAGTTAGTTGGTGTCAATAAATTGTTACAGTTAGACAAAGTGTACCATATCACATTTAACTTTGCCCATGATAGAAATGTCGTTCTTTCTATTGTTTAAAGATAAAGGCCTTGGCGCACCGGTTGAGTTGCTGGAATTGCTGCTATGTGACCTGGAAATAACAGATTTGAGTCCGACAGGCAGCATCTTGAACTCTGTGGCTACTCTTTTTTATAAGGTTGACCTTTTATAAGATAGAGCTTTAAGTATAAATGGGGTATCAAATCTCATGAAGCTCCAAAAAGCTATTTGTTCCTGATGAGTCTAAGAGTGAGACCACTTACTTGAAGAATAATCTTTCAGGCATCTTATTTAAGCTATTATAACTCTTGAATCTTCCATTTCAAAAAAAATCTTGGATCTTCCAATAGTAATATGTTTTACTGATTTGTATTTTAGCAAAGAAATTTCAGATGGTGTTAGCAAATCTGCTCAAGCTGTGCAAGCAGCAAAAGCTGGTGTAAGACGAATAGGTTCTCTTGCGCACCAACACACAATGTGTAAGAGAATAATTATTTTCCCTTCCCAAGATTTTTCCCTTGGGATTGTTGATACCTATCTCCTTTTTTAACATTCTCAAGTTGATCTTTGAATTAATTAGCAATGATTGAGGAGAGAGCAAACCTGCCAGTCATATCTGTGAAGACAGTTGTTGCTGGGGCAGCAAAGAAGACCTCTCAAGCCGTTGGCCAAGCTGCCAAAAAGTTGATAGGTTTTAGCTCCAGGGGAAACCATGATGATTCAAGTAGAGAAGACAATTGAAGAAACACCAATAAATATGGTTTAGAACTCTAAAACATTGCCTCCGTTATATTTTCTTCCATCAAGATATCAAAGTGGTGTTATAATCAATTTTGTGAAGAACCTATGCTCATCTCAGGGTTGCTAGATCGCACTTTTGACCGCACTTTCTTACTGTGTAGTGCATTTTAGTGCATTTTAGACCGCACTTTTGACTATTTTTTAGTTTGGAAGTTGTGTGTTGATTCATTTATTTAGGGTGACACCCATTGGTGTTGTATGCTTGTTTGGAGTGTCTGATCTTACCTGTGTTATATAATAAAAATTGATTTCTCATATAAGGGAGTGCTTGGTAGATTTAAAGAACTTGAAAAACAATGTGGTCAATAAGAAATCGTCTCTGTTTTTAACGCGAAGTCCTTGAAGAAAAATGAAAAAAGAAATTGAGAAAAAAGAAAAAAGAAAAAGAAATCGTGTTGCTCTTCTTTTATAATATTAATTAATGATGGGGTATTGGGGTTCATGGCCTTGCTCATTTTACTACAATAAATAATATAGACTTTTTTTGGAAATAAATAATATAGATGTAAATTAGATCTATGAAATGAAGGGCTGCCTCATTTCATTACAATGGTCCTACAAATAGAATCAGGACCAGTGATATGTCGGGCTCGGGCCAATTTTTTTCCGATGGCCATTGTTGCAGACTTGAAGTCATGCCACCGGTTACAAGACCCATGGGGGTTGGGGGTTGGGGAAGGGTAGGGTAATTTCATTTCTTCTAATTCTCTCCTATAACTACCATGTTACATTGCTCCTATTTCATCAGAACACCTTTCTCAATCTGTTCTACACAATCTCTATATCTCGTAAAATTCACTGTGAAGTTTGATCAAGAAAAAATTGTGCACTTAAAATAGGAATAACATTAATAACACATTTGTTGTTCTAGAGGGAAAATGTCAAATAAGCAAAAGTATACAGCTTTACCACAATATTAGTAGTGTGGACGGGGCACAGATCAGTTATTCATATACTCCATGTCATATTGTACAGCTCTATTACAATATTTAAATGACCGTACACAAAAAAACATCTACCACTTCTACACCCAATTCCGGTCTTGCATAGAACCGCGTTTCATGGAGGTGATTAATTGACATTGTTGATTTTCTTACGAGTAGATATAATGAAGAAAGTGAAGTAACTACATATATAATATTCCTATTTCCAATTTAAATAAATACCTTTATTTCCAATTTCTAATTTCAAAATTTTCTGATGATAAAAAAAAATTCAAAATTTTCTTTTAAAAAAATACTCATTGCTGCATTTCTCAGTGCAATTCTCTTCTCATGTATATTATTCCTACATTTCTACCGTATGAATTATATCCTATAGAACTATATTTCTTCTTCCCAATTAAGTACTTGAAATGTAATTGAAAGGGGATTACAGAATTGAGTAACGAGTAGCACTACTAGTTTAAAATATAGAATATAAAACTTATTTATGTAAAATTCAAAATATATACACCAAAGGAGTAGGTTGGTAACAATTTCTTACTCGGTATTTCGAAAAGGTATGTGTCATTATAAAGCATGATGGTTGCAAAAACTCAGAGCTAATACTGAGTAACTGAGGTCAATGAGGCTTGAACTTTGGGGTCAAGGGATGCTTTACAAATTACAAGAAATCATTGTACCAAAACAACACGAGAGCTGGAATACCAAGTCACTGCAAAAGTTATTTACAAGAGATGAAAATGCAATAACTAGTAGGCCACCTCCAAAATCCAGAACTTTGAGTTCACTTATTGATGCACATCAAGTGATCCCATATAAACTTCAAATCATCTCCAAGCAATCGCACCACTTTGTCATTTTCACACGTTTGCTTCTGCAATTAAAGTAGAACGTGACAAAAAATAAGTGGAGCTCTTCTTTGCCATATACTACGTATGTTTTATGTGGACTTACGGGCAGGAAACAGATGCTGATGCCACTACCACACTGATAATGTATGTCTTATGCCAGATTGAATACAACCTAGAAATGTATCATAACTGTCAGAAAACAAAAGCTCACCTCCATTTTTGCTACAACTCCGTGCATTTTCAGAATAACCTCCCCTGAAACCTCACCAGATGATGTTCTGAAATCAAATCGATCTGCACGTCGAACCTTAAGCCTGAATGATGAACTTCTATATGTTTTAGCATTGGTATGCCAGACACCAACTATGGTGTACCGACCTCCCAATGTATCCTTCCCAAGTGGCCATCGAAGCCCACCCTTAACGTCCGGATCAAGAATGGCACAAGAAATTAGAGCTTTTATACAATCTTCTTCGTCATCCTGAAATATACGAAGGGTTTCCAGATCACAATATCCGTGACAAACTCACTTAAAAAAAGACGGTGTGAGTAAACAGAACCAAATAGAAACCAACAAAAATATGAAACTAATTTCCAGTGTGTTGTTGAATACGTAGGATTAGATGATGAAAAGTTGAAAGTTTACATGATTCTCATAGAGGTAAGGGGCTTACAGTTAAAGCTATCACGATTCTCTTGGTATTAAGCATTAACCTCAAATCTAGGCTCTTCCGAAGAAAAGACATGTCCACAACCAGGTGACGCACCTGGTTTAACTCAATCTGTGGTAAAGAAATAATAACGATGAGGCAGCACCAGTGTATAGACACGTACTGTCATACTCCATACAACTTGTTAAGCACCAGAGTTATAGACACAACAAAATACATTCTCATGAAAGCTCTGGTGCAAATATACACATTACCATCCTGTTGTCATGGAATGCAAGTAGAAACCTGCCTTGTAGAGTTCAATGCTTTTACAATCTTTTCGCACAGTACATTTACATGAGATTGTTGAATCAGGCTGTAAATTATCAAAGATCTACACACAGCACACATAAGAAAAACCATTAAAATGCTATTCCATTAAAATGTGGGTGAAAAAAGAGGTAGCTGAAAGATGTAAAAGCGAAAAGGCAGTACCTTAACATGGTACAACTCCTTATCCCCCTCAAAGTCAAGTCCAACTTTTTGAACAATTTCGTTTGTTAGGTGTTCCATATATGAGAGAGGAACATTAGTGTAAAAAGATCTTTTCGATGTTCTCAAACTGCTTTCAGTCCATGAGTGTAAAGATGAAAGATTTCTGCATTGAGAATCTTTTTAAAGTCATGTATTTTGCAGAAAATGCATAACAACAACAACAACAACAACAACATCCAAGCCTTAATCCCAAAAGAATTTGGGGTCGGCTAACATGAAGACAGACAAGAAGGGGAAGAAAAAAAGTAAGATAAAACGAATAAAATAAAGAAAAATAAATACTATCGTATAAAATAACAATAACACAAGAATATAAGAAAGATAAAAGATAAAAAATAAAAGAGCATAAAAAAGCTAGAAGATAAAATGCATGTGTGCAAGTAATTACATTGAGCAAATTTGTATTAGAATTAGTTGATTCATATTTACATACTATCTCAATGCATCTTGGTGGACTGAGACCCTGTATAAAATGAAAATGAAACAACATACCGGAGTAGTAGTTTTTTTTATATCATTTTAAGACATCAAATTAGATAGGTGAATGTTAAGTGTCTCACATTAGATGATTACCAGGTTTATATCTAATACTTTGGAAAGCAGTGAATATATCAACTCGTGCAGCATGTTGTTAAAATTATCGCCATTGAAACAAATAAAGGAAAATATAGTCATATACGGAGTATCTTTTAATAGCATAAACAGAAAATGAATGCTTGAATTCAGAACTCTAAACCACTGACCCGTGAAACAGAACTCTTCCAACCCTAGCAACTAGAGTTGGCTTTACTGCATCACGTTCATTTCCCAGAATTTCACTCGTCACCCTGTCGAATGCTTCAAGCAAGTCCTGCTTCACATTTTCAACAACAAAAAACCACGGTTTTTCCACAAAAGCATCCTCACTCTCACCAGGGTCGTCTAGAGCATAACAATATGGAAAGTGAAGGTCGTAAATAGTAAGATAACAGTCACAAGCCATACTTATCAGTTGTATGACATTACATGTAATGCTCACAGCAAATACTAAAGCGCAATTACTTGTACCTCGCGCTTAGGTTGAAATTATTGTTTCGAATATGGAGCGCGAAGAACAAGTAGAATAGGATGTCATACCTTTTAGAACCAAAACTAAGGGGGTTTCACCCGATTTTTTCACGAAGGATCCGAGTGATACCGGCTCGAATCTGGTGAGAGCTGAAAGGTCGCACGAAGATTCATCTTCCTTGTCCGAGTTGGGCAAGCCGACCACGAACCACTTGGAAATCGCGTTGTCTGCGTAGATAATTTTGGACCCCTTGTCCTTCCAGGTGCTCCTGCCGTGTGAGTTCCGATCACTTATGCTTACTTTTTTGCGAAATTGCGGGGGCAGAAGAGACTCCGGCGCCGGAGAGGAACTAGAGTGACGCTTGTGCGGAGGAATATAAGCCATGGCAGTAGGCAGATCGTAAATTCGCCTAGTGTGATTAAAAAAATTATGCGATTTTAGGTCACAAAATAGTTACTTCATTCATAACTTTTATCTTGACTTCAAGCAAAAAAAACTGCCACTTCATTGATAGGGCAATAAAGTAAGTCAACTTATATGAGATTGACTAAAAAGTACAACAAAAATTATGTACACGTTCTTATATACACCCGTACACATCCGTGTTTGTGAGAATTTTTTTTGTCTATAAATCCCAATTAGACAAAACCGACTTATTTTGTCTGTGGAAAATTCTACAGACAAAACAAGCCAATTTTTGTCAATCGATTTAGATTCACAGACAAAAAAAACTCTCACAGACACGGAGGTGTACTGATGTGTATAAGAAGGTGTACAAAAGGAATTTGTACTCCTATCCCAAATTCATTTCAAATTAAATTGGGAAAATTGATTTTTTAGGCAAACAAATTCATTTCATTCACTTAATTAAGATACAAAAATTTTGAACTAAATTTTAATTTAGGTTTTGCAACCTTATAAATATTTTAATATAGTTTATGAATATACAAATTTTAATTATTAAAATTGAGTTAATTATCAATAAGGGGATTTAACTTTAACATTAATTGACCAAAAAATGTTGACTTTACAAAATGATTTGGGAGAGATGTAGTACCTGACATTCTTAAATACATAAATTCGGGTTTTTAGTATTAATTGAGTATGGTCATTAGATTAACACATTAATATGGCTGATTTGGCCAACAGAATGCTAATAGGTCAACTTCCTAAAGGTTGACGGTAGTCCTCATCCCCTTCATCGCCGCCAGTCCCCCGCGGGTCGACTTTCACTTGGTTGATGCACCCCCGCAGATCGACGCCCTCTACCAGTCGACCTTTGAAGGCCGACTTTTTCTTTGTGGTCGACACTAGAACATTTGTCGACTACTCCTTCTTACTTAGCACTCCATTAGTCAACTCAATTATATTAACATGTTAATCTAATGGATAGACTCAATTAATATTAAACCCCGAATTGATGTGCATGAGAATGTCACATACAATATAATGTACTCTTTACTCCACCCCATACAAGTTAAAATATGACCATTTCCTATTTAATTGACACTCGAAACATATTCTTATTTATTTTAACATTCACCATCCCTTCGTATCTTTTTCTTCCTCTCCTTTCCAAGATTATCGGTGCCAAACTGCCAGCGGTGGCCTGACATCTTGATTGCTACTCTAATTATCTGTTTAAGTTTGAGAAAAGAGACAAATACGCTCTCGAACTATTAGTGATTCTGCGATTAAACATTCGAACCAAAGACCTTGCAAATGCGTCCTTTGACTCATTGAAATAAAGCAATAAAGTCCTTTTTACCCATTGCTGTCAGCAACTTATCACGAGAAAGTTACTGTCTTATTGGCACTAGTCGGGAAAAAGGGATCCAATTGTTTTATTTCAATGGGTTGAGGGGCATATTTGCAAGTTCTTTCTGTTTAACGGTGTGACTGCAGAATCACAAATAATTTGAGGACTTGTTTTCCTTTTTCTGTCTTTAAGTTTTAAGTTTGGTCTAAATTCATCTATTTTAGTTTGCACAAAAATGGTCAAATAGGGTCTCATATGGTGTGTATTATATTATTACTAGCCGAAGTACCCGTGCGATGCAAGGATATATGTAGAATGGAGTAACAACCTGTTTGGAATTACATCATATTACAAAGTGTATGGTTGTAATGACCAATTTTTTAAATAAAAAAGGGAAAAGGTCAAATAGTTTCATCTATTATTTCCAATTCATGACTTAAGTCTCATATACTAAAAAAAGTACTATTATCATGTACTACATATCGTTTAACCGGTTTTTGACCCATAATATAATGTGTTTTTATTACAAAACTTTAAAAAAATTATTAAAATTTGAAGAATTATATATAAAATTTGTTGGCAATTTAAGAATGTCATAGTTTTTTGTTTTTTGGAACTACTTGTATATTTTGCATCTTTTTGAAAGTTATTACATTTTAATTTTATGTTTTTTTACACTTTCACTTTATTTTTTGTCTTTTTCTATTTTTTATTTTTTATGATAACTTGTTAAAATTAGCTATCCATTTTTTAATTAATATGATTTTTTATATTTGATCATTACATTAATTTCTAAATTTATATGAATTTTATAAGATTAGTCCATTGCTTTTTAAATTAACATTATGCTATAGCAAGTTAAAATGACTTGATTGACAGTGTTTCTATAGTAAACATTCTTATATTATACTACAGAGTACATACTTTTTTTAGTATATGGTCTTAAATGATGTATTGAAAATAATAAAAAGGTTTATTTGCCTATTTTCCTTTTTTATTTTAAACAATTGCTCATTACGTACTATTACGTTTCATGCAATGTTTTTACATTTTCTTGTATGCTTTTGTTATTGTCATATATAGAACAATTGGTTGAAACATTTTTCTATTTTACATTATACTCTCTCCATACTAAAATAATTATTTCATTTTCTTTTTTGGGCTGTATCCAATTAATTATTCCATTTCATTTTTTTGAAAAGAAATATACCATAAAAGAAGCTACACTTTAATAAAGTATACACTACTGGTATAGTACCAAAAACATCACCTTTTACTTTTCATAAAGTCTACAATAATTATCTTAAAGTACTTGAAAGGCTAAGAGCCAGTTTGGCGACCCAATTTTTCGACTTATCAAGCTTATCGGCCAACTTTTTCACCAAACATGCAACTTTTGATTTTGATTGTTGAATCAGTGAATTGTGTAATAATAAGAAAATGTAAGGTTGAAGTTACTTTTCTGGCTATATTGACTGAAGTTTCTGTAATGAATCATTTTAGCGATTTTTCATATATATAATATTTTCTTTGTTTTATTAATAAAAAATATTTTTCATAAATCAGTAGAATCAGCCAATCCTATCACTTCAGCCAGAAGATCAAAAGTTTTAGCAGAATAATCTGATTCAGTCAATTTTAGTGTTACCAAACAGGCTCTAAATATGATACAAAGTTATTTTAATGCACAGGGAATCTTAATTTTTCAGATAAACTAAATATAGAAATCATACGAATATCGGAAAGTATATATTTGAATGAGTGAATTACATATAGATTTGGTAGTGGTTATTTTCATAGAAAGTACAAATTCACATATAATTCACTAATGATTGAAACTATATTTTAAAATTAAAATGACTATATGACCTGAGGTAAGTAGAAAATGTCCGAAATAAGTAGTTGTAATTATTACTACACGTCCTTTTTGTATGATACACCTTCTTTTTAATATTGTCCAAAAAATATGAACATTTTCTCAAATTAAACTTTATTAACTTTTTACTTTTCCACTTTATCAATTTATATACGGAGTATTTATCAGTTACACTTTACATTTTGTGGAACAATTTTGCATGTACTTACTTGTTGGATTGGAAGTTAGAATTGTAAAATAACCACTTTATCCTTTATTTTCTTAAAACCTGCATCAAACCCTCACAAACTATTTTAAAGATAAAGTATAAGTTCTCATTATGTCTGTATTTTGGGCGGGAATATTTTCACATATAATTGTAACAATTAACTTTGCTACTTAATACAAAAAATTATACAAAGATTATTATTATGATTATTATCATTACTGTAATTATTATTATTATATGTTTGTAGCTAATTTTAGTATTACTGTATGGAAATACGTTTTTATAGTCAATTATTTTTTCTACGTTTGTTAATTACATTGTTTATACTTTTAGGGTCGTATACGTGGCTACAAGCCTACATGGTAAAGTGACCAAGTATACTCCCAAATAGCTACATATTTGAAGGTCATTAATTTGGTAAGAATTATTAATAGTTAGTTGAGCAAAATTTCTATCACCTCATGCGCACACCATAATGATATTAGAGCATCTTTCAATATATCATATTTATGGTACGTATGATTAATGGAATTTTTCCAATTTAATAATTAGTAATATCACAACTTTAACAATCATACATGTAATTTACACTGTTACTTTATAAAATATAAAGATATAAAGATTATTATTGCATTACAAGAAGGGGAGAAAGAATTATGAAGAATAAAGAAGATAAAATTAGAAAAGAAATCCAATAATTTTTTGGCCTTTTTTATCAATATTACTAACATAAATAGAAAAGACATTTTTTGAAATTTTCACAAAAGTGACTAATAGTCATTTATTACTTATATTTAATATTGCATTTCTTATTGTAATATTCCTTTTATATAATTGAATAATTGATCCATGTTCCATAGCCACCACAACAACACCAGCACAGGCTGCACAACTATGGCCGCCGACCCCAACACTGCCGCAGCTGCCACACCATCTCCGCCAGCGTCGCTGCCGCCGCTGCCACCAATCTTGCCGCTCAATGACCATCGGTCATCACCACTTTCACCAGTCACTAACCCGGTGACTTCCACCCAACTCCGGTCACTAACAGGTGACTTCCATCCAACTCCGGTCAATACCTTAGTGACTTCCGATCCACCCAACTCCGGTCACTAACCCAGTGACTTCCGCCCAACTCAGGTCATTAACTTAGTGACTTACGTACACCCAACTCCGATGGCACCCGCCCAGTGACACCACCCACCGTTGGCATCGTGTTCAATTACTTAAAATTCATGACAGTCACTATGATGCCACATTGTCTCCATGTATGGATCTCAAAGCACATATCTGTTGAGACCACCAAGACGTCATATAGCCTGAACCCCGATTAAAAACTCATCGTGAAATTGGAGGCAGACACGGTTGATGTGAGATATTAGATGACCTCCTGGTGAAAGAGGATGAAGAGTTGTCCGATGCAAGGGCGGTGAGTGGCTGCAACAAGAAGGAGTTGCGACGGGCGATGGCGGATAGATGTGGACTGGCGATGCATGGCTGCAGCGGTGGATAGTTGCGGCAATGCGTGGTTGCGGCGGTGAGACAAATTGAGGCGAGAAGGAAAGTAGGTACGGTGGCGACAATTTTGCTTGGTTGAGAGCGCAAG